GTTTTATTCATATCATTTGACCCTTTTCCAAAAGAGCCAGAGAGGCACTCTTGGGTTCTGAAGTTTCATTCCGTACTAGTAACTACACTGGTCGGCTTTATTAAAGACCTTTTCCTTCCCCTCTCTCCTAATCTGTTGGAGAGAACCCAGGGGCAACCAGGTCCAATCTGCAGGTAACTCCAGCTTGCTTCTGTGAGATGTGTCAACAAGAATCCAACAATTCCACTCGCCCTGAAGTATCACCAAAAATAAAATATGATTTTCAGAGAAAATGCTGAGATGAGCCTTCTATTTGTGGTTGTAAAGGAGTTTATTTAAGCAGTTTCAGAGAATTCCAGATAGGGATGGTGACATCTTTCATATTTAGAAGCATTTGTGGTAACCGTTTTTAACGTGATGGACATGGACCTCAGACTGCAGAACACAGAGGTTTCTAAAGCTGGGTTACTAAAGGAGAAGCTACTCCGAATAGGTGAGATGGCATGGAAATGAGCTCCTTCTCTCATCAGGGGCCACTGACCCAGTCTAATCTGAGCTTTTCGTGAAGCCTTGATCTATTCAGAGAATCCCAATTAGGAGTCCATCCCTCGTCCCTGTAAAACTGAAATTCTGGGTAGTTACCAAGGCACTCCAACACGTTCTCCTTTCATCTTTCTCTACATCCTTCTTCCTGAACGTAATTGGGAAATGAGTCTCCTTAGCATGAAAAAGACATCAAAACTTGAAATCTCCATTTGTTTTGTGCTGTTATAACAGGATACCTGAGACTGGGTGAATCATAACAAAGAGAAATTCACTGGTTCACAGTTTTGGAGCCTGGGAAGTTCAAGGTCAAGACACCAGCAGGTTTGGCATCTGGTAAAAGCTGTCTCCACTTCCAAGATGGCGCCTCAAACACAGCAGCCTCCAGAGGGGAGGAACACTGCTCCTCACGTGGCAGAAGAGGGGACCAAATCCACATTAACTCCACCTAACGGGTACATATAGCTCTCATGGCTTAATCTCCTCTAAAGGAACCTACCTCCTTTTTTGCACACTTTTATTGGTGCATTATGACTCTATATAATAATGGCATTCCCTGTTGTTACGTATTCCTACGAACACACAATGTAACAATACAATTTGGGCAATATCATCACCCAGCATTTCCCTTTTCCCTCCCCTCCTCCCTCCCTCTGGTCTCCTTTCCATTTTCATGAAATCCTCCTTTCCACCTTTCCCCCTTTGTTTGTTTGATGTGGTGCTGAGAATCGAACCCAGTGCCCCGCACATGCCAGGCAAGCGCTCTCCCCTGGGCCCAGCCCCAACCCTTCTTCTCTTCCCTTTTCCTCTCCAGCTTCCACATGAAAGAAAGCATATGGCCCTTGGCTTTCTGTGTTTGGGGTATTTTGCTTAATCATAATGCTCTCAAATTCCATCCATTTTCCTGCAAATGACATAGTTTCCTTCTTCTTTATGACTAAACCAAACTCCACTGTTTATATAGACCACATTTCTTCATTCACTCACCCACTGATGGACACCTAGGCTAGTGTCACAGTGTGGCTATTATGAATTGTGCTGTGGCAAACATGGGTCATGAACTGCTATAGTATGATGTCTTTAATTATTGAGGATAAATACTGAGGAGTGCTGATGCTGGGTCCTGTGGTGGTTCCATGCCTAACCTTTTAAGGAGCCTCATACTGATTTCCACAGTGGTTGTACTAATTTACAATCCCACCAACAGTGTAACATTGTTCCTTTTTTTTTCCCTACATCCTTTCCAGTATTTATTATTGGGTGTATTCTTTTTTTATTTTTTGTTTTACTTAGTTGTATACATGACAGTAGAATGAATTTATGCATTTTACTATATCATACATAGATAGGATACAATTGCTCATTTTTCTGAGTATACATGTTGCAGAATCATAATTGGTCATGCAATCACATATATACATAAAGTAATAAAGTGTGTTTCATTCTACTATCTTTCCTATCCCCACATCCCCTCCCCTCCTCTTTCTTTACCTCTCTACCGAATCTAAGGTAAAGCTATTCTTCTCTAGTGCCCTCCCCACCTTATTGTGAATTAGAATCCACATATTAGAGAACATATTCGGTCTTTGGTTCGGGGGGATTGGCTTATTTCACTTAGCATGATATTCTCCAACTCCATCCATTTACTGGCAAATGCCATGATTTCTCTCTTCTTTAAAGCTGAATAAATATTCCATTGAGTATAACTCAATATATATATATATATATATTTATATATATATAGTTATATATATATATAGTTATATATATCACATTCCATCTTTATCTATTCATCTATTGAGGGAAACCAAGGAATGGGATAGCTGGGTCAAATGGTGATTCCATTCCAAGTTTTCTGAGGAATCTCCATACTGTTTTCCATAGTGATTGCACCAATCTGCAGTCCCACCAGCAACATATGAGTGTACCTTTCCCCCACATCCTCACCAACCACCTTATTGTTACCTGTATTCTTGATGATTGCCATTCTGACAGGAGATGAAATCTTAGAGTGGTTTCAATTTGCATCTCTCTAATTGTTAGAGATGCTGAACACTTTTTTCATGAATTTGTTGATCAATTGTGTTTCTTCTTGTGTGAAGTGACTGTTCAGTTCCTTAGCCCATTTATTGATTAGGTTATTTTGTTTTATTGTGTATATTTTTTTAAGGATTGAGAGAAATCTTTTTATTTAAAAAAATATATATTTATTTTTTAGGTGTAGATGGACACAACACAATGCCTTTATTTTTATGTGGTGCTGAGGATCGAACCTGGGTCCCACCTATGCTAGGCAAGCGCTCCACCACTGAGCCACAATCCCAGCCCTTATTATGTGTATTCTTGATGGTTCTCCTTCCGATTGGTATGAGATGAAATCTCAGTGTAGTTCTGATTTGCATTTCTCTAACTGCCAAAGATGTTGAACATTTTTTCTCGTAATCATTGGCCATTCATATTTCTTGAGAAGCACCTCTTTTGTTCATTTGTCCATTTATTATTTTTTTTAAAGAGAGAGAATTTTTTAATATTTATTTTTTAGTTTTCGGCAGACACAACATCTTTGTATGTGGTGCTGAGGATCGAACCTGGGCCGCACGCATGTCAGTTTTTGAATCGATAAAACCCCAGACCCTTCAGTTCTTGACAATATGCTCCTGGAGCCTGGGGTGGGCTACAGTTAGAGACATATGAAGTCCATGGTGTTAAGGGTACTGTCGTTCACGCTCTTTTCTGTGGATTGGAAAAACTACCCAGCTGTTAACAAAGACCATTTCTTTGGAAGTGGGTAAGATATGATAAAACTGGACAACGGCAAGAAGAAGAGCCAGCCAGAGATAAATGATGTGCCTAGTCAATCAAGGACTATTTCTTACTCCCAGAAGGGGCTAGCAATGTATGCTCAATGCTCAATGCAATTGCAGAATTGTGACAGCCCAGGGGTAGCTGTCCATCCTAGTCTCCTTCCCATCAGTGTGTACTCCAGTGTGACCTGCCCCAGTCTCACGATGCCATACCAGGTATGTAGACAATAGGAAACTGGTCTTTTTCCTTTGTAGGTTTCTGTATCAACAGAAGCCGCATCTGAGCCTGATGCAGATGACCAGACCCTGGGCTGCAAGCCTCATGACGGGATGATACCTGGGCCACCTGACCAGCACATTTTGCATGTGGGGTGGCAGAGGTAGCAGAAAGCTACCATTAAAACCTTTTAATGGCACTGACCTACCATGTTTCCCATACCACACCTTTCATGGCACCTTCCCCCGCTGCCTCTGGAGGGGACCATGTGACCTACTTTGCCTGTGGGGGCTGCAGCAAGCAATGCAGATGCTTGAAAACAGCCCTTGCATGCTGCCTGGAGCCTGTGGCAGCCCCTGTAAGTGTCTCCTGGGATTTTGGAGCACGGGCCTGCCATCATCCATGGATTACTCTCCTTTTCAAGGAAAGCTCTTGGCCTGCAAGTGGGCCATCATGAAAACTGAATTCATGACCACGGGCCACTGTGGCTCAGTGGTAGACTCTGCTGCTGGTAGACCGAGCGCTTGGAGACAGCCGTAACCAGGACATCCTTGGTGACTGAAGTCCATGTGGCCTTGTGCATGCAGAGCCCCATCCCTGCTACCCTGGCCTGTGTTCACAACAGAATCAGCTAGGGAGAGAAGCTGGTTGACACCACAGCTTAGCTTGTGGTCTTGTGAAGCAGTGTAGCTGCTTCAGGTTCACAAATAAATTCACATGCCTAATGTAACACGAAATGTGTTAGAGCCAGTGATGTTCAAAAGACCAAGCCTGCAAAGAGCCCTGGGAAAGTCTGGGTGAAGAAGCAAGCTGTCAAGCAATATTGAAGAGAGCACACATGAATTTGTTTCCTTTTGAATAAATGTGACTTCATTACCTTATCACCAATTGCGATCCACAAAACAAAAAACAAAAACAAAAAACCTAGATCTCATAAAATATCCAGAAAGTTTCCATATGTTAAGAATCACCAGGGGCTGGGGCTGGGGCTCAGTGGTAGAGCACTTGTCTGGCATGTGTGAGGCACTGGGTTCGAATTCTCAGCACCACATTTAAATAAATAAAATAAAGGTCTATTAATAACTAATATATACTTAAAAAAAAAAAAAAGAATCACCAGCAGGCACTGTGGCACACTCCTATAATCCCAGCAGCTCAGGAGGCTGAGGCAGAAGGATGGAATTTTAAAAAGGGCTGGGTATATAACTCAGTGGTAAAGCTCCTCTGGGTTCAATCCCCAATACCTGCCTCCCCAGCAAAACATCACCAACGATTCGTCACCTTTCAGATTTTTTGTACCTAACTATATGCTCATATTAATAGAACCTGCTTTCTGCAACTTTTCAAAACTCTGCCATTAAAGTTTCAAGTAAAACAATACTCCCACCTAGTGGATAAAGAAGAATGTCTATTTCAGTTTTGAACAGTATCACCATAAAGAATAAATTAAACTACAATTAACTTTTTAAAGTTTATTCTGTTTCAACACCCTCAAAATACAGCACCCCCAGAGCAGCCCTCAAAGCAGTGCTCGCTGCTCCCCTGGAAGGAATGGATGCTTCTGGACCCTGGGGTGGGCTATAGATAGAGACAACGTGGGAGACATCACAGAACGATCTTTGGGATCACGTATAAATGTTACTCTGAATCTCATTTGTTGTCATCAATTTCTTCAGTATCTCTGTGCCCTGTGGAATGTTCTGAAAGAAGAGAAAAAGATGTCAAGACAGCTTTTCGGTGAGAGGCAACGTGCACACCCAGCCTGACGCTCTCGAGAAGTTGTGAGAAGGTGCTGCGCAGCAGAAGCAGTGCCTTCCAGCACCTCTCCCCAAGGGACAGTGCTCGAGAAGGCGAAAGCCTGGAGAGTCCTTCCCTGGCCCAGGCCTCGAAGTGTACCTGGCCTCTTCACCCCACCACTCTCCCTGTCCACCACAGCCCTCTGGCACCCAACCTGTCCTCTTTCCACACCCCACTGCTCCCCACTAAGGCCCATCCAGCCTTCATAGCCAACTGTGGGGCCACTTCCTCCCCAGAGCCCTGCCTCTGTGAGAGGCTTTCCCAGTACCCCTGACCAGCACCCCTCATGGCCGGGAGCTGCCTCAGCTCTAAAGCCCTACAGTGGTGCCAGAGAGTGGGGGCTGTAGCTGGACAGCAGAAAGCATGCACTAACTCAGGCGACCTCATGGGTCGGGTCGTTGATAGGAGTACTCTTCACAGCGACCACCTGACCTTCCCCAGACTGGTGTCTTCAAAGGAAGACAGGGAATGTTAAAAAGGTCTTTAAACTTCCCCTTCATATCGTACTCCTCAATCCTATTTGACAGATGACTTACGCTGCTCAGAACAAATCCGAACATTTATGTTAAGCTCCTGTATGGGGAGCAGAGTCCCTAGCAGGGAACAAAACAGCCCCAGAGAACTGCTCTCTAAACAAGTGGGCCGAGCCGGTCACAAACCACAGCAGCCAGCACAAGGACCCGCACGCCCTTGGAAAGACACTAAACCCAGGATTCAACTTGTCTGAAAACTTAACCCTGACTCCACTAACTGGGAAGATGTGCTTGAAGTAGACCAAGTCAGGGCTCTGCAGCTTGACTCTCCACCAATCAACAGGGTTCACTGAGGGCTTCCTTCTACAGGCCAGGTATGTGCAACCCAGGGATGCCAAAATGGAAAAACCTGCTCCTGTACCACAAGCTGCTGAGGAAGACACTAACTTAGGAGAGCTGAGACGGCCACTCCAGCATAACCTGCCGTGAGTGGAGCCCTGGTGGCTACTCCAGAACAAAACAGGTCACCCACGATGCTGGGACAACCCCTCTCCCTTGAAGTACTTCTTAAACCAGACACTGTGGCTCTCCATAAATCTCTGAAGAGAACACTGGGGAGGCCCAAAGATGCCTGAAATTCTAGACAAATGCTGCTGTGTACGTGTTCTGATATGTATTTTTCCAGTAAAAGAGCCCACAGACCTAAGGGGGGGACAAAGGTTCATTAATAATTCTCACATCTTCACATATCCCATCCCCTCAAAATCAGGTGAATACTACTGATACTATACTTAAAATTACAACCTTCCAAATGAGTTACAGAAACTTCTCCAGCCCCAGAGACACATAGGATGTAAGGGCAACGCACTGGTCTATATATAAGAGCAAAATGCTCTTCAAGTTATAGAAGTAAATCCAGAAGAGAAGGTGGCCAGAGCGGGAAGCTGGTGTGGGAAGATAGGCTCTCCGAGTACTGCTCCGGGTCTGCACTGTCCCTACACTCAGCTAGTGTGACAGCTGGTGGTCAGGTGAGTGACACTTACTTACCTTAGCCAGGCCTTTCAAGCTTCTGGAAGAAAGTATGGGCTTGAAAGCTTCCACGGTAATGAGGTCTAACGTCATCACCTCAGTGTAACACAAATACAGAATGGCAGGGATTTTCCACACCTGACAGTAACTGAGGACTGTGAACGAAGGAAAACCACTTAAGTTTTCTAGAATATAGTTTTAAAATTAACCACCATTAAATAATAAAGGCTGCTTTAAAAAGTCTTTGAATCAAGACATTTACTGCTCTACTAAATCAATTCTAATGGATATTTTCTTTCAAAAATCAACTTATTTTCTTAATAATCTTTTGCTTTTGCAAATATTATCTTTATTTTGCATCTCCTAAACATACTGCTCAATTTTAAGTAGTTAAAAGGTTGAAATTTCAGTCACTATAATAAACAAAGCAAGTTACATGTAACAAACGAATACCATGATGCATACTACTACCAAGTTAGTTCTCCTCACTCTAATAAACTTAACAAGGGGGAAAAACGTTTTTCCTTTATTCAATATACTTAACAAAGAAAAATTAGTAACATACAATAAAAGATACACTACCGAAAAGTAAATGGCAATCTATTTCTTAAGACAGCAAAATATAATTACAGTGATAAAAATATTAAGCAACACACATTAAAGTAACTATCAAACTTCACTTTCTATTTTGATAATTAAAATGTACTTTACCAAATTTTCATACAATTTACAACTAACATTGGCTTGCATTCTGAGTCGCCAAAGACCAAAAAGAAACTAAAGCTGAGGCAGAGCAATTAAGCCATCTGAGCTGTTCTCATAAGTGTGTCTAGAAAATTTTAAAAACGCAAACCAAGTACACTAACAAGTACAGACACTGAGGATTAATAGCAATATATTGATTTTGATCGTCAAAAAATTAACCTCATAAAGATTTCTAATAGTGAAAATAATAATTAGCAGTAAGATGAAATGTAAATATGAATTTTGGTATCACCTGCGGCAGGAAGATCATGGATGATGTTCGGCTGTTCTAGCAGTGAGCAACAGGCAGTGTCCTTGAAGTTCTGCGTTTTTAGTGCTTTCAGGAAAGGAGAAGAAAGGCTGCCAGTAGATTCTGAGGTTTTATAGTCAGTAACATGTCGACATGTAAGAATAGTTACCTGCATGTTCCTCCTTGGACAAGAGCCAAAAACCTGACACAAAATTGATTTAAAATTAAACAAGGGTAACTGCATGAACAAGGGTAACTGCGTGAGGGAATGGAAACATTGCTCCAGCTACTCTCCCAGCAGTGCGGGCGGCAGCTGCACGTCTGGCAGGGGCGCACTGCGCCCTGGGTAACAGAACAGGCCTCCCTGCCCCAGCCTGGGTTTGCTCTCGGCACTCTGGTTGGCACTCCTCCTCATGGCACTTTCCTGTCCCTTAACTCAGGGCAGTATCACCTACTCAAGGGACCGATGTGTAGTAAACAACCATGAATGGACAATGCTGGAGCAACTGCCACAGGACCACCACCTGAGCAAGCCGGTCCCAAGAGCATATCCTACAGTCAGCCAGTCCCTCACCTACTCCCAATAACACCTGGAAAATGGCTCTTACTAAATTCACTTTTGAGTTACTAGAATTGGGGCAAGTTTCAAGGGCTCTAGAACTCAAAGTTCTCTTCCATGACTTGAAGAGAAGATCTAGTAGATCTATAAGAATCCTTCTACCTTCTAATAAAATCTATGGTGACACAAACAAAGCAAGCAACTATTTTTTAAAGAAAAGAGTGGTTTTTATGTTACTATACTTGTTTAAAAATATTCTGTGGGGCTGGGGATATAGCTCAGTTGGTAGAGTACTTGCCTCACATGCACAAGGCCCTGGGTTCGATCCCTAGTACCACAAAAAATAATAATAATAAAAATATTCTGTGAAAAAAACAGCTTTTTCCAGTAGTAATAAAAGAACTGAAGATTTTATATTAAGTGTCATAATTCATACAACTAATTTCATTATATCACAACTTTGTAAATAAATGCAAAAAAAGTCAACACAATGTAAGTTTGTTTCAAGGTACATCCCGTTTAAGAAAAATAACATTATTCACAGGCCCAATTTATTTCCCTTCATAGAATACTTAAAAGTCTGAGTCTAAAATACTTAAGAACTGTTTGATTATCAGGATGATTTGACCAAAATAACAAAGTAACCCAAAAAAATTTGTTTTAGAAATGCATAATTCTCATATTTTTTCAAGTCTAGAATGTTCATCTGTCACCGTGTAACAATTAAGTATTTTTGAAATAATAATCACCCTACATAATTAAAAAATATAAATAAAACACTAATTTCCTAATATTCTAAGCTCTGACCCTCTTACCCAGAAAGATACACATATGTACACTGAATATAAGATAGTTCACAGATCTTTTTAAACAACTTTTCTTCTAATAAAATGCATTTACTAACTTAAAGCAAAAGCTTCTCTAAGTATGCCAGCTGGTTTAAAGTAGAAAATGAAATTCTTATTTCTATTTAATTTTAATATCAGTGTTAAAAACACTGAGATTTAAGCTGAGATGTTGCTAAGAATTTCACCTAAAGACTGAAGGGCCTACTTTATTTACAAATACAGGTGAAAAAAAGAAATGATGAATGATGAGGATGAAGACATCCCAGTGACCCTCATCTGGTCATTACACCTGTACTGAAATATCACAGTGCAGCCCATTAATAAGTACTATTTTGTGTCTATTAAAAATAAAAATAAGCTGGGTATGGTGGTGCACCCCTGCAACCCCAGTTACTCAACAATCTAAGGCTAGAGGATGGCAAGTTCAAGGCTAGCCTCAGCAACCTAGCGAAACCCCTGGCTCACTAGGGCTGGAGATGTAACTCAGTGATAGAGAGCTCCTAGGTTTTTAAATTAAAAAAAGAAAAAAAAAAAAGAAAAGAAAACTAACCACATGTGATAATAAACATTAAAAAGAGAGAGAGAGAGAGAGAGAGAGAGAGAGAGAGAGCGCGAGCTCCTAGGTTCAATTCTCAGTATCACACACATACACAACACACAAAACAAAGATACATGCTGTGTATGGCGGCGTATGCCTGTAATCCCAGCAGCATGGAGACTGAGGCATGAGGATCACGAGTTCAAAGTTAGCCTCAGCAACTTAACGAGGCCCTAAGCAACTTAGCAATATTTTGTCTCTAAATGAAATATAAAAAAGGGGTGGGGAGAGGCTGTGGTTGTGGCTCAGTGGTAGAGCGCTTGCCTGGCATGTGTGAGGCACTGGGTTTGACTCTCAGCACATAAAAATAAATAAAGGTCTACCAACAACTAATAAAATATTTAAAAAGAAAGAAGTGGGGAGGCTGGGGATGTGGCTCAGTGGTAAAGCACCCTTGGGTTCAATCCCTGGTACATAAAATAAATAAACAGATAAAGATATATATATGAAAAATATATATATTTTTTGAGCATTCCTAAATCCAAAAATCTAAAATCTGAAATGCTTCAAAATCCAAAAACTTTTGAGCACCTACATAAAATAAGAGGAAAATTCTACACCAAGAATTTGTTTCATATTGAAAGTTATAAAAAACACTGTATAGTTATCTTCAGACTATGCATATAAGATGTATTTGAAACATTAATAAATATGTGTTTAGACCTGAATCCCTTCCCTTCTGTCCCAAACATTTTAGACAAGGGGTATTCAGACTATGAAATGTAATTGCCAAAAATTATGGTTTCCTCTAAAATTTCTAGATGAGTTCAACTCTTCACTCAAAAACTATGTGCACAATTTTCCAGCAAAATGAAGACAAATTTATTCACATCTAATGCTTAGAAAAATAGATCATATTTGAGCCTAGAGAGAGAGTTTTTTATTTGAGAAAATACACACAAAATCCTTTCCTGCATAATTTTAAATGAAAAGACACTGAACCTTAAAAAACAGCAACTTCTGTAGTCTAAAAATTCACAGGTCTCATTCTCTCTTACCTTTTCCAGCCACTGATACTGCTGATCTTCAGCAACATAGCAACTACATTGACAGACAAAGACCTGAAAAATAAAATTCAAAGTTTTTTTTTAAGATAAATAAATTTTATACACACCCAAACTGCCACCATATACATATCATGTGAATACCAACGGAACACTGCTGTACTCTGGATGTGGAATGTCTGCGAAAGACCCATGTGTTTCCTAAAGTTTCTACATCTGCCAAAGTCTGCATTAGCTTGGCACTACTGGGAGGTGGTGGAAACCTCAAGAGAGGGGGGCCTAGTAGGAGGTCTTCAGGTCATGGGGGTAGCCTTGAAGGTGACACTTGGTCTTCCCCCTCTTCTCTTTTGCTTCCTGGTCATGAGGTAAGCAGCTTTGCTATGCCTGGTGCTCCTACCATGATGTACTGTCCCCCAATCAGAGGTCTTAAAGGAACGTGTCTGTCTGATCATGTACTGGAACCTCCAAAACCCCCGCTGATAGATCTCACATGTTTGTTACAGTGACAGAAAGAAAACACAAACACTTATCTTCCTGACTCTACTACTAGCCCATTTACTTCTCTTAAATTTAGTAAGAGTTAAGCCATTACTGATAACTGGTATCAGAATAAAGAATGCACTTAGAGAGCAGTTCAGTGACATGCCTGTTAGATTCTGGGGTACACTAACAGCAAAGACTCTGTGATGCTTAAATAACTAACTTTTAAACATACAAGTTAAGTCCCACATACCAAGGGATTTGATTTTAGGTGATAAAACACACAAAAAGACTCTGAAGGGGACAGGTGTGTGGTGTCCACTGTTCTACACCATTCATTCCAGAGTTTGGCACAACCAACTTCTTCCCAGACGCCTGAATTCATAACAAACGATGACAAAAATGCTGTAAGAGAACAATTCACACAAGTTAGTGCTTAGCCCTGCATGCTGTATTCTCTATTCAATAAAAAGCTGAAATTACTCTAGAATTTCAGCTGAAAAAGTCCTCAAGATCATCTAATGCCACCAATCTGCAGGAGCCAGCCAGGGCTTCACGAAAGGCCACACTGAGTAAGACAAGACTACAGCCAGGAAGGGTCAAGACAGGCTTTACAGACAGACTCCCAGGGTAACACTCCCCTAAAAATGTGAGACCAGAACTTCATATAATGAGTCAGAGTCACTTACTATGTACTTAGTATGCTCTGTAAGTCCCAGGGATGCATTATATGGCAAGGGATCTTAATGGGGTTCCCAATACCTGTAACTCCCCTAAAATTATAAAGATCTTTGTGTACAGGTCTTGTACAGACATTGTTCTAGATGAACTTTACACTTTTCTACCTTTAACTCATCAAGTGAATCAACACAAAGACATTGGAACTTAATTGCTCAAAAGAGCTAGTGATCACTGTTATTTCTGGAGTTCTCATTATGTTTTCAAAAGCCTGTGAACTCAAAAAACATTTAAGTAAACCTGGCTACAACACACCAGAAACAGTTCCTTGAGCTTTAAGTTCCTGAAGACACAAATATTTCCTTTAAATCTTATTTTTTATTTCCATTTTTAGAAGATAGTACACATGAACAGGTGATGTATTTATCCCCTCTCAGAAACAAAGTTACTCTACCAAGACTTTTCTCTTTTAAGTAACCAACCTTTGAAGTCTTTTAGAATGGAAAGAAGTAACTTTGTATTTTTTCTTTCAACAAAACCTCTAGTCTTCTGCATTTTTCACTTACCTACTGCATTATTTCCTATAGCAATTATAAACTTGGAACAAGGATATTTTTCTAGCAGAGAAACTTCCAGAGATGTTTTTGTCTGTCTTCGAAGAAGCCGCACCTCCCTAACACAAGAAACAAGATGAAACCAAAACAGCTTAAACACAGTCAGTATTCTACTTTGAAAAAACAACATTATATGTATGATTGAAGTACCTTTACTAACCGGTAAAACTGACACTTGCATTCTATAAAGAATATAATTAGAATCCTAAAGAAAGAGCAGATTCAGGCACCGATAATCAACAAAACTACTGCAAGCAAGCTTCATGTCCATCTGACCCCCTGATCAATCTTAACATCCCTAAAAGTGAAAAAACTGGGTAGTACGCAACAAGAAACAGAAAGTACCACAGCACCACTTCAAAGCTCTCTAGCTAAAGAATGTCAATCTATCTGATCCAAGTTCCAAAATTAACATTCTTTTGCAGGAGATGCAGGTGATGAGCACACGTGTGAAATGCCTCCAGGAGGGGCAACCAGACAAATCCAGAGCTCTCTACAGGAGTAAAAGGGAAGGTGAACCGCTCCAAATGAAATGAACCCTCTAAGTGTAAGGCGTGGACCTGGTCGGGAGACCGATGTACCCAAACCCACCGGAAAATCTCAGTCTGACCGAACTAGGTATACGAGACGATATGGAACACCACTACTACTGCAGACTATAAGAGACCTAAATCCTATTTTGAGACGCATTCTGCAGGGTGCAGGCCGTACCCGGGCCGTGCTCCGGGGGCGGCAGGAGGGGAAGTCTCCGTGGGCGCTGAGCTGACCTGAGTGCGGGCCTCCGGGGTCCTTCACGTTCTCCCATCTCGTGTGGGGGATAATGGTTGAAAAGAGCGCGCACCTGCCACCCACGCAAGGCCGGCTGGAGCGCGGGAGGAGGGAAAGCCCCCGGGGCGCGCAGGCTCACCCGGCCGGATAGCGGGCCGGGCAGCCGGGCGGGCACAGCCGGCCGCGCCCCGCCGGCCCCTCGCGGCGCCGGCCAGCGCGCTCCCCACCCCCGCGCCGCCCGTGCGGACGCCTCACCTCTTCCGCGCCAGCTGCCGCCGGACCTCCCGGTCCTCGGGGGTCTCCCTCCGTCCCGCCTCCTCCTCCTCCTCCTCCTCCTCCGTCCCGGCTCGGCACGGCGCCTTCACCACCTCTCCAAAGAAAGTGGCTGCCATGGCCTCCAAGGGACCGACCGCCCGCACAACCGCGGCGCCGCGGGACGGCGCACGCGCACCTCCGCGCGACCACGCCCCCCGCACTGCTCTACGCGTGGGCACACCCCTGGCGCGGCGGCCCCCCTCCCCGCTCAGCCACGCCTTCGTACCGCCTGTGCACGTAGCCACGCCCCCTGTACCGCCCACGCGCACCACTTAGTACCCGCAGGCAGCGGAAGCCCGGAGCGTTTTCCTTCCGCTGTCTTAGCCGTGCGGGGAGACCGAGACTCTGGAGGATGGCGGGCTAGAGGGGCAGGAAGTGAGCCCGTCGGCGGAGCCCGCGGAGGCTCTCCGGTCACACAGGTAACGGTTCCGTCCTCTGCGGCAAGTGCTTCAGCAAGATCCTGGCCCGCATGCTTCTCCTTCCGCCAGGGCCTTCCCCTTCCCCTCCAGTAAACGCGGTGGAGTAAAACGGCTTACTGAGCTCTGTTGCGCACCTGGTCGCCCCAGCGGGCAGCGGCGAGGAGGCCCGGGACAGCGGGCAGGAAGAAATACAGTGCTTCGTGGTGTTGTAGAAATGTGACCTTTACTCTGGCTTAGGAATTCGCATTCAAAAGCTGTCAAACCGACCTAAAAAACATTTTATGAGAATGCAAAAATAGTTTTTAAAACTTGGCCACTTATTTTTTTCATCTTGAATAGCCTTTCACTGTTAGGTATTGAATTGGTTCTTTATTAGCTTGTGCTGGAAGACAAAGCTCACAGAGCACTGTTCCAAGCGAGAGAAAAGGGGACAACTCTTGGCTGAATCCATTACTACAATGAAACGCAAAGACAGATCCTGGATTTAGATGTGTTGAAATGGATGTCACTGCCTGCATTTTGGAACCTTTTCAGTGAATAGTCACAATGGTAATACATTGGGGGAGTCTTTTGAGATTGGCCCAAAATATCTCCAAGTTGCCAGAAACATCTTAAGATGTGGGAAAACAAAAAGATCACTTACATAAAATGTCTACAGCTTTACACATCAAGGGGGAAATAAAATATGTGAACACTTAAGAGTAAACAGACCAAGCTGCTAGCCGTAAGCTTAGGAAACCTTGGGTATCATCTATGAGAAAGAATATACAAGATTACCAATATAACATTTTAAAACATGAGGACTCCTGCATTAGTCGGTCTAGTATAATGAGTGAATTGCAGATAAAAAGGTTGTTTGGGCATCACTTTGTCTTAGTCCTTTTGTTAATTGTCATTTTACAAGTAAGATATTCAACTTGATTTTTCATCATTTGATATTACATTATGAAGAAATCTTTTCTGACAATCTGACTAAAGTTATTATAGAATAATGATAACACATTTGGCTATGATTTAAATTCTGCATACATCTCAAGAAAGTCTTACAAGAATGTTAAGTTTCAAACAAATGCTTATTTCATGCAATTACAATAAACAGACCAAGCACTTATAAAAAGGCAAATATATGTTTAAATTAAATACTAAATTGGAAAAGGAATTCCATTATGAAAGGATGACCATACAATCTCAGATACTGACAAAAAACAGAGAAGATTACAAACTCAAAACTTAATTCATCACATTTGAATTGTTAAAAATTTTGCATAATAGTCTTCATTGAGACTTAAATATTTTCATTTTATGGCACTTTTTGAGGATATAATATACCAAATAAGAAATTTGAAATTAATGTAAATTTTAGACTGGGAAATAAGTTTTAACATTTCATTAAAGCTCAAAAGTTAAATCCCATGCACTTAAAAATAGCAGTTTATTAGGAATTCTTCCCTTTCTCACCTATTTTAAATAACAAGATTTTGGAGCTCAGTATTTTAAATTAAAGTATACTAGAAAAAGAACAAAGGACACATTGTAGGTTAGAATATTCTGGCTTACACTGAAAAACCCAAAGCCTTTTTAAAAACAGACATGCAGCCACAAATTTCTCAAGTAATCTAAACACTTTGTCGATCTGTATAACCAAAAAAATAAAATAAGCATTAGTCTTAATAGAAACTCCCAGATTTCTACATTTTACTTTTTTCAATTACACATGCAAATTATATACTGATATTCACAGATATTTTTAAATGAGAAAACAACTTGCTTTTGACAACTTATTTTTTCAATAACATCTAAGTTAAAAAGATTTGACAGTACATTCATTTAATCCAGTGATCAAATACCTATTAATAAATTAAGCCCCATTACAAATAAAATTTTTGTAGTACCATGATCAGATTTTCTAATCCTAGCAAAGGCCACAATGATATAAGCCAGACATGCTGCCATAAAAGTTTGTGATGAGATTGTAATAAGTTTTCCCATTGTTCAACTTCCAACTCTTAAGTTGCTGAGGATAAAGGTGATATTTCACTCTATAATCTAAAAATATGACTGCTTTGATCTTAAGCTCTACTTTTTATTTTCTGATTAAAACTAAGCCTGCCTCTTAATTTTTGCTGCTACATGAAACAAGGAAAAGTGATAGTCACTTCAGAGCTTTCATAGAAAAATATATTTTCCCTGAATTAGTCATACCAAGTGGTCATCATTCAGTATGAATCCCAAAGTTTTAAACAAAATAAGACATCAATGGATTTCCTCTATCTGCCTATTTCCAACGCTGCTTCAGAACTCCAGCATTAAATCCCCTTCTGCAACTTTTGTTTTGACCTTTGGATGTGAAATTTAGGAATTAGATCTAGTTGAAGTTTTTGCTTCACTCAAAAGACAAATAGGCTCACCAGCACTTTACTTTGAAAATGAATCTATATATTTTTCCAGTTTCAGTAATGACACCATAATCATGGTGGCCGGAATTTTTATATTCAAATGAAAAAAAATCTTAAAATTAGTGTCAGGTTGAGGTGTTGAAAAATTTTTTTCCATCCTTCCTACATATCCTGTCCACTTCCCATTTTCTTCCTTCAAGGAGTCAGGTTTTAAGGACCTTGTTCTCTATAAAGGAGCCTCACTCTTAGGCCCATTGCCTTTTCTTTCCACCTCTCAAACTACAGACTCCRCAATCTGCTTCCTCATCAGACCCCCCTGTATAATGTGTTAGTTCAAGGGCTGGCTGGAAGGAAACCTTCCTCCCACTCCGCCCACTGGAGTATGGCTTTTAAGAAATTCCTCAAAAGATGCCAAGAAGGGATTAGCTTTAGGGCTTAGAGCATAATGCAACTGCCAGCTTCCGGGAGGCCCCTGCTTGTTTTCAGATAYCACTTCTACATTGTCAGTCACTATTGTGCTTTTTCTTTCCAGGATCTGAACCGCCTAAAAAAAATCACTTTGCTATTAGTATCTTCTAGCTCTTTTTCACTTTCAGAATTTATGGTTGTATCATCCTCTTTATAAACATTCAGTAACTTTTTCTTAGCCGCAGCAGAAGCATTTCGATGGGGCAGTTTTCTGCTACTCTTCCTAATCCAGATATTTTCTGGTCCTGAAATCGTTTCCTTTAGATTACTCATTATCTTTATTTTATTTGCAGCAACAGTAGCACATCTGCGGGGAACTTTCTCAGGTACCATTTTTGCTTTCAGAGTTTCACTAGGCATTTGCACTGCATCCTTCTGATTATGCATACATGTTCGCATTTTTGTTTGGGGTTCTCTGTCTCTAGGAACAGATTCTGAAAAATGAGTGAAAGGTCATGTAAATGCAAAAATCTTGTAACACAAGATTTTACTACTACATTCCTCAACACTTACATACCTAAACAATGAATTTTAAGACTTCCAATTTTGACAAACATAACTTTATATTTTCCTTCTCTGCATCTAAGGAGACTGTCAATAGCAGACTTGCAAGAGGTTAATAATACCTTTAGCATCATAAAGCCACTCACATAAAAACCCTCTTTAAAATCCAGATTTAAAAAATAAGACCATGTGTTTAATTTTTTTTTTTTGCTATCATTTCTAATTCTCCATTAAACTACTTTAAAATACTCAATAGAAATAATTTCCCGGGGCTGGGGATGTGGCTCAAGCGGTAGCGCGCTCGTCTGGCATGCGTGCGGCCCGGGTTCGATCCTCAGCACCACATACCAACAAAGATGTCGTGTCCGCTGAGAACTAAAAATAAATATTAAAAATATTCTAAAAAAGGGGGGGGGGACTAGCAATGACTACCTCCAAGATTATTAAAAAAAAAAAAAAAAAGAAATAATTTCCCTAGAACCTAAACAAGAAAAGCCGTCATAACTATATATATGACAGCAACAAATCAGCTCTGTGGTCAAGGTCCTTAAGGTTCTCCTTGCAGATCAGAATTTCCTCTACTCCAAAAAATTGTTAAAATTGGTAAATGGTGGATGAAAAAAATCTTACACTAATTTTATGTAACTGAAGTGTGGCTTTAACCCTAGATTTTTCAAATATTGCAACATTTTACATAGCTGGAATTAAATCTTCAGTAATTCAAATATTTTCTGACATAGATATGTTCCAGAAGGTTATGATAAAGATCCTAATTACATATATATAATTGCTTTAAGGAACTTACCAGGGCAGGGTGCTATGAAACCTCACCAAGTTTAAGGGACAGTGCAGTGGAAGGCTTCCTTTTTGAGGAAATGCTATTATAAATGAGCTAGAATTTGTGAAGGAATTGGCCATACCCAAAAAAGCCAAGCTCCCTGGAGAGGACAGCCCCTCACCCAGACCCCAGAGGTGTTGGGAGGGTGGCTGCAGATCGTATTTGCTACTCCACACATAGCAAACTGAGGTGAGCTCAAATCTTATTTTTGCTGGTGTCTCAAATTTTGATTTTTCATACTTTAAAAACAAGATTAATATTTTTCTAGGGCATTCCTTTGGCATGTCTTATGTGAATCCAATATTAGCCTCTGAATTTTAGGCCTTATGTGTTGGGAAGCTAGTGGTTTCCAGGCCTTGAGCAGTCAATAAGGACAGGCTTTAAATCACTAAAATAACACAACTATCTTACATCCACACAACTTCTGTAAGGCTCTACGGTATTTTTCTCTTTACTACTAAGTCTAGAAAATAAGAGCTATTTGGTCAGGTAATATCAAGTAAAACTATTATTCTGTAGCAGTGAATACTACCTACCAACTTCCTTAGTTTTTCCTCTTATGGAGACATTTGCCCTCATGTCAGCAAGTTGAAGAAAGGGCAGATAAGTACAGGTAAAATCTTCTGCTCTGAATTGCCATGTTCCCATAGTAAGCATTATGAGGAACAGGTCCTTTGCCCTTACAGCAAAAATGCTTCCATTTACTGTGTGTGAAATGGGTCTTACTATTGTGCTTTCTCTAAGACCCTGAGGAGTTCTCCCACATTGGGTTTAGAGATATTTCACTCACAGCAACCTTGAGACAGACAGACAGACACACACACACACACTCTCTCTCTCTCTCTCTCTCTCATCCCTTTTACTCATGAAATGAGTGGTTCTCATGCTTTTTCAGTGTAATTTCATTTTTAAAGACAGCATGTTTTGTTCAGTGTAAGGCCCCAGGCACCTAAATGGCCTGTTAGCAGGTAGTGGACATTCTCTGAACAAGCATGCCCTTCTCACCACCTCTAGGTGGCTCTGCAGGATAAAAAAGTGCAGTGTTTTCAACCTTTGAGCAACTTTTAGAAATGTCTAGATTATGAACTGTTATCCCAGTAAATCAACCCTATATTCAAAATGAATTCTTAACATAAGCATCAGTTAAATGCTACAATGTAGACAGGCCATAAAAGGTTTAGAATATGTACAGCAAAATTAAGGTGAAATGTGTAGTTTAACATGATAAAGATGTACTAATGTCACTCAACTACCTGCACCCATTTGCATGTTGACAACTGGCTTTATGGTTCATTCCCAACAATATGTTCAGTCAAATAGCATAAAATCCTGTTAATAAAAAAAAATGGTACCAGGAATTGAACCCAAGGGCACTTAACCACTGAGCCACATCCCCAGACACTCCCACCCCTTTTTTAAACTTTACTTAGAGACAGGGCCTCCCTAAGTTGCTTAGGGCCTCACTGAAGAGGGCTTTGAATTTGTGATCCTCCTGCCTCAGCTTCGTGAGCCTCTGGGATTGCAGATCTGCACCACGCTCCCGACTTGCTTTCTCTTTTGATGTGTGATGAAGCATCTATACTGACAATTTAGGAACGTGATAAATGCTAATTACTTTAATGTTTATTTCATATCCACAAAAGTGAAAAATTTAGATTCTTCAAGGAAAAACTAAAATTAGTTTTAAAAAAATACTTGAAGGAAATTTGAACTACAAATGAAAAACTATGCCAAAGGGTATATAAGGTATGAATTCTATTGTATAAACCAACTACAATTTGATAAAGTTGTAGCTCTAAAGACTGAGATGACAAAATGGGAGTTTCATGAAATAATAAAAACATGAGACAGAAAAGTAACCATGTGAGGAATTTTTCCCTGAAATATACTTGTGTTAATTCTATTACTAAGAATAAAGTGCTTTATTCTCCTTGAGAAAAATATTTTTAGAAATATATACAGAATAATGTAGGCTAAAGAGAAGTCACATTTGTGTTAGGATATAAGCAATATTTTTTTTTTGGGGGGGGGTGATGGTGCTGGGGATTGAACCCAGAGCCTTGTACATGTGAGGCAAGCACTCAACTGAGCTATATCCCCAGCCCAGGGTACAAGCTTAAAGACTTCTGATGATGATGCTTGAACACCCACCCCATTTGTAGCAGTGTCATCTGGCACAAGGCAGTATGACAGGTCCTGCTGCCTGTGTTTTCCTGTCAGTCCCACGTCAGGACTGTCTTGAGTGCCTGAGATCTTGCTGTTCTCCTAATCATGGCTTCCTGTCTGGGGAGGGCCAAAGCACAGTAGTACTGTGAACAGCGTCTGCAAAAGGATCTATACTTTACCAGGACACTCCTTTCTAAGTGACAATGCTCAGCCTTGTGTTCTAAGATGGTCCTGTGATGAAATGGATATAGACCTGACAGTCTGATTCAAAACATTAACCTCTTAGTTTCCACATTTTAAATATTTATGTTCCAATTATGTTTAATCAGATAAAATTGTTTTCGTAAGCCCAAAGAGTGTTCAAAGATTACTAAAGAAACATTTAAAATGTTTATTCGGAGTTTTGTTTTGGTTGGGTTTCTCTGTTACTGGAACTCGATGAAACTAAACCCAAGGATGCTCAACCACTGAGCCACATCCCCAGGCCTTTTTATTATTTTGAGACAGAGACTCACAAGGTTGCTCAGGTTGGCCTTGAACTTGGCATCTCCCTTCCCCAGTCTCTCAAGTAGCTAGGATTACAGGTATGCACCAACATGCCCTGCCTGATCAGCATTTTCTAATTGGAGCATTTAAAACAAATTTGAGGTGAAAAGGGGGGGGGGGTTAAAAAATGCCTGACTCAAAACTATACTTGCCTATTTCCAAATATACTTTTCCACAGCACTGACATTATCAAAGCAAAACAATGGTAAACCTTTCAGTTCCAATCATGGTTTCCCCCAAGCCAGCCTTGTATCAGAACCAGCTGGAAGTGTGCCCTCTTCTTTGCCCTCTACTTGTAAAGCAATGAAATTACCCAAAACTCAAAGGCAAATATCATTTACCGATGACCTTCATCCTTTCCATAACACAAGTTTCCAAAAGGATCCCATAAACTCAAGTCTTTTAGAGAATGGTTGTGGAAGCAAGTGTTTTCAAATAATAATTTATTTCCTAGGAGACAGTTTAATACTGCAATGTTAACTTCTACAGTATGGCAGTGTCAGGTCCAGGCTCAGAAATAATTCTGTTAATCCAAATTGTTCCTTACCAGTTTAGTCACTGTTAGCGTGCAATTCACTCAATGGGGGCATAGGTACCACACAACCTTCAACTTTACTCACCTCATCACGGATAATTATAGCACATCACAAAGCAGTTTTCTCTCGTTACTCAGAAATATTTAATTGGTCAACACTAGTCATGACTCCCGTAAGTTTTGTTGTGGTTACTGTAACTATCATCTAATATGTTCAGGTGCCTTATATTTACCTGCTTAACTTTTTAGAATATCTCAGTATTTCAAACTACTTGTAGGCAGGAGAAACTATCAAAAAGTAAATAACTGTGTTCAGTCCACGTCACTTCCTAAAGCAAAGCAGCAGGGTTGCAAACAAGCCCACACCAAATTCCTCTCAAGCATGGTTCCTCACTCCCCTGAAGTTCCCTCGGCTGAAACCTACAATTTGCAGGTGTGTTTTACCTGCATTAACAAGACGAAATCACCCGTGGACAAAACTGGGGCACAACTTAGTACGAAAGGCAAACATAAGCTTCAGGGAAAATTGACTATACTATCTGCAGACCCACTTGGCTTGGAGAGGATTTTAAAAAAAATCTACCTGTTTTGTTACTATGACAGCTACATTTGTTATACTTTTTACCATTTTAGTCGTCAACTAAAAATTCAACGACTTTAGAATGCATTACTTTAGATGGATTACTTTAGAACACTACAATCTTGAAAAAAATTGAAGATTTGCTTTTTTAGTAGGCTTTTATAATAAAATGGGTCAAATTCTGCAGGTGAAGCCAGGCACAGTGGCACACCTGTAATCCCAGAGCCTGGGGAGGCTCAACTTGGAGGAACCCAACCAAGTTCCAGGCCAGCCAGAGGAAATGAGCAAGGCTCTATCTCAAAAAGGAAAGGGGTTAGGATGGTGCCCTGGAGGTGTACATTTGGTAAAACACTGTTAGGTTCAATCCTCAGTACAGGGGGGTGGGAGTGGGTTTTTCAGGTAAACTGAGTTGGTGCAGCCCAAGCACTGATCCATACTTAGAACATACTTAAAAAAAAAAAAATCAAAGATCCCTTCAACTTTTAATCACTGATCAGAAAAGGTAATTTCTAAACCATTTATAAGTACCAAAAGTATAAGGAACCAAAGTATAAGGCTGCTTTAATCCATGATATTAACTCTTCCTTTGGCAGTATGGATTTCCATTTAAAAGTTTTAATAAATGATACAGTTTACCTTAAAATTAAAATTTAAAGTATGACCGGGAAGTATACTGAAGCACTGGTAAATAAGTTCAATGAACTATCAGTTGAGAAAGAAGTAGTCTATGGTTACTTACATGCTTAAAGACAATGATGCAGATTTGTAGGATCCAAATATTTTGCCTCCCCGCAACCCACCATCAAATCCCGAAAAACAATCCTTGAAAAGATACCAATTATGAATCTTGATATTTTGATACCAGGTTGACAATATATTAGAAAACAGCTTGTAGATTATGAGCCTAGTAAAAGTCTCCATTTTGAGAATAGCCTTGTATCCTTAAGCAGCATTTGCAAGAGCTTTAAATTTCTTAAAATGTGAGAAGACAACAGAGCCCTCACCATTATATTCTTTACTCTTCAGTCCTAATTCACAATTTGAGCTACAAGTAGGATTAATATCTACTAATCTAGTTGGATTCTACATTTGTTTCAGATTGCTCCATTTTCTCCCTAGTCTTGACAATTTATTTGGTTTGGTCCTTAAATTCTCCAATACTAAGATAAGAGACAGACTTTTAAACTCAAAGGGTTTCTGCTTTATTATTTCCTGATATCCACAGCAGTTTAGCAGCATAGTTTAAATAATAATTAGCAAGTTATTCCACAATGTTGTTGTGCTCCATCATACTAGAATAATTGAACTGTAATTTCTATACAAAAATTTGAAAAGTATACAACTATTGACGGGAAGTATGGAGCTTGTTATTTGTTATAAAAGGGCAAAGCAAAAAGACCATTTTCTAGCCATTCAAAAAAGTCACTTAAAAAAAAAAAACAGTGGAGTAGAAAGGAAAACAAAAATGTTGTAAGTACCTTTAACAATGCTTTTGCATTCTCCTAATAAACATCTACTTTTTTTCAGTTGACACAAATTCAACTTATACTGACAAAAGAGATTAAAATCCTTCAAGAGTTTTCAATACCAGTAGAGTTAATAAACTGTGTTCTAATTATTCTAGAGAGAAAATAAAAGCTAGAAGAGGGACCAGGAATGTTGTGTGCACCCAGTGTTATCCTAGGTGAAATGTCACCAAGTCTAGAGGGCTTTGTGGTACATCTTAATGTCTGGAGAGTGCTGCCCTCAGTATTTTCATTGGTTTGTTTCATAACCCCTTTTCCCATTTGTGCTTGTAGGTTTTCAAGTTTGTTTTCCCTAAAACTAAGTCTTTTCCTCCATTTTCTTATTAAAAACCAATTTCCTTTTTTAGGTACAACTCTCTACTATTTGGAAAATATATTTGTCATAATTTTTCATCTTCTGAAATAACTGTAATATCATTCTGAGGATTACTACATTAAACAAAAAATTTAATAAGAGATTTTTCACTTATACAAGAAAAAAAAAATAGAACGACCACCCTGGGAATTATCTGAAAACGGGATAAATTTTCCTTTTATTCATAAGTTACTACACATTGTCAACACACCCTTTTAAAATAAGTAGAATATGGGGGGGAAACACCTTTTAAACCTCACCTTTAAATGTTTGCAATCTTTTTTTTCTTAATATGCTTGGTATAATTAATCTTTCAAAGGAAGTAAAAACCAAACCTGAATACTTCAAAACCCTTTTTTTAAAAAAAAATCCATAAATGAATGAAATCATATAGGACTTTGGACATACACAACCAGGTTTTTAAGTTATTTTTTCACATACACCATCAAATTACTTCAAGTGCAATAATAGAAAGCTACAGCACTTCGTCCTGGACCAGTTCACATTCGCTGTCACCTTTGTCTCTTCCTCAAGAGAAATAAAGACCAATCCTAAACATTAAAGTACATCTGTGCATTAAGTCCCTGCGCATTCTGCATAAAGTAGAAAAAAGTCAAACATGTTCTAGTGCTCATTGTAAACATTTTAACTATTATTTATTAATTTTCCTTAAAGGTACTTAGGAGTGTGTTACGTATTTAAAGTTAACCTTAGGAATAGCACCATAACCAAACACCCCGTAAGAACGCTTTTCTCCTTAAGCCCTTGGATTTACTTCAGAAGTTGAGAAGCCACCATTGTCAACCTCCCTTTTAAAGTCACCAGGTATCATTCTTGCCTTTTCTGATAAAACAAAATACTATTAAACCAAAATACTAAATCTATACCCACGGGTCTAACCATTTTGGCCAAAAAGAAAAATTACATTAACTGACCAGCCATTGAATGATCAGTTAATTCAAAGAACAAAAACAGTTCTATTAATGATGCTGAAACTGTCAATGTATTGTTGTGACAAAAGAATTTATGTACATATGAATATTTCATATTTATTTATGGATCTTTTGGTACCCTTTTGCAGATGATGGTAAACATGGAGTTATAACCCTGAGAACAGAGAAGCTTTGGAAGAGTTTAAATAAATGAATGGATCTGATGACTATCACCAGTTCTTTAAAGTTAGGGATATAAATGGCATCCCACTACTTTTTTCCGGTCAACAAAGAAAATCATCCTGTCTTCTCCTGCACAGTTAACAGGAGCTCTGAAGAAAAGCATTATCCTTTTGGTGACAGAGGTCTCTAAACCAAATGAGAGGTAAATGTTCTCTACTATAGGACAAATATATATAATGTCCAAAATCATCCTTCCCTTGCATCAGATTAGAAAGAAAAATTCCTCCTACTATGTCAAATGGAATAGGGCAACTAAGAAGTAGGAACCCTTTAAGAACATTCTCTAATATTGATACCAGAGTCAGATATTTTTCCTGTCTGCCACCTCAAGGAAACAGAAAAAGAGGATTAATTTTGTCTAAAACCAAACACAATTAGTGCCAATAAGTCACTTAAAAGGTACAATACTGTAACAGACCTTTTAACTACTAAAAATGTAAACCATTTCAGGCACAAACACTCTAGGAATGGTTCCTACACTGTCTGGAGTAGCATAACCTATCAAGTAAAAGTATTTGGCTTGAAAATAAGTGTACTATGGTATCTGGGATGATGTGATAAAGTTGAAACTTTAAATGCATTCAAAAATCATTTTCTCACAAAACATGACAGTTTCTTATATTCAGACTAGAGGTCACTATAGAGACTTAGTTGCTCCAGAGAAGAACCCACAGGGTGGCACCTAACAGCAGTCAGCTACAACAGAGCTGGAGAACAGCACTTCTGTTCTTACACAGACACCATCTGCAACAGCACTCAGCAAAACTCAGCTCTAAAATTTTAATATAGAACTTAAATACTCTTTCAGCTCTGTACATTGCTAAAGAACATACTTTCCCTAAATCTAAGGCACACAAACTCCTCTATTTCAGAGTAAGATTATGGAAGAGCAAGATTTTGGTTAAATCCCTTACGATGGAAACCAACAGAAGACAAATTACATAACATTTTGTTAGTGCACAATTTAAAAGAAAATGTAATGACTATGCTCTGGCCTTAGAGGTTTAAAATATGCACTCAAAACATTAAAAAATAATTTACCAGCACTTTATAAATTCAAGTTTATAAAATAAAAGTGATTATACTTTCCTTAAAAAGAAAAAAAGACCCAAAAGAATTTAAAAAGAAAACTGGAAACCATTTCAATGAAAATGACCAAATCTGGTATAATGCATTCTACTCAAGTAGCCAGGGAAGGGGGGGGGGGCGCGGTGGTAGGTACCTTGCCTACTAATCATGGTTACACTTCCCATGATTATAATGTCAGTATGCACATAATATTTACGAAGAATCTGTAAACATAGGTCATGTGAAATTGTTCTCTACTATAGGACAGGGGATAGAAACTACCACCTCTGGACAAATTCAGAAAATAACTCCATTGACACTTGCTACCATGAAAGTAATGCTCATCGGTTTTGATAACCAGGACGTCTAGTGTTTAACATATTTCAAACTCTTGCTATATGTAGTCAAATACTGTCAAAGTAGATCTGCCCCCAAAATGAAGCATATTTTGGCACCTGTGCTAAATGCTGCTACAAAGACCAGCAAGTGCAAACAAAAATAACAGTCATGATTTAGTCACATTCATAACTTTTCATAGAAAAATATAAATATATTCCCTGAATTGTAAGACAAAAATAATTTCAACAGCCAGCTTTCACCATCAATTCCAGTCCATTTCCTCCTTAAATGAACTGGCTCTCCCTCAAGGTCATAAGGTGCAATCATTGTACTCTAACACATTTTCTAAGCTTTTATCATCATCCCCATCGTGGTATCTCACGGTCCTTCTACCCTGATTTCTCGTTTTTATTTTTGAACGTCGAAGAACTCTTTTAGATTTTGCATAGTCCAAATCCTCCCAGTCATTATCATCCACACTTAACCTAGGGCGTTTGCTTTGTCTTTGCCGTCTCACGGTTTTAGATACGTTAGTTGTAAAAGTTTTACCTTTTCTAACTACTTTTGCTTTTCCTTTCGCTTTCCTCCTTTTGGTTTTTGTATTATCAGTACAGTCAACATCTGACTCCGTTAGAGATCCCAGATCTGTTGATTTGGGACTGGTGTCAGGTCTGCACTTTGTACTCCCAGTTGCTTCAACTCTTTTCACATTTTCCAGTTCAGGATGCAGTCTCTTCCTTTTTATTTCTGTCTCTGCTGTTGCTTGTGAATCACGAATCACTTTCGTCTTACTGAAAGGTGCCTTTCCATATGTTCTGAGTCTTCTGCCATTCCATCTTCGTAGCCCATAATTCAATTCTTCTTCAAAATTACTTTCTGTGGTTGCTTTTTGCACAAAAGTTGACTCAGAAGAAAATTTTCTACTGTTCTCACTCCCTGGAACATGGTTTTTTGAATCCTCTTCTGAAGACCCAACAGAGGAATTCTTTGTCTTAGAAGGTACATTTGTGTTGTGATTATTGATATGACTGTTGTGTTCTGAATTCCAAATGCCTTCAGAGTCCGAGTCTCCATTTAAAGACCGACTAAAGTTTCCTGCACTCCTTTCTGCATCAGGTTCGGATGGCTCACCGTCACAAGCACACTGCTCATTTGGCACTTCACAGTGTTCATCTTCCTCACAATCACTCAGTATCTTCCTAGCTGTGGTACAAGCTGGATGAGAGGGCTGTTTCCTTCCCCGTTTGCTTCTGGTGCATACACTTTCTGAACTGATGTTTTCTGCATTACCCCTGAGCCTGATAGTACTGGTAGCGGTAGCCGAAGTACTTCGTGTAATCCTCAGAGAACCTGTTCGGGCTCTGGATGACTTCTTAATCTCCCTTGAGTTGGTCTCCGAATCACTGGAGCAGACCCTTTTCCTGGAAACTTTTCTGCTTTGCCCATTGTCTTGTGGTGCTGAATCTAAAAATTAAAAGAGTATTCATTTAATCTTAGTAAGAGTAAACAATTCTAACATTTGAAACAAATCCAGCATTCTTATTAACTTGGATGTGAGTGTCAGTGAAAGGGATAGCCCATAAATCTTAATACTTTAAAGTGACTTTTTCAGGCTAAGCCCATTCACAAACACAGCAAATCCCATGACCTTGAAACTGCAGTGCAGACTAATACAGACTAAACTCCTGTGAACTCTACACAGGTTTCAATCCTACTACCTTAACCTTAGCATCAGCTGTCTTCTGTTTTTACTTTATCAATCCCCATTCTCTAGGAGTATGATCTTTATATTCAACAGACATTGCGCTACTATCACAGTTTTTATCTACAAAATGGACAATGATAATTGTACCTACCTCATAAAAAATAGAAGTGCTAAACATTTTTTAGTTTAATATTGAGAAGTTCTTAGGAAAACCTGATAGAAAAACCCAGTGACTGTTCTGTTAGTTGCAATCATTACTACTTAACAGTTCAACCAGTCCTACTCCTTTTCTTMCTCCTCTGAAGCTGTCCCTACCATGGCTTATATACAGGATAGCTTCTGATTTTCTCAAAAGCTATCATCATGTGTATATTCTCAAGCCCTTTTCCACAATATCCCATCATCAACAGCAACGGTGAAATCTTAATAGGTATGCAAAACAACTGCGCATACACATGAGACTATAAAAGACCAACAGAGAAGTTTCAAGAGAAAAATAATTGAGAAATCTAACACGGAATGAAAACTGAATTAAATCAGTGAACCAAAAAAATGTTCTTAATTACCATTCATGACAGTGTTTGCCTTTTCCTTTACTTTGTCATCATCAGAATCTAAATCAGTTTCAGATACATGATCGGACAAACACTGAGGCACACCAAGAGGTTCACACTTCAAGTTTCCTGAAACTGAACTCATTTCCATTTTGTGACATCTGCCATCTTCCCTATCTTTTTCTTCAGATTCTGAGTCTTCGGAATCACTTAAGATCTTTGCTTTCTTAAAGAAATTTGCATTCTTGCGAAATGTATTATTTCCTGGTTCAGAGTCGGCTTCCTCTGAGATACTCTCTGCCTGAAGTTTCTGCCCACACTCTAAAGGGCCAGCAGTTCTGTTATGTCCATCATCTGAATCATGACTTTTAGAATCTTCCTCAGAAGACTCTATTTTAAGAAATTTTGTTTTAGAAGTCGCTAGAGTATAGGACTTGTAACCATTAGCGTGCCAATTTTTCCGGGCTACCCGCAAGTCACTTTCTGATTCTGAATCTCCATTTTCAGAGTCATTGACAGTGTTCTGGGCAGCATGAGAACTGGTTGCTTGTAATGGCTGTTCTTGATCTTTTAGGTCTTCCTCTTCAATTTCTGACTTGAGGCTCTGATCATCATCAGAATTATGCAGTAACTTTTTTCTAGCTACAGCAGAAGCATTGCGGTGAGGCAGCTTCCGACCAGAGCACACACTTTCAGAACTAGAGTTTTCTTCTACGTCACTCATTAGCTTTATCTTATTGGCAGCCACAGCAGCACACTTCCGTAGGACTTTTCGGTTACTTCCAGCTCTCGCTTTAAGAATTTCACTGGTCTCTAATGAATTGTTATCAGAATCACTCAAATAAACTCTCTTTCGAGTGGCTTTTCTGCCACATCCATTTTCTAAATAAACAGGACCTAGAAATAAATCAATAACAACATTAGAAAGGGTTTTCATATTTCAACATTTTTAAGTGACTATTATTTCAGTGATTTTCCTTGTTTTTTTTTTTTTTTAAATGCCAAAGTTGATTTCCTTTCCAAAAAACCCAATGGACATTTACAAGTAGGTGAATTAAATAATCAATAAAGCATCCACTGTGCAAATCTGGTAAATCTCTTACCAGATTTTCTCTGAGCAGCTCTATTTCTGGTCACCCTGAGATTGCTGCCTCTGGACAATCCACTACGCAAGGAGGATTCACGAGCTCTTGAACACTCTTTGCTTTCCTCTGAACTATTTGAAGCTGAAGAGGATGAAGAGGTAGCTAAGGAATCTTCCATTTCACTTTCTAAGAAAAACAAAGTGTAAATCATTAATTACGTATATTCTCTTCATACACATATAAGCCAACCATTATTTCCTAACATTACTAAAAACTCAATATTATTATTTTAAGAACTATTTCAAAGAAAAGCTGATAAAATTCTTGATAGCACCGAGTTTGATTCTCAGCAACATATAAATAAAAGCACTACATAAATAAAGGTCCCATGACAGCTAAAAAATATTTTTTTAAAAAAATTTCTTTTTAAATAGTTTTTAAAAATCAGTATCCAGGGCTAGGGTTGTGGCTCACAATAGAGCACTTGCCTACCACAAGCAAGCTGCTGGGTTCGATCTTCAGCATCAAATAAAAATAAATAAATAAATAAAATAAAGGTACTGTGTCCAGCTACAACTGAAAAAAAAAAAATCAATATACAAGTCAAGTCTGGGCTTGTATTTCTAAAAGACAATACTAATTTGTACTAATTTAAGAAATTTTTTCATAAGAATTATAAACAAAATTTAATTTAATAGCCTAATTAGTACTTCATTCTGTAGTACCTTTATGAAGAGTTTTAAAAGAAAGTATAATTTTATGTTCTAACAACCCTTCCTGACAACATGGCTGCACCACACATGCTCTCAGATCCAAAAAGGTAGTTTTATATGCTCAACACAAGGAAGGGATCAAGATAAAGAAATACTTTAGGCAGCATGGGCAGTTTTTGCCACTAGTCTACTTCATTAAGTACACAACCAGTGTGAGCACAAGACAGAAACCCCCAATTTCCTGTTCCTTCTGCMACTCATTTCTTTAATGAAATAAACATTTCATCAATTAGCAGAAACACATGGTTAAAAAAGACAGTGTTTTGGTCCATAATTAGACCAACTCTATTTCAGAGAAGAAAGTGGCTGTCAGATGGATATCAGACACTAAACTGTGAAACTGCTGTTTCTCCTCAGCTCCATCAACAACCATCTGCTTCCTATTTTCAGACCTTTGCCTTTCCCAAACTGGGAATCTTCCTGGAACTCCTGGCTTACAAGGGATCCAATGAGGTAAGAACTGACAGTATCTATAATGTGTGTGCATCCCACCTATTTAGTTCTAGTTTCTACCATTTCCCAAAATGTAGCCTGTTCGTGTGCAAACTGCCTCCTCTTTTCCCCTGACGTTTTCCTCCTAACTGCTCTCCGATTGAAAAGCATTCCCTTATTTTTCATCCCATTCTCAGTTAACCCAGCACACTCTGATTGAACACTGTTTTCTAAATGTATCCAGTAAAGCCGGTGCCGTGGCGCACACCTGTAATCCCAGCAGCTCGGGAGGAGGAGGCAGGAGGATCATGAGTTCAAAGCCAGTCTCAGCAAAAAGCAAGGCGTTAAGCAACTCAGTGAGACCCTGTCTCTRAATAAAATACAAAAAAGGGCTGGGGATGTGGCTCAGTGGTCAATTGCCCCTAAGTTCAATCCCCAATACCAAAAAAATATATGTGTGTGTGTGTGTGTGTATCCCTTAAGATACACACACACACACATACATACATAATGTATGTATGTATGTATCCCTTAAGATACTATGTAGATCCAACATGGTATACATCAGCTTGTTTACCTGACCTCCTCCAAATATCACTGCCAAGTTGGTTAATCCATAGAATTTTACCACAGCTCACTTTCATTCCAAAATTTTATCTGTAGCTATAATTTTTTCAATACCACTTAATGAAATATTGGATAATAACACACACAAAAAGCATTAAATTATAATGGTATCATAATTCACCACAATCACCCACTACAACACAAAAGGACATGAACACCACAGCCTCATTTACACATTGCTCTTTTTCCCCATATTTTTTATTTGGCACACTATAATAATTGTATAATGGTGAGATTTGTTGTACATATTCATACATGCACATAATAATATAATTTGGCAAATATCACACTGAAGTATTTCCCCTTTCCTATCCTTCATCTACTGGTCTCCCTTTCATTTTCATGAGATTCTCCCACACAGACCTTTCTTTTCCCTTTTCCTCTTTAGTTTCCACATACAAGAGAAAACACACGACCCTTGACTCACTTGGTTTTTACACAATGCTACTAAAGCACTGGCATTAGTTATAGTTATGGCTAACAAATGGCAATGGCATAAAGGTTAAAATTTACTAGGCCAGCTTTGCAACTACATGATTACCAACAATTTTTTTTTTTTTTAAATTAAAGACACAAATATATCAATCTGGGGGCCAGGTGCAAAGGCACAGCCTGTAATCCTAGCAGCTTGGGAGGCTGAGGCAGGAAGATCCTGAATTCATCGAGACCCTGTCTCTAAATAAAATATCAAAAGGGCTGGGGATATGGCTCAATGGTAAAGTCAAATTCTGAACACAAAGTGTAAATATTTATACTGCAACGTTTAAAATTTGGAGGACTCAAATTTGCATAAAATGTTGCTGCATCATTTGCAAAACTATTCCATTTATTACTTCTGTTTCGACTACTAAACTGTTAAGTACCTTCAGTTTCAGGATCATGCTTTTATTACACTCTCCTCTAAACCTGCATTGACTGGCAATGTTACCTAGGATGTTCAGCAGGAAACAATGTGATGTTCTGTTTCTTACCAGATAGCACAGAATCGTTTCTTAGAGATATAGGTCTACTTCTCCTCATTCTTTCCGATGATCCTGCTGAATCTGAAGAGTCTCCAGAAGTGATACCTGAAGATATGCCAGCACTTGCCTTGTGAGCTGCAGAGTAAGCTGCCCTACTTGAGGTAGACTGGGCAGGAGAACCTACCAACTCCGGAATTACTTTTATCTGAGACTTTAACTGCTTCCGCTTGACATTTCTGGTGAAAGATACAAGGAAAAGAAGTAATATTAATAAATCATAAATGTAACTGGTTCAAAAAATATATTTATAAATATAAAAGTATATTATTTGTTAATCTGAAAATAATTTTATGATCAAGATATTAAAATGTTTACTACTAACATCTTACTCTGGCATGAATTATATTATTATGTCCTTACTCTGACAGTTGTATTTAAATGAGTAGCAATGAACAAATGATCCAAGTTAACAGTTATATAAAGAATGCCTTAAGTTGTTTGGATAAAATGCTCACACATACCAACATTTATGCAACAACAGGCATTCATTTATACTATAAATCCCATTTTGTATTTGTGGCAGCACTGGGGATTGAACCCAGGGGCACTCTCCCACTAAGTTACTTCCCCAGCCCTTTTTATTTTGAAAGAGGGTCTTGCTAAATTGAGTTCCTCCTGCCTCAGCCTCCCAAATCTCTGGAATTATAGAGGTGCATCGTTGCACCTGGCTATAACTATGAAATAGAGCCTAAAAACAAGACACAGCCTTCTCTCTTATCACATGTTCCTAAGGACCATATTAAAAGACTAAGAGCAGAAGCTAACCAAATCCAAATAGATGGAAAAAAATAAAAAATAAAAGATCAGACCAAACTGTGTTTTTATTTCCAAGACAAATCTGTTTCCAACCTGAGCACCGGTTCACCAGACTGCCTCCTAAGCCATGAATCATGGGGAAGAGTAAAGTTTAAGACAAGTTACAAAATTGAGTAATATTCATGTTCAGATAGTCTTATTTTCTTTAAAACAAAACAATTTTCTAAGGGAAAATCTAAATAGGTGAACTTGTAGATAATCATTTTAACTTTTTTAGATGTTGTTGGACCTTTATTTGTTCATTTATTTGTGTGCAGTGTTGAAAATCGAACCCAGTGCTTCACAAATGCTGGGCAAGTGCTCTATCACTGAGTCACAACTCCAGCCCTCACAATTCTTTAAAGCACTATTTATATGATAATAAAGACATTATAAGCCTATGTTTTGTTTGTTTAGTATTGAGGATTGAACACAGTGGTGTTTAACTACTGAGCAGTGCACAGCGCTCTTACTTTTTATTTAAGAGCAATCTTGCCAAGTTGCTAAGGCCTTGCTAAATTGCTGAGGCTAGCCTCAAACTTGCAATTCTATTGCCTCAGTTTCCTAAAGTCACTAGAATTACAAGTATGCATCACCATGCCCACCTGTGTGTGTGTGTGTGTGTGTGTGTGTGTGTGTGTGCACGCGCGCGCGCGAGTGCGCACGCGGTGCTGGGGATTGAACCCAAGGCCTTGTGCGTGCAAGGCAAGCACTCTACCAACTGAGCTGTATCACCAGGCCCCAACTAAAACTTAACAAAAAATATAAGACAAAGTAGTAATGCCTCCAAGAGTAAAAGTTTGCTTTCCCTGTTTGATCTTACGTCCTTCTGAACCTTTCTTTAGTATAGAAAAATCAGAACAGGCTTTTTCAATGAAAACAAAAATATTAAAAATCTGTGCAAAACAATCAAATCCAAATTGAGATTCACTTTATAAATGGATGACTCTTCACAAATACCTATCAAGAAAATAAAGAAATGACTGAAAACAATAATCTAGACTAAAATACACCAAACAAATACAGCACCTAAATGTGATGCATGCTCTTGGAGTGGACCTGGAGTGGAATGGGATCAAGCGGTGACTGCCCTAATGACATTATTGAGTCAACTGTAAGAAGATGAAGTATTTTAAATGTAATTCTTAGCAAATACACAGTAAGTACCGACAGGTAAAGGAATATGTTAAAAAGTATTTTTTTTAATGATTCGAAAGAAAAAATACACATACATAATAGAGAAAATACAGCACTGCACAATGACATTCTAGTCCACAATGGGTCACATACACAATGGTGATCCCGTATTACCTAAACGCTGTCACGACCATCTTAGTCTGTGTAAGCACATTGTAAAATGACAAAAATCATCCGATGATGCGTTTCTCAGAATGGATCCTATAGTCAAGCAAAGCACAACTGTATTAAACCAAAAATAAAGCAAATGTGGTATAATGTGAACTGGTGAGTCTAGGAATATATAGAACCTCTTTGAATTATTCATGCAATTTCTCTATAATTCTGTAATTATTTCAAAATGAAAAGTTTAAATTTAAAAAAAAAAAAAAGATGAGTGAAGATTCACATGGTACTCCAGATAGAATGTGTGTTACGAATTACAAGTTGCAAAGCAGCTGAACAAGAACTGAGTCATTTACCTAGTGGGTATGTGTATGTGTCCCAATGTGTTCTGTAATTTGAAGCATGGAGGGTCACAGATTATGTCACCAAATCCTCTCACTCAAAAAGTAAAAATAAAATGGCTGAGAGTGGGATATCTAACTTCTGAACATGAACCTTCATTGCATAGTGAAAAAAGAATGAATTAAAAATGGGTAATGAGGGGCTGGGGTTGTGGCTCAGTGGTAGAGCGCTTACCTCTCATGCATAAAGACCTGGGTTTGATCCTCAGCACCACATAAAAGTAAATAAATAAAAATAAAGATATATTTTTTTAAATGGGTAATGTGGAGAAAGACAATAAGAGTTTTGTTCCAAAGTGTGCTCAGTGCCACACTGTGGAAAAGGGAGGCAAGCACAAGACTGGCCAAATCTCCAAGGATTATCTGGGTGGAAGACAGGTCAAGGCTGCTGGATTCTCTTACACAGATGCCAACAAAACAAAGGCAGCACCTGGCGGGAGGATACACTGATAGAGTATTTGGAGAATGCCAAAAAGTACATCCCTGAAACAAAAATGATCTTCAATGGCATTAAGAAGTGGGAAAGGGCAAACTTCACAGCACACCTCAAAATAGCTACTAATGAGTAATGGCCACTGCCTTATTTATTATCACATAAATCTCATACCTTTTTTGTATGCACCATTTAATTGATGTGATACATCAGAATTCAGATCATGAATGACAGAATATTTCTGTTGGACAGTCCTGCCTTAAGTAAAACTGACATAGTTAAAATAATATTTTGGTTATAATCCCAGTTCATTAAGTTCTATAAATGTTTCTCCCCTTTTTAAAATTTATAATTAGACTTCATTAGTAATGGTCAATATTCCACAAAGATGGTGAATGTCATCTCAAAACTGATTTTATATTTAGGTTTATGTAACATTATATGAATATGTTTTGCAGGACATACCTTCCCTATCTCAAAACCAAGCCAGGTTCACATGTGTTTCAATTTGTGTTTATTAACCTATTAAAGGCAATGGCTGAAGAAAGCAGGGTCTATTTTATAATTTTGTTATGTTACCATGCCAATTTAATTAGACTTCCCTTATTTAAATGTTGTATTTCCTTATGGAGAAGCATTTTAATGTGGTTTGTGTGTAATATTAAATCAAAAATTTAACAATTCTCACAAAAATAAAATTTCATAAATGGCTGAACTATCAACCATTTCAGGTTGAGGAAATTAAGTGAAGGAATAAAAGAAAGCACATGCTCACAAAACATCCTGAACTTAGATGAGAGCATGGGGATCTGCAGCACCAACTTGGGGCTGCTCCCAGACAAAAAGACAAACACACCCCAATCCTCTGGGGATGATGGCTATGAGGACCAGTGAGAAAGGCATTGGTCTGATCTGGTGTCTCTACAAACAGCCATACACCTGAGGACACTGAAAACACTCAGGACTAAGGACAATACCGCAGGGACAACAGCTCTCTGCCTTAGGCTGTGACAACGTAGAAGCCAGCAAGAACTCAGCCACATACAAAGGGGAGATCTAAGAATAGCTGCTTGCCAGCATAAGAAGCCTTGGGTTCCCTCCCCAGCACTACAGAAAAGTAAAAATAAAAGGAAGATCTCGGGAATCAGATGCAGAAGAGTCTTTAAAAAGCTCCCTCATTCCCCAATAGGATCTGGAAGAATACACATATCCAATAACCGCAGTTTATTTATTCATGTTGGCTGCTCTTGAAATTCTTGTCTGAAAAAAACAAACAGAAGGTGAAAGCCAGGCCACCTTGGCTGACCTGTGAGGTTTGCCCTCTCACTAAGCACACGGACCTCAGAATATATATGGAAAATTTTCTGACCACTAAGCTAAGCTCACTGACCCTAGGAAGACAAACTCAAAAAATGAAAACAAAAATCTCAAAACAGTGGGGACAGCAGGGCAGGCAACCACTTCAGTGGCTGTGCCCTGCAGGGAGGACAGACTCTCCAGGATGAGTCCAGGCAAGTCACTGAACAAAACCACAAAACTATCATCACTATAATCTGTCAGCATCAGTAAAAACAGTTTTCCAGAAATGCCTCATTTGATATGCCCAGTTTAACAAAAACCTCATTTGATATGCCCAGTTTAACAAAAAATTATGAGATAGTCAAAGAAACAGGAAAGGACAGCCCATTCACAAGGGAAGCATTCAATAGAAAATAACCCTGAGACAACCCAGATATCGCTTAGTTTAACAAATACTAATATTTAAGTCAATATAAAAATATTCAAAGGACTAAAGGAAATTATTATGTTTACAGAAGAAAATTGTAACAATGATTCATCAAAAACAGAATAAAGAAGAGACAAACATTATAAAAACAAACCAAATGGAAATCCCAGAGTTGAAAAGTGCAATAAATAAATGAAATAAATATTTAGATTTGAGCTGGCAGAAACCATCAGTGCCCTTGAAGACACATACTTACAGATTATTCAGTCTGAAGAACAGAGAAAAAAGAAGAAAAAAAATGAAGAGAGCCTTGGAGACATGCAGGATACCAGCGTATTTGTAATGGGACTACCAAAGGAGCAAAAAGAAATAGGCAGAAAAATATACTTAAAAAAATACTGATCAGAGCCTGGYACTGTGGCACACACCTGTAATCCCAGCAACTCAGGAAGCTAAGGCAGGAGGATCACAAGTTTGAAGATAACCTAAGCAACTTAGTGAGACCCTGTCTCAAAATAAATAAAAAGGGTTGGGGACATAGCTCAGTGGAAAAGGACATCTGGGTTCAATCTGCAGTACCGAAAAGAAATACTGGCTGGAAAACCCTCAATTAAATTAAAAACAACATACATCCACAAAGCTAGACAAATTCCAAGTACAACAAACTCAAAGAAATCCAAACCTATACATATCATGATCAATTTAAAGATAAGGACAAAGAGGGACCAAGGTTGTAGCTCAGTGGTAGATCACTTGCCTTGCATGCGTGAGGCACTAGGTTCAAAACTCAGAGCCACATAAAAATAAAGATATTGTGTCCATCTACAACTAAAAAAATAATTTTAAAAAAAGATAAGGACAAAGAGATAATACTGACATAATATGTCAAAATATATTCTATCATACCAAATAAACACTAAAGCAAAAAAAAAAAAAAACAGAAAGTGAGAAGCGAAAAACATTTCAATATGTACAGGAAAAGAAAACCTCAGTAAGATTACTAGCTGACTTGTTTTTCAGAAACAACAGAGGCCATCAGGCAGTGAAATGAAACTTTTAACATGCTTACAGTAAAATGTCAAAAATTCTATATGCACCAAAACTTTTCTTCAATAATGAAGGTGAAACTGAGACACTGCCAGACATGAAAAGGCTGAGATAATTCAATGCTAGCACACCCACCTTTTGAGAAATTTTTAAAGTCCTTCAATCTATACTTTCATATGTGGGAAGGGTAATGACATGGATTACTACAAAAGCAATATAAATGATATTTTATTATTAAAAGAAAACTGCATAAACGTGATATAAAATTGTAATCTGTGTGATCCTAATAGCACAATGGAGGGAGGAGGGATGGATGAGTGCTGTATTAGAGCAAAGATTCTATAGGTACTGGGATTAAAAGCAATATTATTTTGAAATAGGATCATTCTGAATTGAGAAGTACAGTGAATTCCTCAAATCAATCACAAAGAAATCCCATCAAGAGTATACTGCATTCAAAAAATGCAGGAAAGCAAACTAAACACTGTACAACTCAATTTTCATACTGCAATAGCTTAAAGTACCTGAAATCTGATCTTAATGCAGGCACTATAGTCCAAGAACACCAAATATAAAATTACTGACAAAAAGAATATGACCCCATTTCATTCCTTTACAATTAATTCTCCTTAATAACGAGGTGCAATGTCCAGTAAATATTTTGCCTTATATAATCTAATGTTCAAAGGCAGTAACAGTCACTTTATCTTAAAAAGCCATGTCTCATGCAAAAGACAACCATATAATAATCTTTGATAAGATTTTTTTAAATGACATTTTCATTAAATGCTTAAAAATGCACACAATTACACATCAGTGTGACAACTGTATATTCAGACATGCTTTCAAGTTATAAAAATTTTTGACTAGTCCTTTCTGAATATATAGTACTCTAAAAAATTAATTCTTTTAGCATAGTTAAGTCAAAGAAATATCACAACTCTAAATTAAAAATAATTGCAGCCAGGCATAGCAACAAACTCCTATAATAACAATTTTTTTTTAAACAGGGGGCGGGGTGAGTGCTGGGGATGAATCTCTGTGGTTAAGCACCCCTGGGTTCAATCCCTGGTACCAATAAACAATTTTTTTTTTTTTTAAATTAACTGCCTTCAAAGCTTCTCTTAAGTAATTCACCTGATACTCTTGTTAGCTTGAATGACACCATTAGAATTTTGCCTTTGCTTGAATCTCTGGCTTCGTCGAAGTTTTTCATTGAACTTTTGACCAATTTTAAAATCAGAAGAGATTTTCTTCATTTTTTCTTCAAATAAGGCCGACAACCTCAAGGTCATACTATAAATCTGCAAGGATATGAAAGCAAAACTAGAATTATAAAGTATTTTAAAACTTTTTTTCTTTAATTATTATTAAAGCTATTTGTAATATCACTAATTATAGATAATGGCGTATGTTTCCACCTGCTGTTCCATGACATCCAAAAGAAAACAGGAAACATCAAATATACACTTCTCAGATAATGAGAAAGTTGTTCTGTTTTATTTATTTTTTAGTTGTAGTTGTACACAAAACACTTTAGTTGTTTTTATGTGGTGCTGAGGATTGAACCCAGCATCCGAGGCGAGCACTCTATCACTGAGCCACAACCCCAGCGGGAGAAAGTTTTAAATCAAGCAACTAACTATAAGAGCACACCAGACAAATCTTTAGAGTGTTGGATTTGGCAGTAGTTTTAAGATATGAAAGCAAAAAAGCATTTAGAAAATTTAAAAAAAAAAAACTTTACTTCACCAAAATTGAAAGTTTTTGTGAATCAAAAGACATTATCAAACTAAGTGAAAAGACAACCTACAAAATGGGAGAAAATATTTGGAAATCATCTCTCTCTCATCAAAAGGAGATCCAATTTGAACTTGAACAAGACCTGAAATAGACAGTTCTCAGATGATGATACATAAACAGGCAATAAGCCAATAAGCACAAGAACAGATACTGAACACTATTAGCTTACTAACTACATTTTCTCATGTTTTGTATTGGTAATTCTCTGGTTTTTAGGATGATTCTACCTGCTTCCCAGAGCCAGCTAACTATAGAGATAGCAAATGATCCCTCTGCAAGTATATTTTTTGATGCATAATAGAGGCTTCACACCCCCACCCATCTCCTCAATCAAACTTTTACATAAGAAGTCAATATATCTGGCTGGGGCTATAGTTCAATGGTAAAGCACTTGTCTAGCATGTGAGGAGCACTGGCTTCAATCCTTACCACCACATAAATATAAACAAAGGCATTTTGTCCATCTACAACTGCAAAAAAAAAATTAAAAAAAAAAAAGACCCATGTCTTAAAGCACCTCAAAATGTGTTATCAAAAAATTGGAGAACAACTCTAAGGTCCAAATTGTGCTGAAATCCTGATTACAACTAGCCATTACTAGACTGCTTGATCTGCCCTACCCTGCCTCCTCAGCAAGGACTCTCAGCTCTGCCTCCTGATCTTCCCTCCAGGACCTGCATGGTATGTTTCTAGGGATTTGTGAGTATAAACATCCTCATGAAAATCATTCTGCATCTCCAACTTATTCCTTATAAAATAAGTCCTGGATGCAATTTTTTAACATAATAAATCATAAGAGAATCAAAGCTACAGTCAGATTTTACTTCATACATAAGATGAAGTATGGCTATTTAAAATAAAACAAAACTCCCTAAATAGCAGGCACTGGTTAGAATTTGGAAAAATTAGCATGCTCTCATTCTTGGTGGGAACAGAAAAATGGTGAAGTCATTACAGGAAACGGCCTGGTGGTTACTGACAGGTCACAGAATCATCCCGTGACCTATCAAGGCTACTCTTACATATACACCCAAGTGAACTGAAAGCAGGTACTCAAGACAGATATTTGTCGCAGCATTATTCAAAGTGGCCAAAAAGTAAAATCAGCCCAACTGCCCATTAGCAGATGAAAGAATAAGATGTGTTATCCCCATACACCGAAGTTTTATTTGGCCACAAAAGGAATAAAGTTCAGACACATGCTACAAGTCTTAAGACATTATGATACGTGAAATGAGCTGGACACAAAGGGACAAAAACAGTACAAGCAATGAGGTTTATTTGAACATCCTGACAACTGAATTTCACCACATAATCACAGTTTTCATGCCAAATTTTTTCACAAAAAAAGTAAGATACAACCTTTATGTGCACCTTTTTAAAAAACAAAAAAACTATGCCAGTACTACTTAAAAATCATTTATGATTGAATGGTTTCTGCTGCAAGACTGGGCTGCATGGAACACTCATGAATACACTTTAATGCAGTGGCAGCAATTACGTGATGAAATGCAGTAGTTAATTCAGAGAATTTTTATAAACTTTTAATAGACTAGTAGTGATGACAAAGACTAGAAGATTATTAAGAGCAATAAAACAGAATCATTCTACAATCTGATTTTTTCATTTTCTACTGGTACCTTACTTCTCACCAATCTTCATTTATTCAGTAAACTTTAAGAGATTATGACAAATATCAATTGTTAAAAGGAAAAGAACTGAAGCTCTTTGGGCAGCAGCACAGCTCTGCTCTTCAGAGTAGTCTTACTTTATTCACTTACTTGTAATATTGCAACCTCTACCAATGAGTGGGAAAACACAGACCATGAATGATTTTTTAATAAACCATTTTAAAATTTACCTTTGATCTTTTGTTTGGTGTATATGCTTTTGCATTGCTAAATATCAATCGGATGTCTTTGCAAAATTCCAAAGGGCTGTCATAATTTCCGGCTTCCAGGGTTTCCCTTACGGTTCCAAAATCCATGGGAGTATCTATAATATCTCGGTAGTCCTAGATTTTAAAAATAGTTAGTTCACAGATGAACTTTATCAGATCTCAGGAATGTTCAAAATGATGGGAGCTGGGGGGTAGAAGCATCTTCAGATTTCATGACTGTTTAAAAAAGGTCCAGACACAAAGACAAGGTACAAATAGATCAAAATATAGATTATTTTGGTAGTAGGACATGGGATGATTTCATGTCCTACTTTAATACATCTATAATTTCCAACCTTTCTACAGTAAATTTGTTGTTGTGATCTTTTATTTATTTATTTGTTTGTCTTTAAGTCATCTTTCCTATGTGTATAGAGTAAAGTTTTATCTAAGTTTTCCTTGGGCTTCTATGCCTGCTTAGATAATAGATAAACATAATAGATAAGCACATAGGGATCTCTTATTACTATGTAATACTGGATAACTAAGTCTAAATCCTTAAATGAGAAACAAGAGTACCTCTACAGCTAATGGTAAGAGAAAATGTTAACATAAAGCCTAGATCTTCATGTTAATTTAAGGTTTAATTTTAATACCCTATTCAAACCCCCTCTTTCCCCAAACAAGAAAAACCCAAACATTCAAACAATGGAAACTTACTGGATACTCAACCAAATCAACAGGTTGTCTAAATGGTTCAGAATCTTCACACTGAAAAATTAAGTTCACCAGTTCCTTACACTGTTTCTTCCAGTTGCTTTCAACATAACTGGTAGCTGTGTTGCTCCTTACTTTCCAACCATGGACCTAAAAATACATTTATAATACTAAATTTTTTTTTAATCTTAGGAAAATAATCATTACACTATGGCATGACTGTAATAAAAATCCAATTGTGCTGTTTATTATTTTCTATATTGCATCATAAGAACTGTGGCTGCCTTAAAACAGGTGCAGAAGTGCACTGCACACCTGCAATCCCGGAGACCTGGGAGTCTCAGGCAAGAAGATTCCAAGTTCAAGGCTAGCCTCAGCAATTTAATAAGGCCCTATCTCAAAATTTTAAAAAATTAAAAATTAAAAAAAAAAAAAACTGAGGATGTAGCTCAGTGGCAGAGTGCCCCCGGGTTAAATCTTCAGTAATGGAAATAATAAAATTTTGTAAATAAAAAGTACAAAATAAGTACTAGCTACTAAACGTTTGGGAGTCTACTTAGAAATTAAACTATATGAAAATGACAAATCAGATGAGACTGACAGGTCTCACTTCTCAAAATTATTTGGAACAAGCATACTGTAAAATAAAGTAACATTTGACTTAAAGAAACTTCAATTTAAGGAGCACTTAAAATTTAAAATGATGAGGTTAAGATGTTTTAATCAATTTTTATTAATGACTTATTTTAATTAACCTGTCACAGCAGAATTTAAGAGCTATATTGACATCCAATTATACTCACCTAATTTCCTAAACTTATTTTCATACCTTCTTTTCTATTTCCTTAATCTCTCTTTCCCAACAAATTAAGATTTTGTGTGTGTTGCTAGAGATTAAACTCAGGGCCTCACACCTGACTACATTTTATTTTGAGACTGGGTCTCACCAAGTTGTCCGTGCTGGGTTCAAACTCTACTGGCTCAGCCTCCCAGTAGCTGATATGATAGACATGTAGAACTGCACCTGCCACAAATRCTTAAGTTTAAAAAAATGATTCAGTCACCAAATCCTGGTGAATTTTTCCCTTAAAAGGCCTCATCATCCAGGCTGGGGCTGTGGCTCAGTGGCAGAGCACTTGCACCTAGCATGTGTGAGGCACTGGGTTCCATCCTTAGCACTGCATAAAAAAATAAACAATGGAAGATGATATGTCATGAGCTTTGTAATGTTTTGAACAACCAATTAAAAAAATAAATAAATTTTTTAAAAAACTAAACAAATAAAGGTATGCTGTCAGTCTACAATTATTTTTAAAAAATAAATAAATAAAGGCCTCATCATCTTCCTTTTTCCATTCTAAGAACCGTCTAGGTTCCCACGCTTCATGCTACATTCTTAAAATGAACTAACTCATCTCCTTTAATACCTATCTTCTTAACCTTCAAATTCTACTCATCCGTTTGGGCTATGCAATCACTTCCTTGATTTAAATTTAAATAAAATCCTTGGGTTTCAGTACAGCCCTTATCTGCTCCTAACCTAATGGGCATCCGGTCACCTTACTCATGCCAGCATTCCACTTCTATGTCGTGTAAGCATGCCCATGAATGTGCACGTTTCCCAGTTTCTGTCTTTGCTCTGGTATCCACCATGCTTCTGATTGTCCTCATCTCACTCTGAGAACACAGCTCAAATGACAACTCTCACACTAAACATTTCCTAACTAACCAATGTTCAGTGATTTCTCATTTCTCAAAAATATTCAATTTCTGATCAATACAACTTTTGAAAGACAAAACCTAAAATCTGAAGGCAAAGATTCGATTTTAAACAAAGAACACCACAAAAGTCAATCGCAAAGAGTAACTTACTCTCCTTCGTCCAGAAGATGTTTTAGGAAGATCACTATCATCCTAGAAACAAAATCAGAGCACCCTAAGTGTTTTTGATTCTAATTAAAAATATACAAACACTACAGTAAAATGTCACTTTATTGCATTTCCTAACCAACAAATGCACAAAGCAGCTTCACCTTTGCATTTTTATCTCTACCCATAAAACCCAGAAACACATAGCTTCCTATAGTTCCTGCATTGTGTTTCATGAGTTTTCTTATTCCCTAAATCACTTATTAGTACATCCATTTTTATTATGTTACAATAAACCATAATAAGAGTTTGTGTAAAATTAACATTATAATAGCTTTAAAGAACAACATCCTTTCTGCAACTCCATTCCAAAACTGAAATATATTATTAAGTGAAAGTATACCCACTGTTGCTATTTGTTGCTATTTCCTACCACTTTGGGGAAACTATACACAGGCACTCTTGAGCAGGCCATTGGTTTTTAATTATGATTAAACAGATAATGGTCTTATAAAAACAACAACAACAAAAAGACTTTCAAGTTTTTTTGTTTGGTTGGTTGGATTTTTGGTGGTGCTGGGGATTGGACCTATGACCCTGTGCATGCGAGGCAAGCACTCTACCAACTGAGCTATATCCCTAGCCCCCAAGGTATTTTTAACAATATACCTTTAACTAGCTAAAATTTGGAAAGGGAAATATTTTGACTCATATATCACTCATTGGCTAACAAAATTACATCAACTAATCCTCTAGATGATAATTTAAAAAATTTTAATCAAATGCCCTATGTTCATAGTTTATTGAAATACAGGGAAAAAATCAATATTAGGTAACCAACATCTTCTACTTCCCTCACTTTTAAATTATCATTTGAAACTAATAAAAGCAATTGTAAAATTAACACACTTCATACCAAATCCTCAGCATTTTGCTCATCATTTTCAGATGTGTTAGATAGTTCTGAGATGTTTGTACAGTCTTGATTCCTTTAAAAAAAAAAAGAAAAAGAAATTTACATTAATAGTATGCAAATCTAGTTTCACACTATACATTAAAAAAAAAAAAACAGGTCCCTAACCTATTTATACCTAATTTCAACAATAATAATACCAGATTTTGACCTAATCCTCTGTGGGAAAAAAACTGGCCATCTTTAAATCCTAATTTGGAATTGTTTCTCTTTTTCCATTTAAATGTGTATATAAATTAAGCGGTAATCCAGAAACAACATATGCATGGCCTCACTTGGCTGACTGCATAGATGAGTTTTTCTAAGTATCAGCACTAGAGATATTCATACAGTACAGGAATACATATAGGTGATTTGAGATCAAAGCTAAGGAAAAAGGAAGTAGAAAATAAAACAATAGCTTGGGCGGGGGGAGTCAGAAGAACAGATGTTAAAGTATGGTTAGGTCTAGGTATAAAGATGATAAAAATGGGTATGTGATTTTCCTTAAGCAGTAAAGGTGATCCTGAGAAGAGTTACATGAGTCTGGGTGCCCAAGACTCAGGACACAATTAACCAAAGTAAACTGAAAGCAGTCCATTAGCCTCTAGCATTTAGCTAGATGTTGAAAATAATGACACTGTCTATAAATTATTTTCTCCAATATCTGATCCTTAGAAAGTATTGTCATAGCTACATGTGGGGAGCCATTCTCACACATGACTGGGCAACTCCCGGTTTGGGTCGGAGGCGTTCTGGCTGTGTCGGAACTTTCCCGGCCCTCTCCTGATGAGAGAACCCGTCTGTGTGGGGGTGTGACTGACCACTGACCCGGGGGCCCAATCACTGACCCTGACCTTGGAGTGCGGCCCCCCCTCAACCTTCATTGGATGGAATTCTCCCCTGAACTTCTTGTTCCCCAATAAAAGGCTACTCCCTGGCGTGCTCGCTCTCTCTCTCTCTCCTGCTACCCTGAGTAATCCTTGCTGCCCTGCCGGGCGGTTAGAGGTAGGAACCAGAGAGGGGAGCCGTCTCGGACCTAGCAATAAAAAAGGTAACTGAGTCTGTGTGTTTTATTTAGATCTCTGCTAGCTAACTTTTATGCCAAGAACCTCATTAATGAAACCATTGCGCTGGCCGCATGGTGGAGCTACATGAAGAATTATAATTTATGATTTAAATCATAAGATCAATGAAGCGGACTTGTTTGTCCAATGTATGAAAGAATGCACAGCAAAACATTAGAACCCGAGTCTCAATGTCTATTTCACTTTTCATTCTTTCATTCCAAACTGACTTCCCAGTGGAATAAAATGTATGGAATATTCACATATGTACAAATACTTTCACAGGACATAATCCAAACTAATCATTTTTTTAAACAAATTAAGTATACTCTAAGTATTAAAGTAAGTAATGAACATTTATAAAAATGATGAGATCATGAGAGAAAAGGGAAGGCTAAGAAGCAGGCAGAAAAGAAAATACAATGTAATGGGGAGTCCAAGTTGGCTCGTGAAAAATTAACAATAATATTGGTGTAAAAATAAGTAAAATTCAAGTAAATTCTACATTTTATCAATACTATTGTACCATGGTTAACTTTAATATTTTATAAGCATACCATAATTGAGTAAAATGTTAACAAAGACGTATTAGATGAAGGGTATATGGTATCTCTGATATAAAAAGTAAAAAAAAAAAAAAAAAAAAAAAAACTGTTCCATTTCTTGTTCCTTTACTGAAATTATAATGAACATATGAAGAAATGTCATCTAAAACAAAACACTAGAGAAGAATATTTTAGACCTTTAAAAAGTTAAAAACGAGATGGTTACAAGATGATACACTGCAGTTACTTTTACACAACATATGAGACCACTTACTTAATAAATTTTAAAAGTTGGTCAGTTATCTTCTTAGCTGATCTTGCAATCACACTTTCAGGTTCATTAAATGTTCTGGCATTATGTTCTATATATCGGACTTCCCAAATTAATGCAGATAGCCTCCTTCAAAATAAAACAGTCAATTTAGGGCTTAGAAAATGAAGACAAAAATCCAGTTTTTAAAAATTAGCATATTAAATTAATATGGCATATTAATGAAATCATTAAATGGAAATTTATAATGAATAACCTTCTAATATTACCAATTTGATCGATGTCATAAGGAATTATATTGGACAATATACTGAAAGTAATCTAAGGACCAAAATCCTAACAGACCATTTAATCACAGACAGAAAACCAACACAGCAACCTCTTTTCACAATGCCTAGTTACCTTTTGAAGCTGTTAAAAGTCAATGCAGAAAATGTGTTAAAGAACACTCACAGCCTTGGTTTCACTATAAACTGGCTAAAGTGGTTTCTGACTCGTCTGAAACCACATTCTAGTATATGACTACAGAAATAAATACATACATACATACATACACACACACACACACAGTGGGCTCAAGATGACTTTTGTGCAATGGTAATTTCTCAAAAGAAGTTTTTTGGAATCATAAAAAAATAAAATACCATCAATTGCTATAAAAATCATTATAAAGAGAAAATCTTACAATTATCATGTTCTACAAGTCAAAGACAAATGCTTCAAAGATCAAAGTCTAATGACCACATTTTTAAATGAAGCAGTCAAGTAGGAATTTAAATATACAATATCTAGCTACTTAACTATTTCTAATAAAAACACAAATGATTGAAGGAAACATGGTGTTTTATCTAATGCCTGGCTTTACCCACAGCTATCCAAAGGCAATCTCTTGGTCAAAGAGGAGAATGAAACAAAATCATGTTAATCAGCTCCCCAAACTAACCAAAGTCACCGTCAACTATCCACTATCTTTTATCTTAACCTCACTGTGGCCAAAGACCTTTTTTTTTTTGAAAGGGAGCGGGGAGAGATAGAGGTGGGGAGGGAGGGAGGGGGAGAGAGAGAGAGAGAGATAGAGGGGGGAGAGAGGGAGAGAGGCAGGAGGAGGGGAGGGAGATTTTTAATATTTATTTTTCAGTTTTCAGTGGACACAACATCTTTATTTTTATGTGGTGCTGAGGATGGAACCCAGCGCCCCACGCATGCCAGTCGAGCGCATTACTGCTTGAGCCACATCCCCAGCCCCAAAAGACTTTTTAAAGTAATTTTCAACTAACCTGTAAAATCGATTAACAAGTCTCATTCGGATTGTGTAAAGATCAGTTGGATAAGCTATTACAGTGCAGTACTTCGGATATGTACACAGATCAACTGGGCCTGCAAAAGCTGCTGCTATATCTGTTAGGGAAGGCAGAGGAGTTTTATTATGAAGTCCATTACCTCTAAATAATATTTTTCTACAAACCAACAAGTTTAAGAACAGAAACTAGTTTAAGAACATAACTTCGGTTAGGTTACTATTTTTGAAACACTTTTATGAACAACTTGAAAAGAAAGCTACCACCCCACAAAAAACTTACCAAGATTCAAAAGTTGATCTATACCACTAATAATCCGGTCACATTCTTCATCTCTCGATTTCTGGCCCCATTCTCCATCTTGTGGTTTATACAGCAATTTCTCTAGCTCATCTGCTGTGACTGAAATACTTGCTCCTAATTCTTCAGGTGGATCAACTATGAAACCCATTTAAAAGAGAAAGGGGTGGGGGTTAGAAATCATCCCACAAAATGTACGCATGCCATATTGAATTCAATTTTCAAAGTTCATAAATCAGATCACTTCCATAGCCAAAAATAGAGTGCAAAGGGTTAAGTACTGGGGGCATAACTAAAACAAATTATACTCATTCATTTATAATTATATTAAAATAAATTTATAGCTATTATGYACCCATAAAAATTTTTAAAACTAGTTCAACTTTTTAAAACTTATTGAGACAAGAAAGCTGTATAAGTACAACCTACCCACCCTAGTAAAATTTAAAATAGAGGGCTACCATCACAGTCTGTCTTTCTTCAGGGAGAAACTAACCTAGAGATCACTGAAAACAGAAAATGAATCTGACAACATTAAGTTTCAAAACTTAGTTAAGGGGCTGGGGTTGTGGCTCAAGCTAGAGTGCGTGCCTAGCATGTGTGAGGACCTGGGTTCGATCCTCAGCACCACATTTAATTAATTAATTAATTAATTAATTAATTAATTAATTAAGCTAAAAAAACTTATTCGAAATGTGATTTTCAAAAACAAGACAAAAAAAGGTATAAACAAACATCCAATTCATCTTAAATGTTAAACAATGAATGAATTTTTTAAAAGGCAAATAAGGTAAAACAATTTCAATATGACAAATGGCTAAATTCCTTAATTTAAAGGAATACAAATGAAGCAGAAAGGGTGTTGTTGTTGGTTTTTTGTTTTTGTTTTTTGATTTTTTTTTAAAACTTCTAGTCAGCTTACTAAACACGGGTTCCATCACAGCCAAGGAGCACCCTCTACTGGGTGCAATCACTAGAATTACTCAGCACTATTCTATGGCAGGCAGCGTCTCTGGGACAGTGGCTTTCAAACCACACAGTGGGCAGAATGTTATACGAGGTCTTCTAGAAACACAGCAGTTAAAAATCCCTACAAACATATTTTGTACAGCACCAGTTGCTTCATTTTTTTGTTAATATTATTCGCTTCTAAGTTTTGATCTATGAGATGTTTTATATTTTCTTACTAGTGTGATGATGAGACGCAAAATTTACAAATAATTCCTATTACACAAAAAAAATTATTTGTTTTTAATTTCTGCAGGACCAAGAAACAGGATAGAAAGGATATTCCAGTGCTCTAGGCCAAAATTTTTGTATTTTACAATCTATTCCAGAATAATATTTTATCTAGTCAAAAGGAAATAATATTTTACCTATTCAATATTTTATGCATTCAAAAAGAAAGCTAAGGAGGCTATATGAGCAAGAAACAAAGTGCTCAAAAAACACTGATTTACCAAAGCCAGAATCTGAATTTGAAACACACCTAAACTACCCAAAAACCACGATACTGGTCAAGTGTTTAATTTCTGTCCTGATTTACCCACTTGCTAAACGGGAATAGCAAAAAGTTACTACCTCACAGTATTATTCAGCACAATGCCCCAAATGGAGCAGGTGTTCAAGAGTTAGCTACGATGTTTTTAGTTTGTTTCTGGAAAATGACATAACAAGGACTGCATATATCATACATGCTAAAACAAAACAAAAATCCAAGTTATTAAAACAATGGTTTTCAAGACAAAGAACATTAGACAAAGGACAGAAATATCCCAGAAAATAAGACAAAGGAGGTAAGCCCTACAACACACCATCTTGCCTAGGGAGAAGAACCAGGCCATGGTACAAGGAGCAAGAATGAAGGTAGCGCCAGAGGAGTATCTGTAGCCAACAGACAGAACTGAGAGTTCACAGAACAGAGCTTGGTGAGGACAGAGCTGCAAAGGGCTCCATGACAAGTGTTCCTTTTACTAGTGATCAGCCTGTGTATGCATAGAGGGGAAATACCGGGAGAGGACGGGGGACAAAAAAAGAAACAAATGAAAGAAGGGAGAGGACGGGGGACAAAAAAAGAAACAAATGAAAGAATAAGAAATAATGAGACAAGGCACTCAAAATGCTCAAAATGGCCAGAAACCACACCTGTTTCTCACAAGCTAGACTAGAAAACTTCAGGATTCAGAACCATGGACTGACTACATAACAGAGCCATGTCAGCAGTGGGAAATACTTAGTTCCAGGTAGAGCACTGCTCCAATCTCACCTAACAAATTTAAGCATAAAAATTTTTTCAACAAAACTGTCAGAGAACAAAGTATATTTTTAGGAATACAAAAACACTCAACCCAACAATGTAAAATTCAAAATGTTTGGGATCAAGTTAAAAATTATAAGGCATAAAAAATAATCAGGAAATATCCATTATGAGGAGTTTTAACCAACAGGGACTGTCAAAAATAAACATGATAAAGAATAAACATGAACACTGTGATATTTTTCATGTTCATAGGAAAAAATAGTATCTGGAAAGTATGGGGGGGGAGAATCACCAAAGTCCAACTTCCAGAGATGAAAATAATATGACATGCAAACTATATGGGATGGTAATAAGAAAACATTTGTAAACTTGAAGATACAGCAATAGAAACTATCCAAAATAAACAATAAAAAGACAACACAGTAGGKAAAAAATAAATAAATCCCATAGACACTATATAAAAGAAACAGAAGAAACCATGACCTGAAAAAAAGTAATGACTAACAGAAATGACCAACAAGCAAATATAAGGATAGCAGTATCTTTAGACATCAAAGAAATGCAAGTCAAGACTGTAGTAATACCTCATACTCATTAGGAAGGGAAACTGAAGGAATTTAAGGAAAGGAGGAAAAAAGGACTGCCCACGATGTAGAGAAATTGGAACCACATATACTACTGTTGGGAATATAAGATGGCACAACTGCTTTGGAAAACATCTTGGCAGTTCATCAAAAGGTTAAATGCCACATGACTCAGTAATGCCATTCCCAGGAGTCATAAGAACTTGTACATGATATTTATAGCAACTTATTTATAACCAAAGTAGAAACAACCCAGATTTCTTCAGCTGAAGAATGGATAAATAAAACTGTGGTATGTCCAAACAATGAATGTTATTTGAATATCAATAAAATGTAGTATCATGGCTTCTAAATACCATTCTCCAATAAAATGAGCCACAGCTTCATGGAATAATAGCTACTCCACAGCTAGAACAAGGAAAGTACATTTTGAGTCTTAATCACCTGTGTCAGAAAGTTAAAAAATGCTCAAAAACGACAAAAACAAAGGTCAAAAGACATTGAAGGCAACTTGAAGGGTCACCCAATGGTCAAAACTTTTACAGTGTGGTAACAAACTAAATAAACAACAGCAACTGAATAAAACTTATTTGAAAAAAAAAACTATATACTAGTATAAATAAACAAATAAGGAAGGAGAAGATGTATCTTAGAATTTCAACTACTATTATGTAAAAGAAATAATGAAAACAAAATCACTGCTTGGCAAAGACCATCATAATTACTTCCGGCAAGAATCAATAATGGATGCTAAAATTAGGGAGTGGATGAAGGATGAGAATACCTTGTTTATAGCACATAAATATATCCCCAGGAGACATTAATTACAAACTTTACAGACATAACCTAAATCAATTGTTAAAGCTAGCTCATCCAGTCATACAACAGATAAAATGTGCCTCCCAAAATAATGCACTAAAAAGGATACTATCACTTGTCTGAAACTTTGCTAAAGATCCAAAAGCTGGATTTCATTAAACAGAATCAGACTAAACAGAACTAAGGGATGTTCTTAAAATTACTCAGTACTCTTCAAAGACATCAAGGTCATGTAAGATGGTGGAAGAATAAGGGATCTCATAAAAGGGGACTGACATGACAATTAAATCCAACATGTAAAAAGACAGTGAAACAAAAATAAAATTTAAATAAACTATAGATCACATGGTAGCACAAAGTAGATAATTTCCTGGTTTTCAATAAAACCTTCTATGTATTTATACTAGAATGTCTCAATTTTTCATAAAGTAACATAACTTAATATTTAGCAGCTACACTCTTTTATGCTATTATATTTGACCTTTTGGAGCCCCTTCAAATTGGCTCCTGTGTCTTCTGATCATTTCTTTACTTTCTGACACAAGGAGGTATTCTTAAGTCTCACCTTGTACTTTCCTTGTTCTAGTTGTGGAGTGGGCCGTTATTCCATGAAGTATGCTCCACTTTGTTGGTGAATGATATTTATAAAAACCAAAGTATTTCTTCTTATTGATGAACAATAATTCATTGTACATGTTGACTACGTAAGATGGGAAACCCAGGTATCAAGAAATTTTCTGCCCAATTTTTGTAATATTTTATAAGAATGATTCTTTTTTAAATGAACAGTTTTTTAAAGTGCAAGTGAAAAGCTTCTTTGGGGGGGGGAGGGGCAGGATTCTAGAGATTGAAAGCAGGAGTGCTTTACTACTGAATTACACAACCAGCTCTTTTTATTTTGACATGGGGTCTAAGTTGCCCAGATGGCCTCCAACTTGCAACCTTCCTATCTCAGATAAATTTATAATTCATAATTCTCATAAATGGAAATGATACTTTGTCATTTTATTAGGCATTTCCATAACAATATTGATATGTGAGGTGTTCATATGCTCCTTGTTTTTTTGCCTGCTCATGTCTTTTGACAATTCTAAATGCTTATTGGCCTCATTTACACATGGGAGTTTTTTACAGAAGTTATGGAGTGTTTTCACTGATCTGTAATATCCTTTAAAATGAAGCAGCCAAGCCTTTATCTCTGTCAACTGCACTACTTCATTGCCGGCAACCTTTGGGCCAAGTAGCATGATGCCCACCGTGGAGAACTACATCAACTACACTGTTGCTGTTATTACTTCTGATGGGAGAATGATTGTGGGAACACTGAAAGGCTTTGACATGATCATTAATTTGATTTTGGATAAAAGCCATGAATAAGTATTCACTGAGCTCTTCACAGGGAATAGAACACTGGTAGTAGGACATATATTCTAAGAAGTGACAATGTTATAGTAATTGGAGACACTGCTGATCAGACAGATTCTGCATTTGACTTTTGGAATATTCCAGCAGAATCTCTAAACTCTGTAGCACACTGAGAAAACTACATACATTAGACATCTAAAGCTTACACAGAAACCAATTATTCTGAGGAAGATATATAAAATTTTTAGGAATGAGTAATAGTGAATTTTTACTTCATATTGATTCACTGTAATATATAAATAAAAATATTTCTACATTTTTACTGAAAAAACATTTTTGCCTAAATATCAGTATGGTAGCTTGGTTTTATTTTTCTTTTAAATGATGTGAAAATCTAATGATTTTTAAAATGTAGAAAAACTGGTACTTATATTTTAATATTTATGGAAAACTACTTGAAAAGAGAAATGTTTGCATTATATAAATTGTGCACACAAATATCCTTAATAATGCAAGCTTAAAAAAAAAACTGAAGCAGCTGCAAACAAACAGCAGTTAAAAGCACAAGTTAGAGCCAGATAGTGTAAGAATCCAAGTTCTTACCCTTCCTAGATGTTTGACTTTAGGCAAGTTATTTAAAACTGAGCCATGGGCTGGGGATGTAGCACAATGGTAGAGTGCTTGCCCAGCACGAGTGAGGCTCAAGATCAATTTGGGGGTCATAGGGAAGATGCCAACAGGGGTGGCGCATGAGATTCTGCCTTAATTACATCTGTAAAATAAAGCATCAACCTCAGAGTAAGATTAAGTCAGTTGATTAGATGAAGTTCTTAGCAGAGTAAGAACTCAAAAGAGGTTGGGTTTGCAGGGTTCATTAGCACACACCTATAATCCCACCGACGTGGGAGGCTGTGGTAAAAGGATCACCAAGTTTGAGGCAAGCCTCAGCAACTCAGCAAGATCCTATATCAAATTTTTAAAAAATGAAAAGGACTGCAATACAGCTCTGTGGTAAAGTGCCCTTGGGTTCAATCCCTAGTATTGCCCCCAAAAAGGCTGGGTCTTACTTGTCTACTATATGCTCATACATTATGTCTTCAACTAAGCATCATTTTTAAGTTACTAAGCTCAAAAGAAAATCTAAAGTCACTGATATCTTCAACAGTGCAGGTATTAGAAAAAACTATTTGAAAAACTCCATATTTCCAAAATAAAGTGGACAAAGGTTGATGGAGATATAGTAGAATAAAAGCACGAAGGAAAAGGGTTGGCCCTGGGACAGAAACAGCAAGAATCTCACGGAGGAAAGACTTCATGCATCTCCAAGCAATGGGTTACAGAAGGACAGGAGTGTTGGTTTTTTGTGGTTGTTAAACCAACAATCTCTTGCCTTGGCCCCAGACTTGCTGGGATTACAGGTGTGCACCACCACTCCCAGGATGGAAAGTCAAGCCTTTCTATTCCCCCGCCCCCCGCCAAGTTTAGTAAACACTAATGATAAAAGAAAGCTTACTAGTGAACATTAGGTAAGAGAAATACAGCACCCTTTCAAAAGATTAAGAAAAAAATGTTCAATACAGCCAAATGAAAAGTACAAGAGACATATTCAAATCTGACAAGAGAAATGAAGAAGGAAATTAAAAATTACTGAAGGAAATGAGCTAAGAATAAATACCAGGTCCTTCAAAAGGTGGCAGTTGTGGAACAGCACACTCTGGAGGAAGGGCAAGCTTTCACAAAGAACACACAATCCATAGGAAGGTAGAGGGAAAGCACAAGACACAGGGAAATCAACTCTGATCTTTCACTTGACAGAATAAGAATGAAGAAAAGGAAGTGGAGGACACATGAAAGAAGTCTCGAAGAGTTTAAAGCATGGTGGTGTATGCAGCGATAGCAGGCTACTAAGAGTCAAGCTGGAATCAGAGATCAAGAATGAAAGAGAGAGGGGCTGCAGTGGTGGCTCAGTGGTAAAGCACTTGCCTAGATGTGCGAGGCACTGGGTTCTATTCTCAGCACCACATATAAATAAATGAATAAAATAAAGGTTTATCAATTTTTTTAAAAAAAGAATGAGAGATATATGTTAATTCTATTGTCTTAGTACTATGTTTTGAGTAATAATTTGAACATACTTACAAAAAAATATAGTCATGCTCTATCCAGTATGTGCAACAACAAGATAAATTGCAAACGATATAAAGATAATGAAAATATTTTCATTTATATATATACCATTATCAGGAATTGGTTCCATGTCCCATGGGCTTAATTTTTCAATTTCAGTATTGTCCCACCTGTTTAAAAAACAACAAAACTCTGGTTAGCCTTTTAATAAAAACAAACTGATTACATAATAACAACTGTTATAAAGTAACCAAAAGAATTCAAAATATGAAAATTAACCACACTGCATCAAAAAGATTTTAAATACTAACATGAAATTTTTTAGAAAGACACATTATGAATAGAGTAAAAAAGTATGTCAGGTTTAAGAAATCCAGATATCCTCTGTGGCCCATACCCAGAATTAAGTAAAGGATAAATCAGAGTCAGGATTCACAGGATAAACTTGGTACCACAACCCACCAGTCTTCATGCCACAGCCAATTGAAATGCAAAGATGTTTTTTAAGAAGATTAATTATATGTATTTCTGAACATATTTAACTGACAATATTAGGTAAAAAGAAAATATCAGGTGGCTACAGAAACTGTCTCAGGAAAGTAAGCAGAACCTAAACCAACAGGAATTTTATTGGAAACAAACAGTTGCCCGTCTGAGAGACATTTTGGAGGTCAGACTGATAAAGACTTAAGAACTCGGCTAGGATTGTGACTCAGTGGTAGAGCATTACTTAGCATGTGTGAGGCCCTGGGTGATTCTCAGCAGTGCATGTAAATAAATAAAAGTCCACCGACAGGAATGATGGTGGAATGAGAGACACCATTACTCTAAGTGCATGTATGAAGACACAAGTGCTGTGAAAATACTGTTTGTACAGTGATTTGAAAATTGTGCTCTTATATGTGTAATATGAAATGAACTGCATTCTGCCATCATGTATAATAAATTAGAATAAATGATTTTAAAAACATACCAATAATTATTTTTTTAAAAAGTCCATTGACAACTAAAAAAACTCTTAAAAGGACAAAATTATATTGAACAAGAAATACATTAGTCATACAACAACCTGCCACACTAAATATTTAGATGGTTGGTTTTCATCTGTATACACACCTAACAATGTAACACTGGAAATGACTATCAGGATACTGTGGTTGATATGGCTCTTGACTTAACACTGTTCCAAACCACCAAGCATCATCAATTATAGATCGGAACCTGTCACCTGTAAGAGAAAAGATCTAGTCTGAGGCATCTATTAACATTTTTTCTCTATAAAATATTATATTTAAGGCTGTGTTGTGGCTCAGTGGTAGAGCACTTGCCTAGCATGAGTGAGGCACTGGGTTCAACCTCTGGCACCACATAAAAATAAAAACAAATAAAATAAAGGTATTGTGTCCATCTACAACTAAAAAAAAAAAATTTAGATAAATAGATTTTTAAAAAGGTCTGTTTTCCTGAAGACACTGCATTTAAAACTAGGTTATTATAGCAAAGGCAAAAATATTTTTTCACATACAGAACACTTTCAGTGTAAAATCTGAAATTATTTTCAATCTCTGGATCGTTTGAGATCCTACGACAATAATGTAAATGATTTAGAATAAATTATTTATTAGGATAAATAATTTATTAGAATAAATTATTTTAAAAACATACCAATAATTATATCAGTATCCCATTAAAGATAAAAAGATGTAATATATTATGGAGAAGTCCAAAAGGAAATAATAAGTCTAATCTACTGTCAATGTGTAAAAATAATCTTCTCCCAACACCACAAACCTTAAAAATAGGAGAAAAACTGATTGGCTTTAAAAAAAGTCTACACAGGATCAGTACCAGTTAGTACTAAGTCCTCAGCAACATATATGTGGAGGTCATTTATGTTTCTATCAAGAGCGCATATGTTTATATATACCATAATTAAGAGTGCTACAACTAAAAAGGTAGAACAATGAAATATTAATTTTTGAGGCTATATAAAATTGAGTAGGACAGACTTACAGGACTGCCAGTTTCTCTGTCTTGCTTCATCATAAAATTGACGCAATACAAGAAAATCAATAACATCTGGCATATCATGATATCTAAACAGAAATAAAAATTATTACACTGTCTACACAATAGATTATAGCTGAAAGCAACACTGTGCAAAAGAAACATAACAGTAGCTATATATGTAATTTAAAGTTTTTCACAGGCCATAAAAGTAAAAACAAAAAGCAATGAGTTTTCAATAGTGTATTATATTTCACCCAACATACCTAAAATACTATTGCAAAGAGATATTTTACATTCTTTTTCTTCACTCCGAAGTCTTTGATCAAAATGCAGTGTAAACAATTCAAATCAGCCACATTTAAGTGTTCAAATGCTAAATGATTAGTGCCTTTCATGAACAGCATAGGTATAACAGAGGGTTTATCCTAAAATTATCTCAAAGAATAAAGGCAATTTCTGGACAGATCCGAATTCTCCACCCGGGCAAGTGAATGTTTCTTTTGTTTTGTTTTATTTTTAAAAAACTGCCCTGCCCAGCTGCTGAAAGACCCACATGACTACCAATGGTTCCTTCACCCCATCTGGGCTATCCATAGGTTATACTAGGGATCATGCAATAAAGGGAAAGGATAAGCTCATTAGCAAAATAGAGAAACCTAAATTCAAACAATTCCATTAAAAATAGTACATACCTTATAGAGAATGATTTATCCATAAGTCTTCCAGTTGCTGGATCTATAAATGCTAGTTTGAGGCAACAGAGTGTAGGAGGCCCAACCTCATATCGTATTCCAACTATTTTAACCAATTCTTGATCCTATAACAGATATTTAAAAAAAAAAAAAAGTGGTTAAAATAAAGCAGCTCTTTCTTCCTCTGAAGATGGCCCACATTCTCCCTTGAACGTGCCTCTGTTTTCCTAAATAAACCTATCTCTGCCTCTGGAGAAAATAAATTAATAAATTACAATCATTTTTGCTAATATCCACAATACAAGACATTTTATACATTTCAAATATAAGAACTTTAGAAAGTAAGTAAGTATAGTCACTCTAGAAAATATAACATGAAAATACAAGAACAAAGCACAAATTACCAATCAGCTTAGCATTTAAAGAGAGTTACTGTTAACAGGACTTATTTCCTTTTGGCTTTCTTCTCCTTGTACACAGATTTTCTAATATAAATTTTGTACTACATATTTTTCACCAAACTAGGGGGGAAAAATACTAAAATGCATATAATTAATTTTTTAAAATCACCTCTGGGTGTGGTGGTGCACACCTGTAATCCCAGTGGCTCGGGATCATGAATTCAAAGCCAGCCTCAGCAACTTATCGAAACACTAGCAACCCAGTGAGATCCTATCTCTAAATAAAATACAAGATGATCAGGGGATGTGGCTCAGTGGTTGAGTGCCCCTGGGTTCAATCCCCAGTCCAAAAAGAAAAAAAAAAAAAGAAAGAACCTCTGAATAGTAAAAGCATTCTTGAGCAGAAAGAAAAGAACAGAACTACCTGAGGTCAAAGCTATCATAAGCAAAGCAGCTTAGTATTAGTATAAAAACAGACACACAGACCAATGATTCCATAGAGAACCTAGAAGTAAAAACACATCCAGCCAACTGATCTTCAAGAAATGTGTTAAGAACATAAACTGGAGGGGGCTGAGGTTGTGACTCAGTGGTAGAGCATTGCCTAGCATGTTTGAGGCACTGGGTTTGATTCTCATAAATAAAGGTCCATTGACAATTTAAAAAAAAAAAAAAACTGGCTTTGGGACAGCACAGTGCCACATGCCTGTAATCCCAGCTGCTTGGGAGGCAGAGGTAGGAGGATCCTGAGTTCAAAGCCGGCCTTAGCAATTTACTGAGGCACCGAGCAACTCAGTGAGACCCTGTCCCTAATAAAATACAAAATAAGGCTGGGGATGTGGCTCAGTGGTTGAGTGTCCGTGAGTTCAATCACCAGTAACCGCCCCCCCCCMAAAAAAAAGAACCTATACTGGAGAAAAAACAATCTTGTCAATAAATGGTGCTGGGAAAACTGGTTTTTCACATACCAAAGAATAAAAATAGACTCTCTCTGACAATTAAAAAAAAATTGAACTCAAAATGGATTAAAGATTTAAATATAAGGCATGAAACTACTAGGAAGAAACACGGGGGTTAACACTTCAGGACACTGGAATGGGCAAAGACATCTAGGAGATAACTCCAAAAACGTAGGAAACAGATGTACAAATAGACAAACACAATTAGAAATAATAAAGCTTCTGCACAGCAAAGGAAACAAATCAAGGGAGCAATGAGAACCTGCAGAATAGATGAAAATATTTGCCAAATGTCCATTTGTCATAAGTTAATAATCAGAATACCTAAGAAACTCAACAGCAGTAAGACAGGAAATAAACCTAAACAGACATTTCTCAAAAGATGACAAATGGTCAATATGTATACAAAAAAAATGTTCAGTATCAACTACGAATCGGGGAATATGAACCAAAACTGTAATGAGATACCATCTCATCCCAATAAAAATAGCTATTGTAAAAAAACAAAAGATAATGAGTACTTGCCAAACATGGAGAAAAGGAAATTCTTACACACTGTTGGTGGAAATGTACACAAGCAGTCAAATGATCTCAAAATTCTACTGGATACAAATCCCAAACAAGGAGAATCAAGTGAAGAGAGACCTGCACGTTTATGTTTATCATCGTACTATTTATTCAACAGTAGCCAAAAAACAGAAACAACCTATGTTCAACAATGCTGGGTGGATTTTTGAAAAAATAATATAGATTCCAATGGAATAATATCCAGTCATAAAAATGGATGAAATCCTGTCATTTGCAAAGGTTATATATAGAACTGGAGGACATTAAGTGAAATAAGCCAGGTACAATGAGACATACTACATGATAAAACTCTTCTGTGGAAACTAAAAGGCATATCTCATAGTAGTTCAGAGTACAGCAGTGGTTACCAGAAGCAGAAGAAAAGGGGAAAAGGTTGACAAATGGATACCAACTTAGGTAGACAGGAGAAGTAAGTTCTGGTGCTAGACAGCTAGAAGAAAGCATTTTGAATGTTCACACCAGAAAGAAATAATAAATGTTTGAGGAGACAGATAATGTTTACACTGATTTCAATGTTATCCACTGTATGTATGTATTGAAATACCACTGGTACCTCATTAATGTAATTTTATTCTTTTTTTTTCAAATGGAGAAAAATGAAATATTAGGTGTGATTGTTATACCAAACAAAGTATTAAGCACACTGAATTCTCTTTTGCAGCAGTTACATTCCATGAAGCGCCTTATACTGGAATGGAAGGAACACTGGATCAGAGTTCCAAAGGCAAGCCCATGTTAGACTCCCAGGAAACTCTGGTCACCAAACTGTAGTGAACTACAGAACATAGCACCACTTTTTTATGTGTTTGTATTTAAAGGCATATCTTACACACACACACACACACACACACACGATTGATTCCTCAACACTGAACTCACATGGAACAACACTAAAACTCACATCATCAGAATGACACCGGGCTAATACATATGTTCGCCCTATGTTACACCATAGTCTTCCTGCACTAGGAACACCTGCCATCACTTAAACACCATGCTTAGGAGACCTTATAAATAGCAAAATCAAGGGCTGGGGATGTGGCTCAAGCAGTGGCGCGCTCGTCTGGCGCTGGGTTCAATCCTCAGCATCACATAAAAATGAAATAAAGATTTTGTGTCCACCAAAAAATAAAAATAAATATTTAAAAAAAATAATTAATAAATAGCAAAATCATTGCCTTGTCTCCCGAAATAATTATAAAACACGAAAAACATGTGGCAGTAAACACTCCATGACACGGATTTGTGCTTGTAGCACAAGAACTGAAACAAGATGGCAGAGGATTACCTTGTTCAACCTCATCCAGGAATATGTTATACTCATTAGGCAATTCAAATTTTTTGCTACTCTTAACACATCCAGGAATGACTAAAGAGCTCCATGAATATTGATTTTAGAGTTCTAAATAACATAGCAAGTATGTTATTTGCAAATACCAAGTCCATGAATAATGAGGACTGATGCAGTGAAATGGACTTAAGCCTCCATATGCATTTAAAAGCCAAATGTATAGGAATAGGACTGCTATGATGAGTAAAACTGTGAGAACAGCCATCTTCATAAAATAGTTTTTTGCATATCAAACTACATGAACATATTTTTTAAATGCCCATAACGCTGCTCCACAGATAATCACTAACATTCTGATGTTTTTTCTTTTCGTTACAAATGTAATCAACTATGAAATCTTACTTAAATTACTACAAAACTTCACTTAACATTACGATTCTCCTCTTAATCCTTTGTGAAAATTCAAATACCTTACAAGCTTTGATTGCAAGAAGTTGATGTGCAAACGCACCATGGCTTGCTTCAATCAAATGACTTGCTATGGTAGCGTAGATTTTTCTCCCCAATTTTTTATTTTTATAAACAATGAAATGAAACATTCTTCATAAATTTATAAATCTTTCTGCTTATTTTCTAAATTACCAGAAGGAAAACCACTAATTTAACAGGTCTTAGAATCTTTCAGCTTCAATTTCTACTGCCAAAATACTCTCTGGAAGGCCCAGGTCATCCCATACACTCTATCAGCAATTTAAATACATTATCAAATCAAAATCTTTGCTACTTGCTGAAATAAAGCATTTTTTTATTAAAATAAGAAAAAATTACATAATTACGTATTGAAAAGGTGAAAGCTATTTCCTTATTTATGCATGAAGTTAAAATTTCCAATTTTTATTTCTTCCCTTGAAACTTGTATTTCTTCTTTCTAAAACCTGTTAAGTACAAGTATTTTTAATACAAATAATGCCACACACTGCCTTTCTGAGAGATTCTACATTATTGTATTTAATGTTTGTACACTGTAACTTTTTTTAATTCTTTGTTGCTGCTGTTGTTGTGTTGTTGTTGTTATTGTTATAAAGGATCTCTCTATTTTTTTATTTTATTTGGTGCTGAGGATTGAACCCAGTGTCTCATACATGTGAGGCAGGACCTTTCAGCCCGACCCTGCACTGCGAAGTGAGGGGAGGGGGACCACTCAGCCCTTTTTATTTGGAGACAATCTTAAGTTACCCTGGCTGGCAGCAGTGAATCCTCCTTCTTCGACCTCCCTGGAAGCTGAGATCACGGGTGTGCACAATCAAGCCCAATTCCCTGGGTCTTAAGACTTGGCAGGCAAGAGCAGAAGAGCAGAAAAGCTTTAAAGGACAGAGAAGTATGCTTCCAATAGGTTTTTAAGTAGATTTATAAAAATTTAACTGTGTGTTAAGTTAGCAATTTAATAATATCATCAACTTACCCTTAGATCCATTTTTCTCCATGGCTCCTTATTAGGATTGAGTTCATAGATGTTATTTCTTCTGACAGCTTCAATATAAGCTTCATGACCCTGTCGAAAATAGATTACCTACAAAAGAGAAGTATACATTTAAAAATTAGCAGAGAGCTAAAGAGCAATAGAAATTTTATGTTCTGTATTCACATTTTTAAATTTTATTATTCTCACCTCATCACCCATCTGAGGAACGAAGGGAGACTTTCGAAGTGTGGTGTCAGTTATCCAAACTGGAGGATGAAATTCATATAAGTGTTCCATGCTTACAAGCTCTGTAGGAGTCATCCTCCGCAAATTCTGGCAAGGGGAAGAGAACAAAGCATGGTGGAAAAGAAGGGGAGAACATGCATTGAGAAACCAAAGAAGCTTCACCATTCAGAATTATTGCTTAGCATCACCATCTAATGATTACTTTTGGAGAGTAGGGAGGGGTGATAGGGATCAAATCCAGGGGCACTTAACCACTGAGCCACATCAGTGGATGTGAATCCAGCCTTTTTATATTTTATTTTGAGACAGAGTGATTTCACTAAGTTGCTTAGGGCCTCACTACCTTCCTGAGGCTGGCTTTGAACTTGCAATCCTCCTGCCTCAAATTCCCAAACTCCCCAGCTGCTGAGATTACAAGCATGCACCATAATGCCCAGCTCGATTACAGCACTAGTACTTGCCTCATCAACCTACCCACAAGAATGTTATCACTTCTAAAAGCATTAAAGACCTACCTAGTTTTTTTCCTAAAATCACCTCCTGAATTTCTTTCAGTTTTAGAAAGGCATAAAAATCAAGTCTACTTCTCAGAACTGTAGAGATGGAGAAGTATTAATAACTAAAGCAACTTTTCCCAAAGTAAGTTTACTTTTATATTTTACTCCTCCTGGCCCCTAACTCTCTTACTAAATAAGGGCTAGTAAGTAGCTAAATTGTAGAGTGTCTGCCTCACATCCACAATGTCCTGGATTCTATCCCCCGCACTGCAAAAAAAGATGAAAGAAAGAAAAGCTCCAATTTCTCAAAGATTTTTGGTTACTACGTAAGGACAAAACCACCCTGTATAAAATAGAGTTGGTGGGGTTGTGGCTCAGTGGTAGAGCATTTGCCTAGCATGTGTGAGGCACTGTGTTTGATTCAACACTGCATATAAATAAATGAATAAAATAAAGGTGCATCAACAACTAAAAATATATTTCAAAGGGGAGGATTGGGGTTGTGGCTCAGCAGTAGAGTGCTCACCTAGCACAGGCAAGGCCCTGGGTTCAATCCTCAGAACCACATAAAAATAAATAAGTAAAATAAAGATACTGTAATATAACTAAAAAATTTTAAGAAAAAAACATAGATGTTACTTTAAAAAAAAGGTAAGAAAAATGTATTTAAGTTGTTGACGGACCTTTATTTTATTTTATTTATATGCAGAGCTAATAATCAAACCCAGTGCCTCTCAGACGCTGGGTACCTGCTCTACCACTGAGCCATGACCCCAGCCCCCTTCTTACCTCTTTTTTAGGTTTGCTTTCCTTCTTTCTCTTCCGTCTTCTTTTTGGAGGAGATAAATTCTCAGCAGATATTTCATCCTCAGAACTACTACAAAATCGGGTAATTCGTCGACGGCATGATGTTCGCAAAGGAGGTTGCAAGTTGATTCCTGCATCAGCTGTCCAATCAGAGTATCTAGATGAAGAGTCACTGGCAGAAGAGAATGTTAAGTTGCATAGACCAGAATCTAAAAACTAACAGCAAGGTATCACTAAAGGGAAGAGAGAGCAGGTAAAGAGGAAAGGAAGACCTCATAAGATTTAACTGAACATCCTGCCCATAAGACAAAGAAAGACTGAAATGGACAAAGGTCATGACAAAGAAACCTTCACCGACACTGGAAACTAGAAAAAGGAATGTAAGCCTAAGGGTTTTTAAGGTTTTGGGGGGATTTTTTTGTTTTGTTTTGTTTAAGTATACTATAGATGACAACTAATGGAAGGCAACTTCTGTTACCAACAAATGCCTTCCAGGAAAAAAGAGGAGAGAAAAAGGTAAAATGGGAAGAGTAAAGATTGTACAAAAACCTATGAGCTGGGTGCAATAACACACATCTGGAATCTCAGTGACTCATGAGGCTGAGGCAGGAGAAACACAAGTTTGAGGTCACCCTCAGCAACTTAGCAAGGCCTTAAGCAACTTGGGGAAACCCTGTCTTGAAATGAAAAATAAAAAGGGCTGGGGATATGGCTCAGGGGTTAATTTTCCCTGGTTCAAACCCTAGTACAAAAATAAACAACAACCACAAAAAAACCTAAGAGAAGCCTCCAGCCCAATGCTGGAGGAGGCTGAGGCATGAGGTACAGGCTAGTAATTTTAACTGGCATCAGAAGCTATTAAAGGATACACTGAGAAACCCAGGAATTCATAGCCTCATCAGACAAAAGGTTTTAAGTGGTTAGTTTCTTGCCAAGTGTGGAACTCTCACTGACATGACAGAAACCCAAGAAAGGAGTTAATAATCTTAACCACACCCTAGAAGACAAACCAAATCAAAGAGGAACTAGAAATACAAAAACTAGCCCTTGGCCCACAATTAGCTTCACCAAATACAAAAAAGAATAACATCTCCCCTGGGCCATCATTTGGCCCCACTTCAACCACACACCTTTCAATCTATAAAACACACACTCAAAAGCACATTTCTCAAAGTTGTATAGTATAAACTAATTGTTTATAAAAATTTTAAGAGCATCTGCTTTATAGAACAAATCAAGTAAAATTGGAATAAAAGAATGAATAAAGACAAACAGAACAGTGGTTGGCAGTGGGATAATGTGAAGTACTGCAGTTCATAGGTAGTTTTCAGTGCTTCAAGATTACAGGATTCTGGAGATTAGTTGCACAACAGAGTGAAAGTCAACATTACTGGGGCTGGGGTTGTGGCTCAGCAGTAGAGTGCTTGCCTAGCACATGCAAGGCCCTGGGTATGATCCTCAGTTCCACATAAAAATAAATAAAATAAAGGTATTGTGTCCAACTGCAACTAAAAAATAAATATTAAATAAAAGAATTTTATAAGAAGTTAACATTACTGAACTGCATATTTAGTATGGTTGGATTTTGCTTGTTTTGGTGGAGACTGAACCCAGGACTCCACATATACCAATGAGCCCCATCCCAACCCAAGATAGTATCTTCATGTTCTGTATATTTCATCAACATTAAAAGAAAAAATTTAAAAAGTAAATAATATTTATGTTTTAAAACACTGCTCCAGGCCAGGTATGGTATGACATACCTATAATCCCAGCAGCTAGGGAGGCTAAGGCAGGAAGATCCCAAATTCAAAGGCAGCCTCAGCAACTTAGCGAGACCCTAAGCAACTGAGCCCTGTCTCTAAATAAAATATTTAAAAAGGGCTGGGAATGTGACTCAGTGGTTAAGTGCCCTTGCATTCAATCCCCAGTACAAAAAAAAAAAAAAAGCATCATCTAAAACACTCTTCCAGCTCCTAACCACAGTGGAGTAAAGTAAGCCAAGAGGGAGAGAGTATAAGACTATGGTTTGGACCAAGGAAATATCAATGAAAAGAGATAACAAAAGTCTTTAGTCTGAGTCATATTTTGGTGGGAGAATTTTCTAGACATGGTTATGGTTAGGTTGTATAGAGAGAGAAGAGAGGAGGACTTTTTTTTTTTTWAATAATGTCCAGATTTTTGCTTTGATCAGCTAACAAGAAGAGCGTGACATTTACCAAGATAAGAAATCAAGGATGACAATCTAGACCTACAAAATTTGAATCCCCAAATTAAATAAAACATAACATATACATTAATAAAAAAAAATACTAATGGTTTTACCACACATAAACTGCTGGGCCAAATGCTACTGTCAGTTAAACATGCTCAGAATATTTCTATACCTATGAAAAGCTAAACGTTAATCTGTTCCACAGTTGTTAACTGTTGCTCCTTGAATGTCTTCAAATTACCTTACGTCCAAGACTATGACTAATGCTTCAAAGATCAAAATAATTAAGAACAATACCTTGAACTTTCAGTATAGCTTTCACTTTTTCTATCACTCTTCCATTCATCTTCTTCTGACGAATAAGAACCTTCACTTTGATCACAGGAAGTCTCCTAATTTGAGAGGAGAGGAAAAAAGTCTTAATCCCTTTAAGTTAAATGACACATATTTAAAAAAACTGAACAGTCATCAGAACAATTAAATCATTTAATGACTATAACAACTGGTTTTAAAAGAAAAATTAGAAAATTTAAAAACTTTTTTACTGCATCCTGATGCTTATCAAGGCATACACAAAAAGAATATTTAGGAGATTGAACACTGCCGCCATCAGGAAAGGTGGTGGTACAAGGCCAGCCTGGGGGAAGTCGGCAGTTCATGAGGATGTCTCAGGGATCTGGCTTCAGCTCTGCTCGCAGGTGAGCAGTGGCATCTCACTGCTACACTCTTTTTGATCCCCTGAGATGTGTGACAGCATCATTTCATATAGTTATTCACCACCATGGTAATGTGCATTAGATCTTTTGCCCATTTTGAAATTGGGTTGTTTCCTTACTGATACAATTTTAACAATACTCTGTATATTTGCAATACAAGTCTTTTATCAGATTTGAGTTTTGCAAATATTTTCTCTCAACTGTGGTTTGCCTTTTCATTCTCTAGCAGTTATCTTTCCCAGAACAGTTTTTAATTTCAATGGAACCCAAATTATCCAAGAATATATAGATTTTATTTTATCTTCTGGAAAGAAGCCTTGTAGCCTCACATTTTACATTTATACTAAATTTATGATCCAACCTGTGTTAATTTTTGTGAAAAATCAGTGCATACACTCACTTTTCAGTTATTCCAACACCACTCACTGGAGACTATGCTTTGTAGAGAGTTGTCTCTGCACCTTTGCCAGAGATCAGCTACCCGTATTTGAGCTGACTTATTTCTGGACTCTTTACATTGTTTCAATTATCTATTTGTCTATTCTTCCACCAATAACCTGGTTATTGGTGTAGTTTCACAGTAATTCTTGATGGGAGTCAGTACACCAGTCCTTTAATTTGTTCTTTAGTGTCAGTTATCCTAAGTCTTTTCTTGGCTCCACATAAACTTGAAAAATCAGATAGTTCGGCACATTGTGGAGGTTTTGCCTATCTCTAGGTGGTGTGTTCCACCTGGACAGCTGCAACCAGCAGTGAGTCCTCCCCGGTGCCCTGGCATCCCGGGTGACTGTAAAGTGCTAATCAGTTATTTCTGAATATAACTGAAACAGAAAACAGGAAGATGGCAGCAAATCCTTCAGGATAAGCATTGCCCTACCCAGACCTGCTCTTAATAAGGACTTCTGGGATCATGCAGAGCAGCAGCATATTACAGCCCAGCAGAAGACAGCTTTGCAACATGCTCATGCACATTAATCTGGATAATGAAGAAAACATCTGTGATGAAAATGACTTTGTAATACTAAATGCCAAAGCTATTCTCATTCAATGCTGTGCACACTGTGACAACCAGAATTTTGGTGAACTTAACATTTTTTTTTCTTCTTGAAAACAAAGGGATATATTAAGTGAAAGCAAAAGGAGAGGGGAAAGTAGGATGATGAGAGCTTTAGAAACTGTTGTCTGAAAATCTGATTATGCTGCATGTGACTATCATTTTTGTAATACATTTGATTTTTAGCTCTAAATTGGACTCTGAATTGGATAGTCATGTAAAATCAGCCCCTAACCACTACACAATGTTATGTCCACAATAGAACCATTTGTAGTATTTAACTTTTTAAAAAATAAGGGTGCTACTGAAAAATGTTAACTCATAGGATTAAATAAGTTAGGTTTATATTTGTCATCCACAGGACTGATGTTGTATATAGCTTTCAAATTTATAGTAAACGTATCATCCAGAAATACTGTGTAAATGCATAATTCTTCTCGTATTATTTTAAAAGAAAATAAAGATAAAACTATATTTACCAATCAGTCTTAAAACCTCTTTTATAAATATATACCATTATAAATGATGCTACTCATTATAAAGAATGTAGTGGCTTAAACATTTATTTGTACATGCTCTTATCTGGTGTTACTACATAAATGGTATGCCTGTGTGGTTTCATTGTTCATTTTTTATCTAATTCAGAAGTAAAAAATAAAAGAAAAAAATCAACTGTCAATATTCACAAAAATAACTTTTTGGGATTTTGACTGGGATTCTACTGAATCCATTACATGATGCTAGAGAAAACTAACATCTTCACAAGAATGTGAGTCAACAGGAACTCACTCACAAGCGATGGAAATGTAAAACAGTACAACTACTTTGGAAAACAACTTGGTAATTTTTTACAAAGCTAAACAGAGTCTTATCACATGATCCAGCAATCACACTCCTTGGTATACCCAAATGAGCTGAAAGATTATGTCCACATAAAAATCTGCACATGGGCCAGGCGCAGTGGCTCACATCTGTAATCCCAGAGGCTTGGGAGGCTGAGGCAGGAGGGTCTCGAGTTCAAAGCCAGCCGCCAGCCTCAGCAACTTAGAAAAGCCCTGAGCAACTCAGAGAGACCCTGTCTCTAAATAAAATATAAAAAGGGGCTAGGGCGCTGGGATTGTGGCTCAGTGGTAGAGTGTTCGCTTAGCATGCTTGAGGCACTGAGTTCGATCCTCAGCACCACATAAAAATAAAATAAAGATATTGTGTCCACCTAAAGCTAAAAAAAACAAATATTTTTAAAAAGTGGGGGGAGGGATAGGGAAGTGGCTCAGTAGTTAAGCATCCCTGGGTTCAATCCCCAGTCCCCCCGCCAAAAAAAAAAAAAAAAAAAAAAAAGCTCGATGAGAATCTCCACTGACCAAAGATAACTTCATCACAAAAAGCACAAAAAGTAGTGGACAAGAGCAACCCAATGATCCAATATGAGCAACGAGCCCTAAGACATTAAATAATTAATGCCAGAAAGACAGAAGTTCTTCCACATAGTACAATGCCAACTAGTAAATGTTAAAGGAACTACGGGTAGAAAAAATTTACCATTTACAGGTATCATAGCAACAAATTCAAACTAGAATCACCAATGGCCGCCAAATCTGAGCCCACGCTGAAAATTACAAGAGAATTCCTTAATTAAAAAGGAGAAAAAAAGTCATTTTACGATAGCTAAACCTAGCAGACACTATCTTAACCAAAGTGGTCAATAATGGGATAAAACAAATCGCACAACATCTGATGCCAGGTACTGAGAAGAATACATGGCCACCTGTGGCACTACTGCAAAAAAATGCGCACTCATAAAAACTACTGGTCAGAAATGTAAGCATTAAGACAAAAACTGAGAAACTATAGGCAACTGAACAGATGAACTGACTACTAACACATGACTTTTGGTTTTCTTTTGTTATCAAGATTATAGGTACCAGGCTGAGGTTGTGGCTCATGCCTAGCTTGTGCGAGGCCCTGGGTTCGATCCTCAGCACCCACATAAAAATAAATAAAAATAAAGGTACTGTGTTCAAGTAAAAAATAAATGTTGGGCTAGGGATGTGGCTAAAGTGGTAGCGCACTCGCCTGGCATGCGCAGGGCACTGGATTCGATTCTCAGCACCACATAAAAATAAAGATGTTGTGTCCACTAAGAACTAAAAAATAAATATTAAAAAATTCTCTTTAAAAAAAATAATAATGTTAAAAAAAAAAAAGATTCAGGTACCAGTAGCAAAATGTGACAAACGGCTGTAGAACTGATGTTAACAGTAATGTATTAACATTCCCTGATTTGGATAATTATATCAAGGAAAATGTTAAACAATATCCTTATTTGGAAATACACAAGGAAATATGCAGGTGTGGAAAAGCACATGACAATTCACTGTCAAAATGATTAGGGGAAGGCTGTGGCTCAGTGGTAGAGTGCTCACCTAGCATGTGTGAAGCAGTGGGTTCGGCTCCCAGCAACACATATTAATTAATACTTAACTAAAGGTCCATCAACAACTAAAAAAAAATATTTGGGGACAAGGGAAGAATGGAGGAACGTTGGATTGGGCAGATGGGGGAGGGCGTATGGAGATGGGAAAGATTGTGGAATGAGATGGACATTGTTACCCTATATATGTACATGTATGACTGAACAAATGGTATGATTCTGCATTGTGTACAACCAGAGAAATGAAAAGTTGTGCTTCATTTGTGTACAGTAAGTTGAAGTGCATTCTGTGGTCATGTATAACTAATTAGAACAAATAAAAAATGGTTAGGGGGAAAATTCATATAAATACAAGAATGACATCTTTAAGGGTAAAGAAATAGAGGAACTTTCTTAGAACTTTCCTTATATCTGAAAATTTATTTACAATGAGAAGTTTAATTTCCCCAAATCCTCAAATAAACTGATGCTACAGGAAGGCAGGGCCACGTTCTAAGTTCATAGTGGCCTTGCATGTTTCTTTTCTTCTGGGGATTGAGCCCAGGGGTGTTCTACCACTACACTGCATCCTCAGTCCTTTCTAATTTCTTGAGAGAGGACAGATCTCACTACTTTGCTGAGGCTGCCCAGGAACTTTCAATGTTCCTGCCTCAGCCTCCTAAGATACTGGGATGTCGGGTATGGCACCACTGCCCCCCCCCCATGGTGTATTTTTACATCAGTGTGGGAAAGTTAAAGAAATCTCATACCTATACCTGTTTTCCCATTTGTTTAAAAAAAAAAAAAAAAAACCTGTTGGAGTACCTTAATTCCTACTTGCTGGAAGGATGAAATTATATATAATACTTAGAACAGTGTGACTAGCATAATAAAATGCATTAATGTTTGTTCCCTTTCTGTAGCCATTGTCATAGTTAAACCCAATAATAATGGTAATTCTTGTACTTCCATGCCAACCCCGATAATCATACTGTACCACACAAGCCTCTCTAGAGGCTTACATACAGGCTTCTACGTAGGAGTCCTATGCTTCCCAAAGGTAACCTCCCACAACATCCACCATGTCATACAAACTCTTGAAACCTGAGTGGAAATGCTAGAACACAGATGACAGTAAAACAGTTGTTTCCAATACATGTGCTCTACTCATGAGGGTACGACCTCCTACGAATCCTAAACTGTTTAAGTCCTCATTTGAAACAATGGGAATAATCTGGTGATTCAATTCCATATATCATACCTTATACTTAGTTTTAGAACTAGTGTACATGCAGAGAAAGGGGAAAAAATCATCCAACATAAAGACAGGAGAAAATAACTAACTAAAAGATTAAAATCACATGTAGCCATGTCACAGAGAGCCAAATCAGACCTCAGAAGAAATAATGTTATATTAGAAACAATTGGGCCATGGACTTATGGTTCCCCCCTAGCACTTCCTGCTTGTGGAAGGCCACATAAGCCCTTGTGGTTTTCCTTCTGCTCATCTGTACAAGGTAAGGCGATGTTAGCCAGCCAGAAGGATAGGCCACAAACATCAGATAAATTTTGGATGAAATAAAATGAAGATGCTTCTGAAAACTATGGTGAATGTTTCATGCACCTATAAAATATTTCCCATGTTTCACCTAAGTTCTCAATAAATGCACAATGTCCCTGGGAGGAAAATAATATTGTCTCCTCTTCAAGATTGTGAAAAGGTTCAGAGATTAAAAAAAAAAAACCTCTGATAGCAGATCACCGCATTCTGAGTCAACAAAGGCCAGGCTTCTACCCTTAATTCCATGCTTTTTCCAGTAAGCCCTAGTAACCAAATGTCAAGTAGATCAATCAATAAGGCTCACATTATAAGCGCTCTAAAATCAAAGTGTGCCTTAAAAAGAATACAAAAATGAGCAAATTCATAGACATCCTGTGAAAGACCAGAAAGGTGGCAAATAATGACTTGATGGTAGAAGTCAGCCACAGTGTAGAAGGAAGGACAGGCAATTTGTGTCCTGGGGCTTTACAAAAACACACCGAGAATTTATTCGTAACAGGATTAGTTCATTTTAACTGCTCAACTTCAAATCCCAATACAAAATCTACTGCACAAAATATCTTCGGGTAGGTCTGAAGAAATGCTTTGAGAAGTACACGATACCACTAACACAGAATACAACTAAGTGTCAGTATTTGCTAGAAGCAACTGGACAGCATAAGACACAGCAGCCACCTGAGTGCTAGTTTATACAACACTCAGGGGTCATATGGCTTTCTACGGAACTGAAGAGCACCCCACCATCTGAGCCCTAGGGGCTGAGATAGAAAGTAACAACCTACTATGAGACTGAACTTTCAGATAATGAGCCACTAGCACTCTGACTCCAAGTCTAACTGATCCCCCCACTGGAGACAATGAAGTAACATATAACATATACCTCATGCTATTTCAAGGTGCTGGTGTTATCATAAATCACCCAAAAAATCATTAAGAAATTGTTAAAATATGTTCAAAACACCACAATTAAGAAATACTATAAAAAATACATACAATAAAATCATTATAAATGAAATTTTGATGACAAGAGCAGCAAACATCACTGTATATTAGGCATTATTTTAATCCTGGGACATTATGATCTACATTTACCTTCACAACCCCTTTGAGGAACCTCCTATCACAGGAACAGGCACATAAAGACTAAGAAACTTGCCTAGTTAGTGGAATTTGTATTATATTTAACTCCAAACACATGCATGACTACTATCCTACTGCTTTATAAAAAGAGATCTAAGTGAACGGATGGACCATGTGGAACATCTTACTGCCCAAAATGTTACTGAATCAGAAAACACTAACATTAAACACTCTTCCCGAAAAATTGGTTTCCCAAAAAAATTAAAAAATAAAACTGAGGAGCTGGGCACAGTGGTGCATGCCTGAAGTCCCAGCGGCTCAGGAGGCTGAGGTAGGAGGATAAAAGTTCAAAGCCAGCCTCAGCAACTTAGTGAGGTCCTGAGCAACACACCAGGACCTGTCTCTAAATAAAATACAAAATAGGGTTGCGGACATGGCTTAGTGGTTGTTTCCCTGAGTTCAACCCCGGTACCAGATAGATAGATAATTAAAATGAGAGCTGGGGACACAGCTCACTTGGTAGAGTGCTTGCCTTGCATGCACAATGCCCTGGGCTCAATCCCTAGCACCACAAAAAAAAAAAAAAAAAAGGGGGGAAAATTAACAAGACAGAGAGAACTGGAACTCTCATACATTACTGATGGAAATATAAAATAGTACAGCCAATTTGGAAAACAGTCTGACAAGTCCTCAAAAAGTTAAAGAGATTTTCCAATGACCCAGCAAATCAGCTCTCAGGTATACACCCAAGAACTGAAGACATTAGGGCTGGGGTTGTGGCTCAGTGGTAGAGCATTTGCCTAGCATGTGTGAGGCACTGGGTTCGATTCTCAGCACCACATACCAATAAATAAATAGAATTTAAAAWATATATATATATATGCAAACAGAAACCCATAAATGAATGTTGACAGGCAGCACTGTCAACACAGGAACACAAATGTCCACAAGCTAGTGAACGAATTAAAAAAAATTGTGGCATACATGCATACAACTGAATATTACTGGGTAATAAAGAATAAAATTGAGAGGCTGGGATTGTGGCTCAGCGGTAGATCCTCAGCACCACATAAAAACAAAGGCATTGTGATGTGTCCATGTACATCTAAAAAATAAATATTAAAAAAAAATAAAATAGGGGGCTGGGGATGTGGCTCAAGCGGTAGCGCGCTCGCCTGGCATGCGTGCGGCCCGGGTTCGATCCTCAGCACCACATACCAACAAAGATGTTGTGTCTGCCGAAAACTAAAAAATAAATATTAAAAAATAAATAAATAAATAAATAAATAAATAAAATTGATACATGCTACACATGGCTTAATCATTTTTTTTTCAAATGGCTTAATCTTAAAAAACATTACGTTATATGAAAGATGCCAGTCACACTATGAGACACAAAAACTAACTGCACAATTCCACTTATGTGAAATGTCCAAAATAGGCAAGTCTACAGACAGGAAGAATGTTAGTAATTACCAAGAATTTGGGAGTAAGACAGGAAGTTAAGTAACTATAAATGGCATATGTTACATTAAAAGTGATAAAATGTTTAGAAATTAAGTAATGGTGATAATGCTATAGAATACTGAAACCACTGGATCATACACATATTTCATGTTTTTTGGGAACTTTTAGAAACTTTCAATTAAAAAAAATAAAACAAAATTCAAGCCTGGTGTGATGGCATGAGCCCAAAGGTACTTGGGAGAGACAGTCAAGGAGAAAAAAGAAAACCATCACTGGAGACCAAGAGCTCAAGGCCAGCCTGGGCAGTATAGGAAGACCCCACTGCTTCCTCCCCAACTATCAAACCATGAAATTTCATCTTCATTCCTTAAGGATATTGTATTTTCACATAAATCCAGCATAGAGTCAAAGAACTGAGGCAAATACACTTAGGATTATCTTATGTATTTTAAAGTTACTCCACTTACCTGTCTTCCAGAACCTGAAGACTCATTTCCAGAGGATAACTCACACCGGCCAACATTTCTTCTACCATAAGTTGAATATTTACGCCTGCACGTCCTCTGTCTAGACTGTGATACCAAAACCATTGAATCCAACTGAAACAAAGAAACATACAGAAGAAAATCAACACCTATTTAAATAGGGAAGAGTGTCAGCAAAATATAATCCTATCAAGTTCCCAAAATTACTTAAGGCAAAAATAAAAGCTTAAAAAGGTACACAATCTTGAATAATAGATTTCCTACATACCATTAACTTAAACTTGGCACTTTTTTTTTTTTTTTTAACTTTCAAGGGCTTTAGAAGACATGAAGAAAAAGCACCTGAGATCAGCGTTTTTCAAACTATGCTGTAATTCACTGATTTATAATGGATTAAAGTAACAACTCAAAAGGGAAGTCACTTACACGTATCTCAGAAAAGTACAAAAACATTTACATGATGCAATAATCAAACTTAAGGAAATGTATCACTATTTGTATACCTAGATATAGACAAATATTTGAAATAATTCTCAAGCACTGGCTATAATTATTTACAGATTTTCAGTTTTTAGAAGAATTGTTGTTAGAGCTTTTCAATTCTGGTGAAAAATGTTAAAATCATATTTCTATCAAAAAAATAATAATTTTTCAAAATCTGCCAAATAAAACAACTACTATACACAATGGAGTATTACTCAGCCATGAAGAGGAATGACTTTATGACATTTGCCAGTAAATGGACAGATCTGGAGACTATCATGCTAAATGAAGTAAGCCATTTTCCTCCTCAAAAAAAAAAAAAAAACACAGAGGTTGAATGTTTTCTCTGACACGTGGTACCTAACCCACAACAAGGGGGGCAGGGAATTGAAGTTCAGTGGACTAGACAAAGGGGAATAAAGGGAGGACAGGAAAAGGAAAGAGTGGAATGAATCTGACTTAACTCTCCTACATACATATATGAATACACCACAGTGAATATCACCATCATGTACATCCACAACAATTAAAAAAAAATGGGTAAATGGCAGAAAGATCAAGGGAGCAAGAAGTGGGGAGGGGGAAGGAGAGGTACTGGGGTCTGAATTAGAACAAGATATATTCCATTCTTGTACAATTATGTCAAAATAAATTCTGCTGTCATGTACAGTTAAAAAGAACCAATAAAATTTTTTAAAGAGTCTACTTTAAAAAATAAACAACTAAAAAAATAAAATAAATAATAAATAAATAAAAACTACCGATTTTAATTTTCAAAAAAGGCATGCCACTTCCCAAATACCAAAGTCAAATACAAAATTACTCAATGAACTATACCACTTCTTGGTATTTACCCTAAAGAATTAAAGTCAGGGGCTGGGGATGTGGCTCAAGCAGTAGCATACTCCCCTGGCATGCACAGGGCGCTGGGTTCGATCCTCAGCATCACATTAAAATAAAAATAAAGATGTTGTGTCCACCGAAAACTAAAAAATAAATATTAAAAAACTGTCTCTCTTTAAAAAAAAAAAAAGAATTAAAGTCATCATACGACAGTGATACATGCATGCCCATAATTCACAACAGCCAAACCAAGGAATCAGCCTACAAGACCATCAATGGATGAGTGTTAAAGAAAATGAGGTGTATACACATGGAGTTTTATTCAACATAAAAAAGAATGTCATTTGCAGGAAAACAGATGGAAATTGAGATTATGTTAAGCAATTACCAAACTCAGAAGGTCAAGGGTCGTATGTTTTCTCTAATGTGGAAACTAGAGAGGAAAAAGGAAAAGGAGGATTTGAGTCTCATAAAAACTCAAGGGACATCAGTAAAGGAAAGGGACCAGGGTAGAAAAATGAGGGAGGAAAAGGGAAAATAGTGAAGAAGGATATTAGCCAAATTATATTGTGAGCCAGATGCATGGCGCACACCTACAATCCCAGCAGCTCGGGAGGCCGAGAGATAAGGATCACAAGTTCAAAGCCAGCCTCAGCAAAGGTGAGGTGCTAAGCAACTCAGTGAGGCCCTGTCTCTAAAATACAAAACAGGGCTGACAGGGCTGGGGGTGTGGCACCATAACTAAATAAATAGATAGATAGATAGATAGATTGATTGATTTTGTGATATCGTGTGCATGTATGAGTATGTAACAACGAACCCACCATTATATATAACTATCATGACACCAATAAAAAATACAGGAAAAAAATACTCAATGAAAGCACCTATTCCTTGAACTTAAGCACAGATCAATTTTCACACAGGAGCCATCTGATGGACACTGATCTGTTGTAGAATTTCAATATTAATAGGAACTGCTCTTAAACTGTGTTTTTCTTAATATGTCAGTGCAGACTTTTGTTAAAGTCTAATGAGTTCCATGACTGATAACAGATAAAAACAAGTGAGCCAGAACCTTCACTAACAAAAACAAGAAAATCTGGTGAAACACTTTTTATAGGTGTGCGCCATGCATTTGGCTCACAATATATTTTGGCTAATATCCTTCTTCACTATTTTCCCTTTTCCTCCCTCATTTTTCCGCTGGTCCCTTTCCTTTACTGATGTCCTTTCAGTTTTCATGAAGGCAACCAACCATGAAGGCACCAGCTAACTATAAAAAGGCTATGGAAGTTTATAGACAAGGGGAAAAAAATCTTTTTTCCTATATTCTAGAATTTCACTCTAAAAGAGGAAGCTGAAAAGCTTAGCAAGTAAACAACAAAAAACTGACAGACTAACCCTTAAATTAAGATAGTAAAAATTACACTTCACAGCCTCCTAAATGCAGGGGAATCCCCCAAGCTTAGACTGTTGTCTTAAGGCTATACCTAAGTTTACAGATGACTCACAGCTGCAACAGTAACCCCAAGAACGTAAGTCTACTGTTGTCTGGATAAGGCAACACAGGCTTGGCAATGGCCCTCGATGTCTGCCAGAAACAGAAAGACATCCTAGGCTTCAAATCTTCTCTAACACTTAACATTCCATTAAAACACACACACACACACACACACACACACACACACACACACACACACACGATGTCATTGTAAAAATTGAGGAAAATCAACATACAGTGGGAACTGGCCCTACGAGAAGCAAATTATTGAAATAATGACTTTCCAGATATTAAAACAATGAGTACTTTGGCAAAAAAAAAAAAAAAAAAAACTCTAAAACAAGAACCAGATGGAAATTCAGAGCTAAAAAATATAGTAACTAAAATTAAGAACTCAAGAGGTTTAACAGTGGATTGTGCACATGTCTATAAATCAGCATTTCAAAAAAAGGAATGATGTGTAACCGGAAAGAAGGGAAAGAAAGTCAAGATGAAAACATATGATGTAGGGCTGGGGATGTGGCTCAAGCGGTAGCGCGCTCGCCTGGCATGCGTGCAGCCTGGGTTTGATCCTCAGCACCACATACAAACAAAGATGTTGTGTCCACCGAAAACTAAAAGAAATAAATATTTAAAAACTCTCTCTCTCTCCTCTCTCTTTAAAAAAAAAAATATGATGCACACACTACCCAAAGAAAGGTAACATAGTTATATTGCTATAAAAGGATTAAAAGAAAAAACATTAGAGACAAAGTGATAATTCACAAGGCAGTAGGAAAAGAAAAGCCCTAGTAGGCACCAAATAACATGTCTTCAAATCAAGTAAAGCAAAAATTTTTAATTTTAACAAGCGACAAGTAACAAGAGAAATATCTACACACATTTTTTTGTCACATATCTCACTATGGGAAGCAATTCAACGTTTTGAAATCGTGTGTGGCATTAATGAGTAAGATTAAATATATATGATCCTGGGGCTGGGGTTGTGGCTCAGTGGTAGAGTGCTTGCCTAGACCCTGGGTTCACTCGATCCTCAGCACCATATAAAAGTAAATAAAGGGGGCTGGGGATGTGGCTCAAGCGGTAGCGCACTCGCCTGGCATGCGAGCGGCCCAGGTTCGATCCTCAGCACCACATACAAACAAAGATGTTGTGTCCACCGAAAACTAAAAAATAAATATTAAAATTCTCTCTTTCTTTAAAAAAAAAAAAGTAAATAAAGGTATTGTGTCCAACTACAATTAAATACACACACACACACACACACACACACACACAAATAAAATCCTTATGAACCAACAACTTCAAGGCTTATCTCTCAAAGAAATACATGTACAGGCTAGGGCTGTAGCTCAGTGGTAGAGAACCTGCCTAGCACACTTGAGGCACTGGGTTCAATCCTCAGCATTACATAAAAATATATTGTGTCCATCTATAAACAAATAAATAAAATACTTTCAGTATACCAAGAGAAAGACATGTACAAAAATATTGATTAGTAGTATTTTTTAAAACAAAGTTTAAGTCTGCATCAATTTCTTTTTTTTTAGTTATTGATTTATTTTATTCATTTACTCATATGCGGTGCTCAGTATCAACCCCAGTGCCTCACACACATGGGGCAAGCACTCTACCCCTGAGCCACAACCCATGTCTGAAACTAGTATTATTCCTAACAGAAAAAATATGAAAAACAGCTAAATGTCCTTTCACAAGAGACTAAGTACCAAAATAATTACTATAAAACAATGAAAACAAAGGATCCACAACTACTCATAATACAAATAAACCCACAAGACTGACTCAAGCAAAGAGATGTAAAAGATTACATATTTTCTAATTCCATTTATATCAGTTTCCCAATATTCTCACCACAGTATAGAAAAGAATTCAGACTTTTCCTGTTCTATAAATTTTTATCTCACTTTAAAGATCAGTGCTATAAAAATTTAAGTAGAACTCTTAAGCCTCTTCACTCAACATAGGGTTAAAAATGACAAACTTTTTTTTCTTTTAATTTTTTTTAATTGTAGATGGACAAGATATCTTTAATTTAATTTTTATGTAGTGCTGAAGATCAAACCCAGTGCCTTCCACATACAAGGCAAGCACTCTACCACTGAGCTCTAATCCCAGCCCCTAAAAACTTTTATTAAAAGTTAAAAGCCAGACTGGGGTTATGGCTCAGCGGGAGAGTGCTCGCTTAGCACATGTGTGTCCCTGAGTTCAATCCTCAGCACCACATAAAACAAAATAAATAAGATAAAGGTATTATGTCCAACTAAAAAATATTTTTTAAAAAAGTTAAAAGCCAGGTGCAATGTTGCACACTTACAATCCCAGTGATTTGAAAGGCTAAGAGTTGAAAGTTGAAAGCCAGCCTCACCAACTTAGCAAAAATTGGTGTCTCAAAATAAAAATTAAAATTAAAAAGGGCTAGTTTCTAGTACCAGTAAAAGATTTTTTCTAATTTTTTAAATAAAATGAGGAAGCTAGTCATTTTAAACTTTATACCCGGATGCTGAATAAATTAGTGTAATTTAGTTAGGTACATAAATTGTTATGTTCAAATTACACGTACAAATTAGAAATTTATAAATATCCAACAGCAAAGTAGTGAAGTATTTTAAAATAGTTCAAAAATTTATTTTTCCAGGAAAAGCAAAATATTCAAAATATACCCAGCTCAATGGTGCATGCCTATAATCCCAGCAGCCAGGAGGCTGAGACAAGAAGGATCACGAATTAGAAGCCAGCCTCAGCAAAAACAAGGCACTAAGCAACTCAATGAGACCCTGTCTCTAAATTAAATACAAAATTGGGCTGAGGATGCAGCTCAGAGGGTTAGAGCCTCTCAGTTATTCAATCCCTGGTACAAAAAAAGAAAAAAATATATATTTTTTTCAAAATATGAATTTCATAAAAATTACCTTAGTGAACTTGTTAAAAATGCTTGAGCTGGTTCCATTCTAAGTTTTCCAAGGAATCTCCAATCTGCTTTCCAGGTTGTTTGCACCAATTTGCAATTCCACTAGCAATGTATGAGTGCCTTTTTCCCCACCTCCTTTCCAACACTTATTGTGTTCTTAATAAATGCCATTCTGACTGGAGCAAGATGAAATCTTAGTTTTGATTTGCATTTCTCTAATTGCTAGGATGTGACTCTACTTTGTGAACAACCAGAGATTTGAACATTTTCTCACGTATTTGTTGATCGATGGTATATCATCATCTGAGAACTGTCTGTTCAGTTCCTTAGCCCATTGATTGGGTTATTTGGGGTTTTTTTTTTTTGTTGTTGTTGTTTTGGTGTTAAGTTTGAGTTCTTTACAGATCCTAGAGATTAGTACTCTATCTAATGTGTGTGTGGTAAAAATTTGCTCCCATTCTGTAGGCTCTCTCTTCACCTCACTGATTGTTTCTTTTGCTGACAATGTAATGCATTCTGCTATCATGTATAATTAATTAGAATAAACACCTTTAAAAAAAAGAGAGAAAAGAAAAAAAAAATGCTTGAGCTGGGAGCAGTGATACACACCCATAATCCCAGGGAGGCTGAGGCAGGAGGATCCCAAGTTTAAGAATAACCTCAGCAAATGATCAAGACCCTAATGAATTAGCAAGACCGTCTCAAAATAAAACACAGAAAAAAGGGTTGGGATTGTGGCTCAGTAGTTATGCAACCCTGGGTTCAATCTGGGTACCAAAAAAAAAAAAGTTTGATGTACAAAAATGTCCTTAACTATAGCCATTATATATTGAGACAGTAAACTTTTTTTTCTCTTTTCAGCATTTCACATAATGAGGAGCTCGGTTGCCTTAAAATTAAACTGCAGGTATATATATATATGTGTGTGTGTGTGTGTTATACACACACACACACACACAGAGATAGATATATTCATATCCACAAACACTTGCTTTTTTGTGTACATGCAGTGCTTGTGCATGCTAGGAGTATGTGGCACCACTAAGCTACATCCCGCCCCCATTTTTATTTAATTTTCAAAGCGCAGACCATCATGCTCCAACAGGACCCTCAATGGAAATGTACACATAAGCTGCTTCTCACAATATGACTTTAAGACAGAGCACTTAAAACTCCTCAAATCACAACTACCTTCCACTACAGTTTGTTCATAGTGCTCATGAATGTATTCCTCCCCTTCTCGCCCAATACCATGTATTGAACTGAGGGGCACTTCATCATTGAGCCAGAACCCCAGACTTTCTATTTGATTTTTGAGACAGGGTCTCACTAAGTTGCTGAGGATGGATGGCCTCAAAGGTCAAAGCCGACTGACAGTCTTAGACGTAAACATACCAGACCTGGGGTTGTAGCTCAGTGGTGGTGAGCCTGCCTCTCACATGTGAAGCACTGGGTTTGATCCTCAACAGCCCATAAAAATAAATAAAGATATTGTATCCATTTATAACTAAAAAATATTTTTAAAAAACAGAAATAGTAAACATAATTGATGACCCAAGGAAGAAAAGACACAGTAGTTGATACAAAAAATTCTTATTACTGTTTGGATCTGAATGTCTCCCAAAGGCTCACATATTGATATTAACGGCTTGGTTCCCAGCTGGGGGTGCTACTGGGAAGGGGTAGAATCTTTTGGAGTTGGGGCCACGCTAGAAGAGGTGAGTCACTGGACTAGTGTCTTTGAAGGATATATTTTGTCCCTGGTCCCCTCCGTGGGAACTGGCTACTATGAGGTGAGGGCTTTGGCTTTGCTATGCCATGCCCTTCTGCCATGATGCTGTGTCTCACCACAGGTCCAGAAACAACGGAGCCAAGTGACCGTAAACTGAAACCTAAAACCATGAGCCAAAAGTAAACTCTGCCACACCATCAGAGAGCCGACTCTACCAGCGCTCTCCGTGTGCTGATGGATCGATCATTCTTGACCTCTCAGGCACCAGGCAACATTCCTCAGGATTTCAGGCCATTGCTTCCTATAGCTGTGCAATCTGAGTTCCATATTTTAAATCTCAAACAGAAGGCCTTAAGCAAAAAACTTATACTTCAACAGAGAGTTACTAATATTTTTAAATCAAAAAGAAAACTCTAAATTTCAATTTAATTTTTAATGTGCTTATTCCTAAGAACAATGTATTACCTTTTGTGAGAGCTGGAGAGTCTTCTTTTTTCTTCCTATTATATAAAGATTTCTTTCCTCCTCACCTTTCTCTATTCGAAAGTCTTCCAATTTCCTACAAAATTAAAATACCCAGTTATACTAATTATTGAGTTGATATAAAGATCATTTCATTCTAAGAATTCATTCTCATTCTAAGAATCATAATTTTATGTAATCTTTAAGTTTATACAAAAAATTCTAATTTAAAAACATGTTAACAATTTAATATGAATATAAATAAAATGTCAGAAGCAGCTAAAAGATTCTATTTTTCATATTTAACACAATATCTGTTTTCTGGGCCTGGGTTGTGGCTCAGTGGTGGAGCATTCACCTGGCATGTATGATGAGCTAGGTTGGATCCTCAGCACCACACAGAAATGGATAAATAAAAAATAGGGGTATTGTGTCCATCTACAAATATATTATTTATATATTTTTTATTTATTTATATGTATACATGTGTATATATATACATATACATACATTTTATATACATACAACTACACCTAAAAAATAAATATTTGAAAAAAATAGAGAGGCTGAGGTTATGGCTCAGCAGAACACTCGCCTAGCTCATTAGAGGCCCCGAGTTCGATCCTCAGCACCACACACTCAAAAAATAAAGGGACTGTGTCCAACTACAACTAAAATAATAAATATCTGAAACATATATGTATACACATGTTTTCTGATAGGCCCTAATGGGACCTACTCAAACATGATCTCCCATATAAACTCTCAAAGGTCCCCATCCTGATTTTCCAGGATTGCAATTCATTTCTCTAAAGAAAAAAAATGAATCCTCCTCCAAACTTATTCAACTAGGTATCTTATAATTTATGGAAAACAAGATATTAGTGTTACTCATTTTTCTGTTCCACTCATACAATACAAGAGATAATTTTACTATGGCCAATTTCAAAATAAGGACCTGCCACCACAAAAAAGATACAAAATGTTTTTTCTTCTCTGTGGAAAGACTAAAGTCCCTTTTCTGCCATTTGCACAATACTCAAAATACACTGATTTTATGTTTCTGTTTAATATTCCAATAGGGAAGTTTCCAGACTGATTGTGGCCATGCTTTCTATATAACAAAGTGCAAGAACAAACGCTTATTTCTAAGGAAACTTTTTTCCCCAAGGCACATCTGTGGCCCACACTCAGATTTCAATGCAACATTCATATAATTATAAGAGATTTCTGAATCAGACTCAACCCTTCACAACAATTTTCCAATTTGATCACTTTTATACGTGTTTAAAAAAATATATTGGGCTGGGGATGTGGCTCAAGCGGTAGAACGCTTGCCTGGCATGTGTGCGGCCCGGGTTCAATCCTCAGCACCACATACAAAGAAAGATGTTGTGCCCGCAGAAAACTAAAAAATAAATATTAAAAAATTCTCTCTCACTCTCTCACACTCTCTCTTAAAAAAAAATATATATATATATACACACACACACACAATGAGGTTTTTCCCTCCCAGCCAAAATGACACCGCTACTAGTATCTGTATGCTTCCTTTTGACAAGAAACAATACATGTACATATTTTGTTCCTGTATATAATTCATTCTCAGGGAAGCAAAGGAACACTGGAGGCCCTCCTGAGGATCCTTTTCAACTGTGCAAAATTCTACTTTTAATGATGTGGTCAGAAAGTGGTATTACAAAAGATCGCCATATGTGCAATCTGTTCATTGGAATTCATTTAGAATCCATAGTTCATTTAATATAAATAAAATTTCTACTATTGTGAGGTCAAGCAAACCACATGCCTGAACCCTAGGCCCCAAACAGAATTGCCTACTAGAAGCTACATTATGTGCTCATAGTTCTGCATAGTAGGATCCATTAGTATTTTGACAATACACATAATACTTTTATAGTCAGAAACCAATGTTAATTCTCTTAAACCTTCTCAAATGAAACCCTAATAAAAAATTATGCAAAATTACTGAATTCATAGTACCTACAGATTACACTATAGGGATTGATGCCAACAACACTTACCACTACTAACTTATTTAGTATTCCCTTTATAAAATACCATGTGCTTTTTTAAAAATATTTTTTAAATTATCAATGGACCTTTATTTTATTTATTAATTTATTTATTTATATGTGGTGCTGAGAATCAAGCCCAGTGCCTCACACATGCTAGGCAAGTGCTCTATCACTGAGCCACAACCCCAGCTTCCCCGCCCCCGCTCCCCATGTGCTTTTTTAGAATACAATACTAAAAACATGTAAACTCTTCTTTGTAAAAGTTGTACTATGGCAGACAGAAAATCTATTCTCCTTTTCTTCCTTAGAAAAAGAATCCCAATTTTTACCTAGGTTCTTTGCTGCCTTACTTAGAAACTCCATTACTTTATCATGCTGTTAGCTTAGTATGGCCAATTGACAATCTTCTCAATAAGTTATGAGCAGAAATACTTTGTGACTATTTAAATAACTTTGACTAGAAATGTCCTTTTATCTTTCTGGGCCTTTCCTACTTCTGTCCTAAATCTCAGACTATATCACAGATAGTGATATATGATGGCTACAGCTTCAGCAGTTACCTTGGACTGGAAGTGAACTTAAAAAAATGGAAGCAATGTCCCATAAAGAAGATCAGAATCAGGTGCCCAAGTCCTTGACTACCTAGGGAATTCCACATATGGCCTTAAACTATTTCTAGTCTTCCTTTAAGGAAAACAGTAAGTGCTTATGTGTTTAAAGAACTAGTCCTGGAGCTGGGGTTGTAGCTCAGTGGTAGAGCGCTTGCCCAGCATGTGTGAGGCACTGGGTTCGATTCTCAGCACCACATAAAGGTCCATTGACAACTAAAAATATTAAAAAAAAAAAAACTAGTCCTAGGGCTGGGGTTGTGGCTCAGTTGGTAAAGTGCTTGCATAGCATGTATGAGGAACTGGGTTCAATTCTCAGCACCATATTTAAGTAAATAAATAAAGGTCAATCAATAATTTTTAAAAAACAGTTAAACAAAAAAAGAACTAGTCCTTCAGGTCTTTCACTCCAAATACATGTTTGTTTCCCCTGGTTTTGACAAGGAAAATTATGCCAAAATGACATTTTTGGTTCTCATGGCCATGAAACTCAAGACACAAATTTAAGTATAATTATACAATATTATAAAAATAGTAGTAATTTTCAATATTTTTCATCACAGAGATCTTTCATTTCGCTATTGTGTACTTATAAAACCTCCCTGTATTCACTGCACAGTAAGTACTACTATATGTACTCCAATATTACTCTTTCATCACTAAAACTCTTCTGGCTACACACATGAAGGAAACACTTTTACAAAACTATCCATAATAATAGTTTTCATGAGACCCAAATATGACAGAATATGTAAATAAAGAAGAACCATCTATCCTGCCTCTTATATATTAAATTTTACTACTGGATAATCAAGTATCCTTGGGCAAACTTCCTTATAGTAGTATCCCAGCAGCCAGGTATAGTGGTGCACACCTCTAATCCCAGCAACTCAGGAGGCTGAGGCAAAAGGATCACAAGCACAAGGAGGGCTGAGCCATTTAGGGAGATCCTGTCCCAAAATAAAAATTAAACAGGGATAAGTATTTCTCAATGATAGAGTACCCATGGGTTCAATTCCCAGTACTACAAAACAAAAGAAATATCTGAGAAATAAATGGAACACCTGATTAACATCAGGCTAGGGCTTAGCTAAATGGCAAAGTGCTTGCCTAGCACATGCCTCACATGTGGGTTTGATTCTTAGCACCTCATAAACATAAACAAATAAAGGCATTCTATTCTATCCATCTATAACTATAAAAATTGTTTTTTTTTAAAGAGTTGAAATATCATCTAATGAATTAATAAACTAGGCATTAAGCATCAATGGGTGCTAACATGACAAAAATACTAGCTATTACGTGTGCATTACGAAAGAATGACATGAAATACTTACAAAAAAACAAGACATAATTTATGACATTTGAGACAATTGAAAATTTAAAACACTGCCTGGATGTCTGATTGCAATAAAAAACTTTTTTTAAGTGATGGTACTGGCATTTTGTTGAGAGCGGCAAACCAATTACAGGTTTGAACCCTCTCAAGGCAGAGGCGATGCCCTTCTGAGAACTCTTGGTGGTTATCTCCCTAATTAGAGACTGTTCAGTGGCTGGTGACTCACTGCTTAGAGTTTTATATCTCACAGATTTTATTGGTTCAAATAGCCTTAGGTTCAAACGTCAGCTGCCAGAAGGAGGAAGAAATATCAGTGCAAGGTGACAAGCCCCAATTGGGTTATTTTCCTCACACCCTCACTTTTGTTTATCTTGAAGAAGCTTTATCACAATGAATTCTTTGGATTTTTAACCCATTAATAAGCATGCAGAGCATCCGCATGATCAGCCAGCATTCTCCCTTCAGGAGCTCTGGTGATCCACCATGGCCAGCTTTTCTATATTTGTGTTTGTCTTTATTTCCAATCATCTCACCTCCCCTAGTTCAGGAAACACGACAGCCTTGTGGTTCACCTTTCAGAAACAAATACTAAAAAACATGTCTGGAGTTTTAAAAAAAAATGATACTGACAGGATAAAAATGGGTGTTCATACAGATAAAATAATACAGGCTATGAAAAACTTTCCAATAAAGTAATTTTGACATTTTTCTCACAATTAAAACAGATTTCCAACCATTACTAAAATATATTTACATGATTATTTACACGATTAATGTAATTAAGGATGTGTAAATAACCACATGAATATATTTTCACAGAGAAACAATATAAATAGATATCCTAAAACAAACCTAAATATGCCTAGTGGTACCTCTGGTACAACCACTCTTCGTTTCCAAGCCTGTAGGTCACGCTCTGTAGCAATCTGACTCCGTGGAGCATTTTGATGCATCTGACGAACACCTTCAACTTGTCCACTACGACGCAGACCAATATTTGGAGGTGACTGCATATCTAAACTTAATCTTCTAAAACCTAGCGAAATATCATTAAAAAATTATTCCAAAATAGTTTCAAATTAAAATACACTTGACATGTAACAAGCACACATTTCTCCTGAGATACCAAAAAAAAAAAGAGATCAAAGTGAAATGAGAAAACTTGTATGATTAAGATCAAACTGTAGAATGCTGAGCAAACATTAACTGCTAAGCCTCAATTTAAAATTTTATTAGATTGAAATTTTTAAATATGCAAATATTTTTCATGTTTGCCTCCCTAAAAATTCTGCTTTCTGCAAATCTGCACAATAATCTACTGAAAACAGCCTCCTCAAATCAAGATGGCTTTATAATAAACCCAGTCACACCATCAATCAAGACCCTCAGGAGACAATGGAAACCACCAGGAAGGAGCCTCCACAGCATATATCAGCATGTGTTTGGAAATGCTGGCAGCACCAGTAGTGGAGAGTATTAATGCCACAACACAGAGGACAGTACAGTCTGAGCCCACCAGCTGCAATTAAGCAGAACCAGAGAATAGGACCACATCCCAGGAGCCAGAACCCACAGAGGCTGGCCTTAAGGAGGAAGTCTGAGGCATTTTGATCGAGGGAGAGGGGACTGAGGATCAAATCCAGGGGCGCTTTATCCCTGAGCTACATCCCCAGTCCTTTTTATTTTGAGGGGGTTTTACTAAGTTGCTATGGTTAGCCTTGAACTTGGGATTGTTCTACCTCTACACCCAGCCAAGTGATCGTTTTCTTAAAATAAGGTGCGAGGGTTCCTGTGCCTGTACTCCCTGCCTTGGCAAAACCACAAGTGAACACCACTTCTGCATTCTTCTACATACCACATTCTATTTATCAATCATGTGAACAGTATGTGCTATAAAACACACTACACTTCACCTACCAATAAAACATTTATATGAAATATATTGGGATAGAGTCCCCCCGCCCCCTCCATCTTTCCTTTTTCCCAGCAGCCACTGCACGGAAGGTTGAGATGTGCAGTTTTAACAAATACAAAATAAACCCCAGACATGGGAGACACTATGCTAGGACTGACACAAAGGTTTTCCAATTTCTTAATACAAAATCCAAGTTGGCACTCCTTCCTAGAAGAATCCTTGGCAGATAAACTGGACTGTCCTCTACAGAAGAAAATATCAACAGGGCCGAAAGGAAGAAATTCAAAATAAGAAAACCTAATATGCAGTAAAATTTCAAAAGGCCATTACTGGTGCATCTCTTGCAGATATAATGGCCAAGAGAAAACAGAAATCAGAAGTTGGAAAGGCTGCTGCTAAGACTCCCACAAAGGCAACACCTGAGCACAAGATTGTGAACCTTGTGAAGGTTTCTGCTCCCAAAATTGATAGAAAACACTAAATTGGTAGATAAGATTTTAAAATAAAGCTGTATCTATAACTCTAAAAAAGGAAGGAAGGAAAGAAATAAAGAGGAAGATGAAAAGGAAAAGATAAAAACTGGGCTAAGGAGGTGGAGCTCAGTAGCAGAGCACTTGCCTCACACGTGCAAGGCCTTCTATCCCCAACTGTAAAAAAATAAAAAGTTAAATAAAGCCAACATTTTGACCCTTGCCCTCTATGGTCAGCCAGGACGAGAGAATAAGGGGACCCCTCTCTGTCCTGCAACTCTGGTGAGTCACCAGATTTGTTGATCAGGGAGATCTGGAGAACAGGAAGCCAACCAGTGCACATTCTGCAAAGAGGAGGGTCATTGGAGACAGAAATGTCCCTGATGCTTGCAAAAGAAGCCACATATGGTCAGCCAGACCCTGATCCATCCTGGCAAGTGGTAGAAAAAAAGCTAAAGGCGCCAAGAGGCTTTGCACATGTAAATTGACAGCGGGGAAATGTAACAGTAGTCCACTTTATCCCTTGTTGCTCTGCCATTGCTTTTTGTTGTTGTTGTTATCAAGGACTGAACTTAGGGGCACTCAACCACTGAGCCACATTCCAGTCCTATTTCATATTTTATAGAGAGACAGAGTCTCACTGAGTCGCTTGGCATCTCAACATTGCTGAGGATGGCTCTGAATTCACAATCCTCCTGCCTTAGCCTCCCAAGGCCTTGGGATTACAGGCCTATGCCAACACACCAAGCTTGCAACTTATTTTTAAAACTGGCATGTTTCTTCCCCTTCCTCTCTCCCTGCTCTTCCCTAATTTCTTCCTCATCCTTGACAGAGTTATATGTACACAATCCCCCATAAGAACGAAGGAATGCAGACTTTAGGGATGGTACCAGAATATCTCAAACTATCTCCCAAATTAAGAAGTGAATTACAACTCCAACAGAAAACACATGGAATACAGTCTTTGAGTCACCTCTTTAAAAGCCCCCCATTCCCACTGATGGACAGAATAACAGCCTTCAGGACAGGAAACCCCTGTATTTCTCCTCTGCTAGCAAAGCAATAAACCTTTTTCTTTTTTTTTCAAAAAAAAAAAAACAGTTAAATAAAATATATTGAAGAAACATTTCTCGAACTGAGAAATATAAATTCTATATTAACTGCTTAAGTAATAGTGTTATTCTCCAACAATTTGCAAATATGCGCAAGATTATTTATCATAAAATTACTTGTAATAGCAAAGCATAAGAAATAACCTATATACACATAAACACATTACGATGATTTGCTATTCCATGTAGCAGAGTACTACGAAGCAATAAAACAGGATAAGGATAAACTCTGTCAATTGATGAAGTGATAAATGGTGATTCCTACAACATACTGTTAAGGGGGAAAGGTGAAGAAGAATGCATGTATATCTGTGCCTCTTTCTATGATGCACTAAGGAACCATGTTTAACCAGAACACAAGTACCAGGATATGAGCAGACAATCCAAACTGCAAGAAACCCTGAAACAACAGGACTGAACCCTTCCATGCTAAGAGAAATCTTTTTCTAGATTAAAGAAAGATATAATAGACTGGGAGTGTAGCTCAGTGGTACAGTGCTGGCCTAGCATGAGTGAAGCCCTCAGCGAGAGCCCCAGCACTTCCACCAAAAAAAAAAAAAAAAAAGAGATAATAATTAAATGCAACAAGCAAGGCTGAACTAATCCTAAATTTCTAAAACAGAAAAACTATGAGACACCTTGTAGAAGATAGCAATATTGTAAAAACAAAGTCTGTACAGTGTGACTATTACATTATGTTTATGTAAGAGGATCTTCTAGGTTCTTTGAAGACAACAGGATAAAGCACCATGATATGAAGAGTCACAGAGTCTTCAACTCACTCACAAATGCTGATTCACTAAGAAAAATTAGTCTCTACCCAGTTTGGTTTTTCAAAAATCACAAATGTTAAAGCAAGGCAAAACTAAAACTATAATTTTCCTTCAAAAAACTACTTTATTATTAGATGTCATTTAATACAATTTGCAAATGCTGTTTTTAGACAAAAACTTCATTAACCATTTAACATACTTGAAAATCATGGGGCTGGGGTTATGGCTCAGCAGTAGAGCGCGAGACTCCCACATGTGGGGCCTGGGTTCAATCCTCAGCACCACATAAAAATACATAAATAAATAAAGCCATTTTTTTTAAAAAGAAAAACAAATGCCCATTTGTAACTACAGCAAATTAAAAAAATACCTTCAGAATACTACTTAAGTTGCAAAAATATACTGCTTATTCCAAGTTTTACTCTTTAATTTCAATACCGCTACATTTAGGTACAACACTTTCCATATTTGTTACCTCTTCGAGGTGTTTCTTCCCCATTTGAAAATCCACTTGGAACAATATCCTGATCTGCTCCCGTTCTCTGATCTTGCTGCTGCTGCAACTGTCTTATCATTCCATCAAGGATGCTGGGCTCTGGGCTTTGTTCATCATTATCATTGGTTTGTAGGCTTATAATTTGTTCAATTACCTCTCCATCACCTACGAATTCAATTATGAATCATAACATATATGAGTAGGAAAAAAGTTCTTCAGTAGCTTACAATTATAAATACATTAACAGGGTTGGGGATATGGCTCAGTGGTCGAGTGCTTGCCTAGAATTCCTTAGGCTCTCCAGTCCCCAACTCTGCAAAAGAAAAAATAAGACCAGAATTGCTGTTTCAAATAAACAAATAACTAAGTGACCAATTAGAAAAGATACCTTAAATATACACAATTATTTCAGAAAAAAATTCAAAATAAACCCCTCTTTTAGAATATTAAGTACCTCAACACAGCCTCTGGGACCCTCTGGGACAGAAGAAGCATGGAAACCAAGGCTTACTAAAGCCTTCCTGACCACATCAGGTATGTATAGTATTTTAATGCGGATGAAAGCAGAGACTCCAATGTCTTCTGTACTGTCTTATGGAACAAGGCAGAGAGGTTAGGACTTCTAGGTCTTCAACAAGAGAAAACTATAGGTCTCTGAGCACACCCAGGAGTCCTCAGAACAGGTACAGTTGATGGAAGTTGTTTCACGTGCCTGACCTACTCAGCACAAACAACTATACCTCTTAGTATGTTTTTAGCAGAACCAGTACCCATCATTCTTCAAACACAAAATCAGATTTTTTTTAGTGCCTTTGTAGAGATATTTAATCAGTTCAGAATTAGAATTAATGGAAATAATTATTAGATGGCTGTGGATTTACAAAATGGTTTAAAAAAGTGCCTAGATGTTAATATTTTCATGCAAAAATCCCTTATACATCTTCCTATTACAGATGCATCTTCTATTGAAACATGAACTCAGTATATACAAAACTTCTCCCTTTTTCCCACCCATTAAATATAATATTAAAAGAAATGAAGAGATAAAATTTGCCACCATAGTAACAGATCCAGAAACTGAAAAATCCCATGTATCATTAAAGGGGGGAAAACACATACTCCCCAAGCATTCATTTATATATTTATATTTACATATATACAAATATATACATGCACGCACACATACATACATACATTCATATCTTACATATCATTTACTATGGAAACCCATGAAGAATTTACAGCAGCTAAATGTCAGCTCATATTGATTTTGCCTTTTAAATAAAAAAAAAAAACTAAATTTTTTGATCACTCTCAAAACAAATTATAGTTAAAACTATTACAACATGGGATCAAAGGAAAATAGTAACAAAAAAAGAGTTTTAATCCTCCCCCTACCCCCCAAAAGAACCATAGGTCTATAAAACTTTTCTTTGGTAGAACAGATCACTTAAGTGTGTTGACCTTCTCAAGTATCAAAATAACTTTCTACTTGATGTGGTACAATCAGTACTGAAGTATCAAGGGAGGGTTCCGAGCATGAAGGATGATGTGCTTCAGGAAATGACCCTCCATGATCAAAACAACTGTAACATTAGGAAAAAAAATTTATAAAACATGGGCTTTCAGATCCTGGGCAACAGGCAACTGGGAAACAAGGTGTGATTGCAAACACATATAATCCCAGTGACTCGGAATGCTTACATAAGAGGGTCACAAGTTCAAAGCTAGCTTGGGAAATTCACCAAAAACCTGTTTCAAAATAAAAAGGACTGGGCATGGAGTTCAGTGGTAGAGTGCCCCTGGGTATTCAATTCCTAGTACAAAAAAAAAAAAAAAAAAAAAACTGCTGGGGATGTATTTCAGTGGTAGAGCTCTCCTATTTTCAATCCTGAGCACCATAAAATATAATAATAAAAATTTTTAAAAAGAGGACAAACAATCCAAAGTGTGTCTGTACCTCATAAACAAACTCTGGAACTATAAATGTCAAAACTATCAGAAGAAGTTATTTCTTCAGTCAAAACTAACTGAAGAAATAAGGAAAATCCACATTATTGAAAATCCACATTATAACACTCTACCACTGAACTACATGCCCAGTCCTTTTTATTTTTTTATTTTGAAACAGGTTCTTGCCATTCAATCCTCATTAATACCCTAAACTGGAAATCAAGCTAAATGCCCTTGACTATCAGTGAAGGGATAAACAAGTGATGGTATAGGCATGCTTTCCTGAAGTACTGTCTCTTAATAAACAGGAACAAATTACAGATATATGCAATAGCATGAATGAACTAGCACCATGACAAATCAAAGAAGCCAGGCACAAAATTCTACATATTGTATGATTCTTTTTACAATATTCCCTCGTATAATATTACAACAGACCCCTCCCAACCTTACCTACAGGAGAAAAATTCCAAGATCCCCACAGTGGATGTCTGAAAGCATAGATAGTACTGAACTTCACATAAACTATGTGTATTTCCTACTATACATACACAAGTTTAATCTAAAGCATTATTAATCTTAATCTAAAGCATTATTGCACACTGTGGTTATTAACATACAGTTTGATATGCAAAACTAGCAAAAATTCATTTTCCCTTCAAAACAAATTTTACAGATAGAATATCAATTATTAACCATAGATCTTAGCATCACAACATTCAAAATTTTTCCTTATTATATTCAGAATTTCCTCCTTTTCACTCCAAAAAGCACATTACCGATTCTTTTTGAAATACCTAATCTGCCAGCATAACACTCTGTTGGACCCATTTTAAGTAAAGCAGAGTTTAACGGAACACATCCACTGTAATATTGGAACAAGCTGGTCTAACAATCAAGAGGGCTACTAACTAATTAACAGGTGGGCAGTTTATACTACATAGATAAAGCAATCAAAGGAATAATTTATATCCTGAAGAGAAAGGCAAAAGATTCATCACACTACATGGCATGCAATTTAAAATTCATGTATTATTTTATTTCTGAAATTTGCCATTAAATATTTTTGAATTGCAGGTATGGCACATAGTTAAAACCATGGAATGTGAAATCACAGATACGATTACTATGTAAAAAATTCCCTTAAAAGACAAAGTTAAAAGTTAAGTCAGGTGCAGAGACGCATGCCTGTAATTCCAGAGGCTCAGGACGCTGAGGCTGGGGGATTCCAAGTTCAAAGCCAGCCTTAGCAATTCAGCAACTCACAAGACCTCATCTCTTAAAAAAAGTATTTAAAAAGGGCTGGGGATATGACCCCCTTGGTTCAATCCCCGGTACCCAAAAAAAAGAAAGAAAGACAAAGACAAAGTGGTAACGAGGGACTAGAGAAAGGGAAAAAAAACTCTCTCTAAATGGGCCCAAGGAACTTAGAGTGACAGTAAAAATCTTACATAATTAACATTTGTCAAAATTCACTTAAATCATATATACTTAGATTGATGTTTGTTGTATATAATGTATATTCAGTAAAACTAATAAAAAAGTTATTTTTTAAAGAGTAAACAGTGATGTACATCAAGCTTGAACCTTAAATATAGGTAGTAATTTAGTTTAAATAAATCAATATTCAACCAAACGAAGAAGCACTTTTTCACCTAACATCTGTAAAGAGAAACACTACACTATAAACAATTAATTACAATTACAAAGATTTTGCACTTGGCTAAGAGAGGGTAAGTATAAGATGAGCCTGGAACATCTTGTGCCAGGAGAGCAAAGAATTGCTTTAAAAATGATGGGGAGGGGCTGGGGATGTGGCTCAAGCAGTAACGTGCTCGCCTGGCATGCGTGCGGCCCGGGTTCGATCCTCAGCACCACATACAAACAAAGATGTTGTGTCCGCCGAAAACTAAAAAATAGATATTAAAATTCTCTCTCTCTCCCCCCTCTCTATCTTAAAAAAAAAAAAAAAAATGATGGGGACTTGGGAAAGGACAGTGTGAAAAGTCTTCTCAGAGTCAAACCTAAGGATAATGAGTAACAAAATAATAACAGTAATGGACTATAACCAAAATATAACAACCCATACAACCATACTAAAACTTAGTACACCGTGTAATAGAGTGCTACACAGTCATAATGAAATGTGAATATAATGGAAGTGAACATAGAAAATAACCATTCTGCAACCTTCATAACGACAAGTGGTAACAGGCAAAATCATCAATGGATCCTAAAACTTGGATGAAGTATGCAAAGAACAGAGAATTTGTATATCATCTCCGTATTAATTACAAGAGAAAAAAGTGGTAACTTTAGGAAAAACTTAGCAAGCAACACCATAACAAGATGTTAAAGGCAATTTTACCAATCACTGGACAAACCACAATCATAAACATCCTGACATGTGATGCTCCAGGAAGAGGTCACCTATGTTGTACTCTGTCAAAAGTGTATGACCTCCCCCAAACAGGCAAGCCCAAACTGAGGCATTCAACAAAATTCCTGGCCTATACACTTCAAATATATCAGTATCAAAGTCAACAGCCAGGGTTCTAGCTCAGTGGTAGAGCACTTGCCTGGCACCTAGGAGACACTTAGTTTAATCCTCAGCACCACATAAAAATAAAGGAATTGTGTCCATCAAAAAGAAAAAAAAAAGAGCCAAGACCCCTCTCCAGATTAAAATATATTTAGAAAATATGACAATTTTATGTACAGTCCCAAATTGGAACCAGGAAAAGTAAAAAAGTTCCTACAGGCATTATTACAGTAACTGGCAAAATTTAATTACAAACTATTAATTTGATAATAACATTGAGTGTTAAATGTCCTAATTTTGATAGATGTCTATGGTTACATAGGAGGTTATCACCCTAAAATACAAATTAAAATATTTAAGGGTAAATAGGCATAAAATATCCAGAACTTAAGATTCAAATAGTTCAAAGTAATATATATTCAAAGAAAAAATACACCAAATTTTACAAAATATATTAATGACTACTGAACTTAAAGGTATGGGAGTTCATTATTCTTAAAATTTTTCAAATAAAAAACTCAGTAAGGAAACCTTTCAAAAGGAAAGAAAAACACTTTTCTACTTACTTGTGGCCACATAGCCTAGTTGTGGAACCAAATGTTCATCTGCAGAATTTTCTCGACCTGGTACTAATCTCTGATACTTAGTTGGATGAGGATTTCCATCTACATCTACCAAGAATGGTGGAGGCATAAGATGAGGAGCCTGCTGAGTTTGCTCATCTAAGACATAATTATTAGAATCTCTAATCAGTGGTCGGTAGTCAGTATGGAAGAACATCTGATCAGGAATCTAGAAAAGTAAAGTTCACAGGATGACATTTTGAAGTGCATGTATGCTAAAGAAAACAAATATTCTACAGTTAATTAAAAGCATAAGGATCAAATAAGTATAGCTAAACTATTTCTAATCTCTTATAATTTTCTATATGCCATAAGAAAGCATTAAAAATGACCTTTTCATATGGTTTGCTGCATCCAAAGCCAAAAATGAGTAGGTGCCCATGAGAATCTGTACAGGCAAAATGCTGTCCATCCTGTGAAAACTTACAGTCAAACACAGCTCCATGTCCTTGTCCTTCAATCTAGAAAACCCAGAAGGGGAAAAAGTTTTACGACCAATTCTACACCAGCACTTTTAGTATGTAAACTTATTTAATGTGAATAACCTGCTGCAATACAACCCTTCTGGAATTCCACTCTCACCCACCAAGCCCAAGAGCTGGGGATTGGGCTCAAGCCTTGCACATGCTGGACAAGCACCCTACCATTGAGTATAATCCCTAGCATCTTCAAAAAAATAATTTATACAATTTTGCATTAAACACATACATCAATTAATATATTGTCAGATTCGTTTTAGATAATACTAACCTACGAGGGGAAAAAATCCAAAGATCTTCTAAGTATTAGTTCTCCAAATGATCAAATGAGCACTTATAAACTAATCCAAACTTCTACCAGTGAATGGCAATTTAAATAAACTTTTATTAAAATATACAATAAAAGCAAACAACCTGCTAGGAAAATGATTATAGACTAACAAAGTTTTATGTGTTGTGAACTAAAAATCAACACTTTTCTGGAATTTAAGGAGGACTTTACCTCAACTCACTACTAAAATGATTGACAACCATGCAAAACTGGGCAATGTTATAAAGTCTCAAGAACACATGTTAAAATGCCTGTAACTCCTTAAACCACAGACTTCAGGAAGAATACTTGAAGTGTATCATAGTTTACTACTTTTTTTTTTTTTTTTTTTAAAAAGCAGTACTGGGGATTGAAGACATGGGTGCTTTACCACCAAGCCATATCCCCAGTCCTCTTTTTGACAGGTGATCTCACTAAATCGAAGAGGCTGGCCTTGAATTTGTGTTCCTCCTGCCACAGCCCCTATAGAGTTGCTGGAATTACAAGCATTCCCCAACATGCACAGCTAAATACATTACTTTTAAACTGTCTTTAATTCTTCCATTCCAGCTGTAAATTATATCAGTTTAACATCAATTAGGACCTTTTTACACAGTAACTCAAAATTTATCCTAATAATCATGTGCAAAGATATTCAAATTGTTTTTGACACACACATTTTAGAAATCACTTAAACCCCCAACAAAAGAAAATAACTGTGTAAGCTATTTTCTTCTGAGACAGACTGAAAAATATATAAGGCTTTCAAATAAGGTATTCACATAAAATTAATTTTAAAAGTTCTTTTAAGTTTAAGAACTATGTCCAAGGATGTCAACTAACAGAAGAAATGATACCATTTGAAAATACTCAATGAATGTGAATGTTTGTATATGAAATCTAATGAGAAAAAGGCATTTGGAGTCTCAAAAAAGCTCCTTTAAGCTGAGTAGAGTGATGAACACCTGTAAACCCTGGAGGCTGAGACGGGAAGATCACAAGTTCAAGGCCAGCCTGGGCAACTTATCAAAACCCTGAATCAGTGAAAAATTAAAAGGGGTGGAAATAAAGCTTGACATATTAGAGCACTTGCCTAGCATATGTGAGCACCTGAGTTCAATCTGCAGTACTACAAGGAAAAAAAGGGGTGGGGTGGGGGGCTACATTAGTTTTATACTTACAAAAGGAAAAAAAATATTTTATAGTGGAAAAATCTCACAGAAGCCACGTTAACTTCATATTTAAAATTGTCACCACCAATAGCAGCATAAATAAATATCACATGACTCCAAGGGATGGATGGAGGGTACAAAATTATTTAATTTCATCGAAAAAATGTGTAACATGAAGACTATCAGTCGAAACTGAAAGATGTTCTATAAAATAACTGTATACTCAAACACTTAAGACGAGGATAAAATAAAAACACTAGAGGGCTATTAATGATTAAATAAAACTAGAGAGATAAAACCACTTATTGAAATATATGATCTTGAGTTGGATCCTGTCTAAGAAACAAAATATAGCTTGTTTAATGGCATTCCTGGACCAACTGACAAAATTGTAGATCTGGATTAAGTAATGCTATTTTACCAATGTTAAATTTACTAATTAATAACTGTAGAATGGGTATATATGAGAAATTCTAAAAGTAAATTAAAGAATTCTCATTTGGTTCTAGAATATAACATATATATGCAAACAGAAAAAAGATGAGGAAAAATCTAATGATGCTTGAACAATTGAAACATCTAGGAATGTATTTTAAATATTAGTGTATAATGATCATAAATTTGCCAATTAAAACATACTGACACACTTCATACACAAAAAGCTAAACAAATAACTTTTGAAACTTTTCCCTTGTACAAATCAGTTATACAGAGAATTTCATGTGTATATTCATATATAGCTGTCAGATATTTATAGGTTTTACATACCCTATTTTCTAGAAAAAAGAATCGCCAAAATGCTGAAATCTATTTCTGGTTAACTCTCATAATCTAAATACTCTAAACAAATGCAAGTATGCATAAAGGTGTACCTCATTTCGCTTACCATATTAAAGTAATGCTTCATCTTGGTACCTTTTGTAATATCCCATATAAATATGCTGCCATCATGTCCTGCAGATAACATAATTCTGGAATCAAAGGGGTGTGTCTCCAAGACAAATACTTCATCAGCATGTCCCTTTATTCAACAAAATCATAACATTAATGAGGGTTTATAAGTCACGAGTTGCAAATTTTTTTTAAAATACATCCTGTCATATTAATAAGGGATTTTAAAACTGTACTAAAGACAATAATTTATATTGTTATGCATAAAAAATTCCCAATCACTTGACAAATAGAACTTATTCAGTATACTACTAGAGTTTCAAACATAAGACTTGAAGAATTTTGATTTGTCATATTTATAAGAACTACCTACCAGCAAATTATGAAGCAGTTGTCCAGTATAAGAATTCCAGACTTTGAGGACATGATCATTCACAGCTGTAACAACAATGCTATCATTCTGATTCCAAGCTATCATTGTTACCTTGGGTTTCATAAACCTTTCTTCTTCTGAAGATAAGTCTCTAAAAATATATATACACATACACAATGTATAAGCTTATTTGGGTGGCAGATTATACAATTTACACAATCTTCATCAATATAATAACTAAAAAAAATGCACTGATACAAGTCTGTCATTCCCGCTACTCGAGAGGCCGAGGCAGAAAGATCCTAAATTCAAGGCCAGCATTGGCAAAATTAGCAAAACTGTCCCTCAAAAAATAAAAAGGGCTGGGGATGTAGATGTGATAAAACATCTGTGGGTTCAATCCTCCACACTGCATCAAAAAAAAAAAAAAGCAGCAATTAAATGTGCTTATTTTATCAGTCCTATAGAAAGTTAATCATATCTAACTACAATCATTGTCTAGAAACAGATTAGGGCAAAACCTGAGGGGTAAGGAGTAACTTAAAAGCAGTTCAAAATGAAAAAAAGCACATAGTTGGACACCACTGCTGTACCTGGAGCAAAGTACCTTTTCCCTGCCGGTTTTCAATTATTTCCTTCTCTTAACACCCAAGCCTATTGTTCTTTCTTGCTTTCAACTGCTTCTCCAGAGAAACAAGTTTAGGGAAGAAAATTTACCTTCACATCCCCAAATTCCAGCAAACTAGCAGAGGCAGAGACACAAATGCTCCAACAGGAATCAGACTACACTCTTCCCTTTACATTTCCCTGTTTTTATGTCTCTTGGTAAAAATGTTCTTGAATATATATCTGCATGTTTTTCAGCCTTTATTAAAGTGGTATATGGAGTTTCTCTGTAAACTATAGTTGGAAACAACGGGAGGGAGGGGAAAGGCCTAACTGGTTCTTAACATTAACATTCTAAAAATCATAAGCATGTAACATTTCAATTAAGAGAGCATCTACAAGAGCAAGGAGTAAGTGCTACATAACAGCTACCTATGTAAGCATGATGGAACACACAAGAGTAAGTCTAAGCAGACTGGTCAGGGGAAAAATAATACTGGAGGTAAAACAAAGATGCTAAGACTCTTTGAACTCAAAACTTTCCTAATTAACTACCATGGATTTACTAACAAACAAGTTCCATTTCACCAGATAGATTGATTAGCCAAGATCAGAACACTAAAATAATTACTCAATTCTTACAGAAGATTCTACTTTTCAAGAAAAACCAGAATTTATATATTACCATCACAAAGGGACTTAACAAGTTCATTCCATAAATGGAGTTTGACAGCCAGGAAACTAAGCAGTTTTCATTCTCATTAAAATAGAAAGTTTTATTCAAGTTTTAACATTTATGCTCGTATTGTGTCTAATAAATAACTATTCAGGGATCATTATGATTTCAAATTATCTTCACTCCCATTCTCCTTCATTTTATATTAACCAAGGACTGACAGTATTTCAACTGTTTGCAAATGGATGAAACATTTTAACATTATAACAAAAATAATTTTAAAAAATTAAAWTTTTTTTTTAAATTTCTGAGCAAAAGTTGTCTAGTTCCACTATTTATTCTTTCCACCATCCACCACAGATAATTCCACAACAATATTAATATCAAATTTATTTTGAACGCACAACACAAATCTTTGGACTACCAGAAGACATTGCAAGTCATTTTTTATTATTAAAAATAAAACAACACATGATAACTTCCCCCAACCCCCAGTACCCAGGACTAGACTCGGGCATTCTACCACTAAGTTACACCCCCAGGACTTTTTATTTTTTATTTTGACATGGCATCTCACTAAGTTACCAAGGCTGGCCTCAAAGTTGTGTGTGATCTTTCCACTTTAGCTTTCTGAGTCTCTGAGATTGCTGTGATGCACCATGGCATCTAGCTAAACATGATGATTTTCTAAAAGAAAAACTGTAGGACAACATTTCCCAGATAGTAATTAAAAAAAAAAAACGTAAAGATAAACTTTAGAAACAACTTGAAAAATAATTATAATAACTAATAATTATATTATATATTATAATTATATTATAATAAATAATATAATAGTTATAATAATAACTTCTATTACAGCATACCTACAATACAAAGGTATTTACAAAAGACAAAAGAACATCCAATATACACTGCAGGCCGGGCAGTGTAATACAAACTTTTGGGTTAGCACTTCAATTTCCCAATAATGCTTCAAAAAATGAGGCCTCCTTTCCCAGATACCAAAAGAGATTTCAAAACGTTAAATGACTTTCTCAAAACAGTTATGAGCCAAGGTCTGACTACAAAATATATGTTACTTCCACCATCCAAACTGCCTCCTTCAAATATATGCAAACCAAAAAAGCTTTCAATTATGCAATATTCATCTCGGAAAGTCCTATTTGTCTCAAAGATGTTCAAACTATGTCTAAAATTTTGGTGGGGGCAAGGACTAATAAACAAGCCTTCAAAAACAGCCAACATTTTAGCATGCCCCATTGGAACTCAGTTTCTGTGTGTGTGAGAGTGTGTGTGTGTGTTGTGCTAGGGATTGAACACAGGGCCTTGTGCATGCAAAACAAGCTCTCTACCAACTGAGCTATATCCCCAGTCCTTCATTTTATTTCAACAATAAAGTACCTTTGTCTTTGTTAGTCTCAAGCATAGCTCCGAGTTTTTTAAAATTTCTAGAGAAAAGTAAATTTTCCACACTTGACATACTCTGAATTAATTGTATAATTTTGTGTGGTGCTGGGGATCGAACCCAGGGCCTTGTGCATGCAAGGCAAGCACTCTACCAACTGAGATATATCACCAGTCCTCAATTATATAATTTTTTGTTGTTTAAATAGGAGATTTTAATCTAAATGTAAAACCTAAGGAGGTCAATGCAATAATAAAGTCATATGTACTTTCCTATATTAACCTAGATATATGGGATTTAAGTGTTTATTAGACATGTTATTCACTTAGACTATAGCTCTTTATAGGTGGTTAAAATCTCAACAAAATAACAAATATGGCAGGGGGAGGGGCACCACAGAAGATGAACAGAGAAGGGGAGGGAGGCACCTATGACAGACTTTATGAACATCTCAACTTACCCAGAGATTCTGGTAGCCATATCCAATAAAATACTTCTCCATTCTAACTGCTCAAATCTCCAAATTCGTGCTGTTCCATCTCTGCTACCACTTAGGAACCTTAAAATATTCAGAAAAAGATCTTCTACAGACATACTTGCTACTATTAAATCACCAAGCAAAGAAAACTGTAATGCAGCTGCCCTGACAAATATAAAGGGGAAAATATGCCCTGATAAAAGGTTAATCTACAAGTGTTAATTCAAAAACCGAGTTATTTAGGGCATACGAGTGAGAAAACAAATCGGTTTGCTACGAGTTGCTGGGCTCTATGAAACAAAAATTATAAATTCAACCAACAGCTTTTCAAACAGATTGAGTTTCCATAATGTAAAAGTAGTATCTGGATAGAGGGGAAAATTAAGAGCATGGAAAAATTTAATAAGAGCAAAAACTAATTTTAAGCATTGTAATACTAAGCTCTAAATAATTCATGCTTGACACTGTAAAAAAATAACATATTAACAAATGAAGGTGCAAAGACTGCAATTTAGGAAAGGAACCTGGCACATAGCAGGTGACAGGTAAGGATATAATTTAGGTAGTAATTTAAATGCAAAAAATAAAAATACTTTCAGTGCATTTGCAGTGACTAATGAGAAAACAAACTTCATACTACTCAAAGAAGGAATGTCATCACTGAATTTTTTTTCCCACGGCAGCATATCGGACATATAGCTAAAGAACTACTCTTGGTCACAGAAGGCATGAACACTACAATTCTAAAATTTTAATGTCATGTGTTTTCTCCAATCACAAACACTTTTTACCCAGTTAATGTATTTGCTGTAGATGAGTATCTGTAATATACAGTGACATTACTACAGTTAATAATGTATTATTTAAAAATTGCTAAGAATAGATTTTAAATCTAATCTCCAGGAAAAAAGTAAGTATATGAGGTGGTGAGTACTTATTAGCTTGAGTTAATCACTCAATAATGCCAGCATGAAAGCATCATATATATATATACAATTATAGTATCAATTAAATATATACAATTATAGTATCAATTAAAAATAAATTTAAAATTATAATATAAAGAGGGAAATATGAAGTTAAATATATCTATACAATTATGTAACACATTGTATTTGCTAAAACACACACAAACATAAACATACTTACCGATCACCATTGTTGCAAAATTGAATACTATCTACTTTATCCTAAAGGGGGAAAAAAAACAAATACACAAATTATTATTCACATAGTTTGCTAATTAAACAGTTTCAATGCCACAAGCACATATGGTTTTACAAGCAAGACACCCAAACTTGTGCTGCTTAATCCAGTCATTCAAAATTATTGCACTTTGACATGCAAAGACGAAGGAGGAACCTAACAAGACAAAGTTCTCATCTCTAAGACAGGCATATCCAACAGAAAAACAGCCCTGCACATTAAAATAGTGCTGTCTTTTAAAATGACTTATAAGGTCAGGCACAGTGGTGCGTGTGTGTAACCCAGTAACTTAGAAGGCTGAGGCAAGAGGACTGAAAGTTCAAAGCCAGCCTCAGTAAGCAAAGCCTTAAGCAACTTAGTAAGACCCTGTCTCAAAATAAAAATTTTTTAAAAAGGGTTGAAGATGTGGCTCAGTGGTTAAGCAACCCTGGGTTCAAAAATAAAATGTGGAGCTGGGAATGTAGCTCAGTAGTAGAGTGCTTGCCTAGCATGCAAGGGGCCCTGGGTTCAACTCAGTGGTTGAGTGTCTCCAAGTTCAAAAAGAAAAAAAAAAGCCTTATGTGAAAATGAAAAGGCATGTGTGGAAATTCAACAATATAATAAGACCTTGAAACAGATGAAAACAGGGTATTTTCACTTTATGTAGAGAAAAAAATTTTTCTCTTAAAGCAATAAAAATCTATATCAAAATATCTCTGGATGAGGATTGCCCTCCCTAAAACTTCCTTTAGTACAAAAGATGACCTCACCTCGTCTCAGAAAATTGAGTTATCCTATTACATATTCATAACTTCATGAGCTTGTCAGGACAAGTGAGCCCCTCTGAAAGTAGCCCATCCAGACCAACTGTCATAATCAAGATTTTAGGCTAAAAGCAAAAATAACCACTTTAAAATAACACCCTTCTCAAGGAGCTAAAATGAGTTGCCAATGAGATCTCTTCTGTTTATGCGATCTCTATGCATAAGTTTAGAATTCACAGAATTCACAAAAACCATCTTATACCTGATCATTTTCTTTATTATATAAAAGATAAAAAACTCTAGGGGATATAGTTCAGTGAAAGAACAATTGCCTTGCATGCACGAGGTGCTTGGTTTGATGCACATAAATTAAACAAAAATCTCTAAATTTTAATATTTTCACAGTTCAATAGCACTCAGCAAAAATTTTCTAAGACCAGGCGCAGTGGTGCACGACTATAATCCCAGTGGCTCAAGAGGCTGAGGTGGGGGAAAGCAAGTTCAAAATCAGCCTCAGAAAAAGCAAGGCACTAAGCAACACAGTGAGACTCTGTCTTTAAATAAAATATAAAATATGGCTGGGGTCGTGGCACAGCAGTAGAGCGCTCGCCTAACACATGTGAGGCTGGGGGTTCAATCCTCAGCACCACATATAAATAAAGGTATGGTGTCCAACTACAACTAAAACAATAAATTTTTTTAAATAAATAAGTAAAATATAAAATAGGGCTGGGGATGTGGCTCAGTGGTTGAGTGTCTCCAAGTTCAATCCCCTAAATCCACCCCCCCAAAAAAAAAACTTTCTAAGAATATTATATCAATAAATTATATCAAATACAACTATGATTTCATATTTTAAAATTTTATATAACTGAAATAAAACTCTTTAAAATAGTTGGGCAAAGTGGCATGTGCCTGTAATCGCAGCTACATAGGAGGCTGAGGTATGAGGAACCTAATTTCAAGGTCAAACTGAACAACTTAGTTAAACCATGTCTCAGATTTAAAAATCAGGACTGAAAGTGCAGCTCAGAGGCCCAGTACTTGCTAAGCATGCCCAAGCCCCATGGTTCAATGACAGTTCCCCAAAAAAGAAAAAATTGGAACACTAACAATTCCCCTTATCAATAATAGGAATACTATTAACAATTATTCTATTCAATTTTAAAACACAAATGCTTACAGTGTGGCTTTCAAGTTCTGCGATTTTTTCAGGTGCTTCAAAACCCAAAAAGTACATTCTGATTACATGATCAGTACTACCTGTAGCTAAAAACATACCACCTGAAATAAAAATGTAAAAGTTTAGACATCCAGCTTATAAAAAATATCTGAACAAATCTAACTTCTACATTAAAAAGCAAGATCTTTTATTACAAAACTAATTTATCTCACTACATTTATTTTCTAACTCATTGCATAAATAGCTTATTAAACTCTTATTTGCAACTTTAACATACAAAGTGAACCCAGTCTGGAAATGTCCAGTATCCCTCTATACTGGGTGTGGAGGCAAGGCCAGAGCCACGTCAGGGCCACGTCAGCACCAGTGCTCTACACTACTGGGACAGTAGTGAACCAGTAGAGCACCGCCATACCTAGCTCTGGAATATAAATTTCCTTCTTGATGTTTTTGAAATTTTCACACTTCGGCTGGAAAAATCTTTAACCTATCCTAAAAAAAAAAACCTACCACAAAAGTTCATGGTGCAAGAAAAGGGGGGAAAATTTCACCAAAATACATGTGTGGGAACCAAATTTAAACTAACAAAAATATACAGTAAAACCATTAATAGAAAATCACAGGGCTGGGGATGTGGCTCAAGCAGTAACGCGCTTGCCTGGCATGCGCGGGGCACTGGGTTCAATCCTCAGCACCACATAAAAATAAAATAAAAATGTTGTGTCCACCGAAAACTGAAAAATAAATATAAAAAAAAAGAAAATCAGAAATTTAGGCATATTACCCATAGAGGACACAACACAGGACTAGATCACAATGAACACCTAAGCCCTCCTCATTGTCACTCTCATTACTATTAGCAATCAGAACTGCAGAATCACACAGTGGAACATGCAAAAAAAGGCCGATTAAATAAACATCACAAATTAAACTTAATGAAAGGACATCAGATGTCATTTACCACCTATCTGAATAAAAATTCTTAGCAATAATGCAGAATTCTAATAAAGGCTAAAGTAAAACTAAGAAAAAGATTACCAAACAAGTTACCTTACCAACACTAAAAGAAGAACAAAGCATTTGAACACCTGGCCGAGGCTTTTCAGTGAACTTCAGGGGGCGTGGACTTAAAAAGAATAAGATGTTGTTTTAAAATAGTTGATCACATTAGCACATCTGAAATACTAGTTCAATCTGGCATATCTAAATATCATAATATTATATCTATAGTACCTTCTCATAGGCCAAACATTACTACTACCCATAGCTAAAACCATACCAACCTAAAATAAAAACATAAAGGTTTAAACATCCAGGTTTAAACATTCTTAGGTGAGGTGAGTAGAACTCAAAGAGTGTAAGTAAATCTTTTATTAAGGCTGCAAAGAAGAATACAGTAACACCATATTATAGCACGGGGCAAAAGAAATGGAATGCAAGCCAGTCTAAGTAGCCATATTTTTGGAAAATAAGAAGCTAGACACAGTGGCGCAGGCCCATGGTCCCAGCTACTCTTAAGGCTCAGGCAGGATTATCACTTGAACCTGGGAGGCAGGAGTATCCACTGAACCCAGGAGTGCAAAGCCAGCCTGGGCAACATATAGAGACTCCATCCCAAAAAAAACAGAAGAGACAAAATTTTATAAATTGGATTTAACCCAATACATACAAAATATGTCAACATATTATCAATATCAATATAATTTTCAATAAATACTTTATATACCAGCCACATTTGAAGCGTTCAAGTCAGTATGGTAGCTATGTGCTACTAAACTGGACAGTAGTGGTCCATACTCTAGTTCTTATGATTCGCAAATGTTCCTGCCTGTATTTGATTATATACAAAATTGTGTATTTCTGATAAATGTTTCACATACATATTACTTCATTTCAATTTCACAAAAGCGTGTTCATGAAGGCAAAAGGTAGGGTTCTTTAACATATCCAACTATCAAAAAATCAACTGTACAGTTAAGTAGTAATGACACATGTGCTATATTAAATAAAATTATATTTAAAAGTAAAAGGGCAATCATAAAATATAATTTCTCCTCAGAATCAAATTTTATTCCATTGAGCCAAATATTAACTGCATTTAAAAATAAAACTTTATAAGTTGCTTACCTGAATTTCAGAGATTCTAAATCCCACTGCCAAAAGCAAACTGTTCCATCAGCACCAGTGGAAACCATATACCTTTGAGAGCCTTTGGCCATAGGGCTAAACTAAAAAGGAATAATATATACATCAGTCTCAAAAGCTTCTACAGTTTTAAACTTACAATTAAGTTTTCCAAGCAGTATGGAGATTCCTTGGATAACTGGGAATGGAACCACCATTTGACCCAGCTATCCCTCTCCTCCATCTATACCCAAAGGACTTAAAAACAGCATACTACAGGGACACAGCCACATCAATGTTTATAGCAGCACAATTCACAATAGCTAAACTGTGGAGCCAACTTAGATGCCCTTCAGTAGATGAATGAATTTTTAAAAATGAGGCATATATACACAATGGGATATTACTCAGCAATAAAAGAGTAGCATTTGC